CAAGTAATAACACATCCCAGTAGTACAACATTTGACAAGTAATAACACATCTCAGTAATACAACATTTGACAAGTAATAACACATCCCAGTAGTACAACATTTGACAAGTAATAACACATCCCAGTAGTACAACATTTGACAAGTAATAACACATCCCAGTAGTACAACATTTGACAAGTAATAACACATCCCAGTAGTACAACATTTGACAAGTAATAACACATCCCAGTAGTACAACATTTGACAAGTAATAACACATCAACATTTGACAAGTAATAACACATCCCAGTAGTACAACATTTGACAACATTTGACAAGTAATAACACATCCCAGTAGTACAACATTTGACAAGTAATAACACATCCCAACAGTAGTACAACATTTGACAAGTAATAACACATCCCAGTAGTACAACATTTGACATTTGACAAGTAATAACACATCAGTAGTACAACATTTGACAAGTAATAACACATCCCAGTAGTACAACATTTGACAAGTAATAACACATCCCAGTAGTACAACATTTGACAAGTAATAACACATCCCAGTAGTACAACATTTGACAAGTAATAACACATCCCAGTAGTACAACATTTGACAAGTAATAACACATCCCAGTAGTACAACATTTGACAAGTAATAACACATCCCAGTAGTACAACATTTGACAGTAATAACACATCCCAGTACAACATTTGACAAGTAATAACACATCCCAGTAGTACAACATTTGACAAGTAATAACACATCCCAGTAGTACAACATTTGACAAGTAATAACACATCCCAGTAGTACAACATTTGACAAGTAATAACACATCCCAGTAGTACAACATTTGACAAGTAATAACACATCCCAGTAGTACAACATTTGACAAGTAATAACACATCCCAGTAGTACAACATTTGACAAGTAATAACACATCTCAGTAATACAACATTTGACAAGTAATAACACATCCCAGTAGTACAACATTTGACAAGTAATAACACATCTCAAGTACAACATTTGACAAGTAATAACACATCCCAGTAGTACAACATTTGACAAGTAATAACACATCCCAGTAGTACAACATTTGACAAGTAATAACACATCCCAGTAGTACAACATTTGACAAGTAATAACACATCACAGTAGTACAACATTTGACAAGTAATAACACATCCCAGTAGTACAACATTTGACAAGTAATAACACATCCCAGTAGTACAACATTTGACAAGTAATAACACATCCCAGTAGTACAACATTTGACAAGTAATAACACATCCCAGTAGTACAACATTTGACAAGTAATAACACATCCCAGTAGTACAACATTTGACAAGTAATAACACATCCCAGTAGTACAACATTTGACAAGTAATAACACATCCCAGTAGTACAACATTTGACAAGTAATAACACATCCCAGTAGTACAACATTTGACAAGTAATAACACATCCCAGTAGTACAACATTTGACAAGTAATAACACATCCCAGTAGTACAACATTTGACAAGTAATAACACATCCCAGTAGTACAACATTTGACAAGTAATAACACATCCCAGTAGTACAACATTTGACAAGTAATAACACATCCCAGTAGTACAACATTTGACAAGTAATAACACATCCCAGTAGTACAACATTTGACAAGTAATAACACATCCCAGTAGTACAACATTTGACAAGTAATAACACATCCCAGTAGTACAACATTTGACAAGTAATAACACATCCCAGTAGTACAACATTTGACAAGTAATAACACATCCCAGTACAATAACATTTGACAAGTAATAACACATCCCATTTGACAAGTAATAACACATCCCAGTAGTACAACATTTGACAAGTAATAACACATCCCAGTAGTACAACATTTGACAAGTAATAACACATCCCAGTAGTACAACATTTGACAAGTAATAACACATCCCAGTAGTACAATGTTTGACAAGTAATAACACATCCCAGTAGTACAACATTTGACAAGTAATAACACATCCCAGTAGTACAATGTTTGACAAGTAATAACACATCCCAGTAGTACAACATTTGACAAGTAATAACACATCCCAGTAGTACAACATTTGACAAGTAATAACACATCCCAGTAGTACAACATTTGACAAGTAATAACACATCCCAGTAGTACAACATTTGACAAGTAATAACACATCCCAGTAGTACAACATTTGACAAGTAATAACACATCCCAGTAGTACAACATTTGACAAGTAATAACACCTCCCAGTAGTACAACATTTGAATTGGACACAGGAAAAACAAACCGTCCTCAAGGTGAACAGCCAGGAGGTAGACAAGGCATATCTAAACTACCGTCAGAAATCTACCACACAAACACATGCTGGAAATAGTGAGTTAGTTTCTGCAGAGACGTGTTATATACGTCTCTGGTTTCTGTAAAAGGAAAGCAAATTAAATTTACCATTTACGTTAAGAAATATAAACACATGCAAGAAAAGTATGCACGCAATAAAGAATGATTACGTTTTTATTTAAACAGAGAAAGCGTGTATATAGAATAGAAGTTCTTATAACACAACCAGTAGAAGATTAGAGTGTGACGTTTCGATGACTACACGGTCACCTTCATCTTATAACACAACCAGTAGAAGATTAGAGTGTGACGTTTCGATGACTACACGGTCACCTTCATCTTATAACACAACCAGTAGAAGATTAGAGTGTGACGTTTCGATGACTACACGGTCACCTTCATCTTATAACACAACCAGTAGAAGATTAGAGTGTGACGTTTCGATGACAACAAAGTCACATTCATCTTATAACACAACCAGTAGAAGATTAGAGTGTGACGTTTCGATGACAACAAAGTCACATTCATCTAATAACACAACCAGTAGAAGATTAGAGTGTGACGTTTCGATGACTTCACTGTCACATTCATCTTATAACACAACCAGTAGAACATTACAGTGTGATGTTTTGATGGCTACACGGTCACCTTCATCTTAAAACACAACCAGTAGACGATTAGAGTGTGACGTTCTGATGACTACACGGTCACCTTCATCTTATAACACAACCAGTAGAAGATTAGATTGTGTTTCGATGACTACACGGTCACCTTCATCTTATAACACAACCAGAGGAAGATATTTTTGCACCACTCTATCAGGCAAATATTTGGCGATATTGTCGGTAGATTCCATTTCTGAAATCAATTGTCTCGACACCAGGAAAAAGTTGTAAAACAAGAGACCACAATGTTATAGGCCTGTCTGCTGTATTTATAGGAAAAAAACATGAGCGACTAAAACCCAAACACACTGTTCAACACATTTACACAAGTCCGCACACCTGTAGTATATGATAAACGTTCTGATACCATGGATGTAATTTTAAGAGGCTGTTCTAACTCATCATTAACATAGTAGACTGCTTTAACATGTTCACAATAGATTGACAACAATCACTATGGTTACCTGTACCCTTTCCTCCAATTGCCGAGCTATACTTTACTAGTAATAATACAACAACTTGTAAAATTGGTATAAATATACAAGATCGATATATCATAACCTGAATCACTGAACTGTTGATCCACAGACGGCATCAGCGATGTAGCAGTCCTCCCTGGTACTGTCACCATGGGTATCCTGGGGTCCCACCTATAACGCGGAGTACTGCACAGGGTTCACGTAATTGGAAGAGGAGCCCTACTGCGTCCCTTATAGAGACCGAGGTATGGACCCCCCGAGTCTCCAAATCTTACACCATCTCCTTTGTAATTTAGTGTCTGATGTTATACGTTGTTGTAGAAATCTATTAGTTTCAAATATCTTATTATTGTGTTGTGACTATTTAGTGCGGATAACATTTGACTGGTTGAAGTAAGAGGGATTATATTACTATTTAATTACTGATACAGTTCTGCCCTAGCTGTGAAATGTTTGGTACAGAAAACATGATCCATTGTTTCCACATTATTACACAACTCACAATTTGTTTTGTGTTGTATCTGAATATTAATTTTCGATTCCAAATTTGTTTTGCCTAATCTTAATCTTCTGATAATTTTGTCATCTGATTTACTGTGACCTATAATTTTGTCTAATTGTTTTTTTGTAAAATTTGTCTCAATTTGTTTAAATTACTCTCTCCAAATTCCATCCTATTTTTTATTTATTTATTTACTGATCAAAGCATAAGCTTGTGTTTGGTAAGTTTGACATCAGTGTCAATTGAATTATGATTTAGCGCTTTCTTTGCTAGTTTTCCAGCTCTTTCGTTACCGGGAATATCAACGTGAGATGGGATATATACTAATTCTACCGTGACACCCTGATCGTCTAATAATTGTAGGGAATCGAATTAAGCGTGACTGATCTCGAACTATTTTCGGTGTCTATAGATTGAAGCGCCGGAAAACGATCTGTGATGATGGCTGTTCGGTTTTGTTTGGTCTACCAATCTTAAAGCTAAGCCTATAGCTATGAATTCATTAGAATCAACGGAACAATTGTCCGACATTCTGATTGATATGGTTATGTTGTTGTCAGGAGAGAGAACTCCTAGATAGAACCATCAGTATAATTCAACAAAACCTTTGTACTTGCCTTCGATGGTTGCCATGTATATAACTTTTGCTCCTGTTGGGTTCAGGTTTTTGTTGGAAGAGTCACGGATTTAATTAATTTTGGCTTTATTTTTCCTTGTCCCTCGAGGTTGTCCGAAAGCATCCTCAAGACTTTGTCACGTCTCAATCCGTATTGTCCCTACGCGGGAACATTATATCAAGAGATGACATGACCAGGGATACCTGTCTACATACTTGGTCTGTCACACCGAGGGCAGCTCACGTCTTCAATCAGTCCCCATTTGTTGATGTATGAAGGCAAACCAATACACTGACCTCGTTAATCTTTGGGTAGCAGTGTACTCAAATCTTTTTTGGTCTACAAGGAAATATTTGGATTTCAAGAATTGAATATTATATAAAAACTTAAAAGACAAAATAATAGTTCAATGATTTTATTCACGTCCTCACGACTACATGTAAAACATGTGCTTGGTCACATAGGTCTGTGTATGTATTAGGGAGGGCAGTAACCTGAGAATATCGGCTTACAGTCCAAGGGAGATAATTCAAGTTTGTTTTCAAAGTTATGCATTTCATACATTTATTGCATCTATTTAAGAAAATAAAAAGCATATGTTATACTGAAGATGTCGAAGACACTTTGTTACATGGTTAATTCAATTTGAAACAAATTCAACTTTAAAACTTTTGTTTACAATGAGAAAGGAGAAAATATAATGATTACAATAGGACTACATCTGCACGTTTCCAAATTAAAACTTTCTAAAATGTAATCAAGTAAACATATCTTGGATCTATTAATATACTTTTTCAAACATTCATAATTTCAGACATTTGACAACAAAACCAGCAAGTTTAGACATTTTCCTCACCCTCTCAGAATTGAAACTGTCATCACATATTGTAGAAAATGTGTTATATGGTCACATCAAATTACTTGTTTTTGTCCAATTACAGAAAGTCATTAACTAGTAAAGATACAAAACCATATGTAAATAACATGTTCATTCTAGTCTGGGTAGTGGAGACAAAATCAGATAGGACCCAGCAGGATTAGTTTATCAATATCTCTGTTGAAAGTTCTTGTAACACAACAAGTTTTAGAAAAATACATTTATTTCCTCCCCATGTGTGACCAAGCTTGGCCAGTGTGGCCCAATCTATTGAAACAACAGCTGACATCACATAATAGTTATGTATCACATTAAAAACCTCCACAGAGGGGTAAAACATTGTGACAGAAAACAAGTGTACCTAAATTTTCCTGCAGTAAAAATAATGGATGCATGTCCTGGACTTAGGAGCTTTTGAGCGGGGCTTGACAATCATGTAATAAAGGTAAGATTTGATAAATAAAAGTTATTGATAAAAACTGCATTTCTATTTTCTTCATAATCAAATAAGAAAAATTGATTTCATTATAATAAAATTTCAATACAAGTAGTCTAAATTTAACATCTGTGATATTTAAACCCTGACAGTAATGGATATAGTTCTTGTTCTTCGAAACATGTTACCAATGGTCCTGATTTAAAACAGAAGACCATTCAAAATAAAAACATAAAATTCATGTAGTGCTGTACAGAAAACATCTAACAAAAAGGCATCACTGACTATTGTTTGAAGACTCAAAACAACTTGTACAATCTACTTTTAACAAAAAGTTTAACATCATAAAAACATTTGTGCATCATTGTAATAGGCAACAGAAGCATCAGGCGTGTAACAATGCAGCTAATTGGTAACAAGTATCAGACATGTTCCAGCTTTTAACCATAATATACTACAACAACCTTACAATTCACATATTGACACAGACACCCAAAATTTACTTCAATGTTTATCAGTGGAAACTATTAAAACATGGACATTACCAATGGAAATATATATGATTTACTTCACAATACAATCTTTACGAGATATGTCACTCTGATGAGTTTGTCAGTCTTAAAACAACTCGGATAGTAAGAAATCCAGCAAACTGCACAATCCACCCAATCTGCCTACCCTGGTGAATTTGCTAGCTCTAAAGCAATTCACATAAAATTCATGCAGGTCCGATTGGTTTTAAGTTCTGGATGATAACTAGTGTGAAAAACCTGAGAGCCACATATCTTGACATATACCTTTACCTTCCACAGAAATCTAATTGTATAGTTAGGATTCTTAATACACCTGTGTGTTTTAGCTAGAAACAGAAGATGTACAACAGAACATACAAGCCTGCCATCTATATTGATTTGTTTATAATATTTCATCACACTTGTCAATTTCCTACAAACACTCTTCTGAAACAGAAAATGCTAACAATGTGTCAAACTACATAATATCTTTACATGTCATGTTTCTAATGTAATGAAAACCATCAGTTTTGAATGTTGTTTCCATATAATATCAAAGAATCAATATTTCATCCGTGTATACACCACATCCAACATTTAACAAGAATGAGGCAACCTGATTCTGGAAAAAACAAATTATAGGTAAATTTAGATATTTGAAATCCAAACTTTACCACACATATATTTCATATCTAAGACTTACCCTCCTTTAACACTTTAATATTACAATAAAATGTACCATTCAATGTACTATTCTGGGATGATTAGGGATCTTTAAATCTATACAACTGAATCCTATTATTTTATATCAATCACTTCTATTTTTAAAGCAATACTGACAGTAATCAATATTTAACAACTACTAATAAGCTTTAAAAGGTGGTTTAACAAGTTCAGCTTTCACATTGATACAGTGATTAATATGCTTGGCATAAAACACATTATGAAATATAAATTATTCCTTTTCAAAGGTAAGGTTAAGAATATAAAGTTTGATTTACACTCTGAGACAGGCTAGAGATTCTGAAGGTTACAATTGCTTTTACTGCTACAAGGCAGGTGGTGTTTTTTACATAAATTATATCCTGATTGTACATATATATACAAAACTCAATTCAGTGAATTTAATGATATTAAACAAATTTTGTATTATTAAACAAATCTAAAACATTTTAAATAATTAAAAAAAAAAAGCAATTAAATGTGAATGCATACTTGAAATTCAGAATAAAATGTTTTCTGTATCAGGTTTAGCATAGTGATATGAAGATGACAACAATACTTCCAAAATATCAAGATAACATGTATGTATTTCATTGGACTTTTTAAAAAAAGCCTTAAGTATTTTACATCCTCACAATTTAATAAATAGGAAAAACATAAGTACATGAGTACATTAAAATGACTGGTCAGAGAACACTAAAGTATTACTTTCTCCCTATCATATAGACATAATATCTCTGAAGACATCAAGACAAGAAATCAGAATATAACATGTTCACAATGGCTTTCTATGGTGAAGTGAAACGTTAAAACACAAAGTCCTCGTCAGCCATGTCTATGGCCCATCTGAATTTTTCACGTTGAGTTTTGTTGTAGATTTTCTCTATAGGAACCTCCCACTTTTTGCACCTGTAAAAGACAAGTTTATATCTGATGTAAACTCCAGTGTATGGATTTCAAAGATTTGTTTCATTAATTGGTTTTCTTTTATGTTTGCAAAAGCTCAATGATTAGAATGCTTGTAAACAATACAAAATTTTAAAATAATTTCATAAACATGCTCGAATTCATGAACTTGTTGTCTTTAACTGTCTATATAAATATCTTCTTGCATTTTCAAAACTCCAATTAGTTAAAAATTTGTGTGGTTCTCCCAAAAGTTTGCACCATTCCACAATTTTATTTAATACTTGAAAAACTTGAAGCCCTTCAAAATATAAAACTTTACCTAACTGAAAGGATTGTAGACCAAAATCACAGTAAAATTGTTGAAAAAGATGCTTATCAGAAGAATAGAAGTAGAAAAGTATATACTTACCAGGCAATGGATATTCTTGGATCCAAATAGTTCAACTTGGAGGTACCCAATGCTATTTCCTTATTTTCATCCTGGAAAACATCCATGAAGATGTGATCACAATATCTTTATGTACATACACACAAAAATGTTACTATGGATCATTACTTTAATTTCATAGACATGAGCCAACAGATCTTTTAACACAATTTCTGGTTTAAAGGGACCATTGTAGTATGAGACCTCAAAACGGGCATTATGTTTACAAAAATTGGCATAATAATCTGCTGCACTCTGCCATTTGAATGAGGAACCTGAAAAACTCAGCATTTACAGGTCAAACATTCCCTGTTCCTGAAGATGTGACAAACCGACAGTTTACACGATAAATTCCTCTACCTGATAACAATAGGAGACTAAACAATGAGATGAGAATTTTTTTTTTAAAATTCTAACCAGGTAAACTACTGGATTCAGTGAAGCTATGATGTGATGTCAAGTTTGGGGTCTGGAATCAAGAGTTTTTATCTAAAATGGTCTATCGAGATATGATGATCTGAAAAAGCATATCAAAATCTATTTGTAGGAGAGTTAAACCATAATATTATGTACCTTGTCAGTTGCTTGCACCTCCAGTTTGACGAGCTGATCTTCAAGTCTGGCAACACCCTTCTTCTTCAATTCCATCACCCTGCAAACCATCCATCTCATTACCAAATCTATCAGATGATTCAATCTCATTATGAACAACATTAAGATGTTGAAATACTGTCACTGACATTTCATCAAGAATAAAACTAATGCTGATAACATAATATATATTGTTAATTGATGGGTGTCTACAAACAAACATGCCATGGATGGATCTAAATATCTTATATTCTTCTAAACCCTCAAAAATATTCTTCTGTCTCTATCTACACAACACTTGCAGGGAGGCAAATTTGACAACATACTTCTTGTTCTTTTCTGATTTGGCAGCCTTGAAGTTTGTCTTGGCTATCTTCAGCTGCTTTTTCGCCTCACGTATAGAGTCCTTCTTGGCATCAATCTGAAATGAGCAAAAAAAAAAAAAATGGTTATAATGATACATGACTTCAAAACTGTATTTCTATGGCTTTAAAAAACATGTTGCCTAGCTGCCTTGGCAGTCAACGGAGATAAGCAAGATTGATTTTAAAGGCTAAAGGGTAAGAAGCTTTCAAGTGCCATGTAACTGAATATCTAAAGCCAGTGTCAATACATGCATACCATCAAATCTGTCAATCTATGCTACTAATTGTTACAGTTCTTTCCAGTGGGAAATAAACAGTGCACTCCAAAATTCAATATTTCTCTAAAAAATTACAAGATAACCTCCTTCCCAGGAAGAAATGTGAGATCCATTTTATTCTACACAGGAAGAAATGTGAGATCCATTTTATTCTACACAGGAAGAAATGTGAGATCCATTTTATTCTACACAGGAAGAAATGTGAGATCCATTTTATTCTACACAGGAAGAAATGTGAGATCCATTTTATTCTACACAGGAATTAACTATTTTGGTTTATCTGAGACCAGGGAATATTTCTGCAAAATTTCATCAGAAAATCTGTTTTTTTTTTGACAATTCGAAAATGTTAAATTGTTTACGGATGCACATTGCTGGAGGTGATCGCTATAGATCACCAAAGACTTTGTCTCAGGTGACCAAACAATCTGATAACAATGGTCTGACACCAAAAAAACTTATCATAAGCGTATCTTGCAGATTAGCTGTGGTGCTAAAATTGTAAAATGAAAATGATTCCTAGTGTATGTTTCAATTCTGACCTTGTTCTGCAGGTTTTCCATCTGTTTGGAGAAATTTTTTGGTACAGCACGTTGATGGTTACAGAGTACAGCCACGGCTCTGTTAGCTCGATTGTAGGAAAGTAACTTGGCTGGTACTGGGTCCTCTTCTATAACAATGGAATAAATGTGAAAATCATTAAAGGACAGAGGTAATTACCTTCTCAGCCTGTCGCATCATTTTGATATTAAAACAATTCACAAATAACCATCCCTTGTTTGCCGTTGAAAGTGCCATAAAACAACAAGGAAGTTCAACAGTCTCCGATACACAGTCTCAGCATGGTTAATATATACACAAAGTGCAAAGTTCCAGTGAATAGTTGTGTAGCAGTTACAGCCTGCACAAATTGTTTTCCTAAATATAGGACAAAGGTCAAAATGTAGATTGGAATGATCTACTTTTGATACATGACTTAATGCCTAAAAGGCAAACCAACAACTCAAATATAAAGTTACCATGACAGGCAGTGTAAGGTGTAGGTCAAAGATCAAAATATAGGTCAGAGGTCACTGACCTTTCTTAATAATTACACACTGCCTCACCAAGGTGGACCCATACCAAAAGTAGGAAGTTCTAGTCACAGGTAGAGTAGGAGATAAGCCAGATATAATGGAAGGACAGATAGACACAACACAAAACTATAGTCCCCCTAACTCGTGTGCACGGAGGGGGACTGATTTAATTTTAATTCCTTTTTTTATTTCACAAAATTATCATTGTAATGACGCTTACCTTCTGTCAAAAGGAGAAGTTGTTCCTGAAGTGTTCGAGAGGCGTTGAAGGTACGGAACACTTTGGCTGTCAGTCCGTCCATGAGGTCATGTAAATGTTTGTTCAGGATGGTAGTCTACAACAATCAATATTTTCCTATAACTATCAGATAAATGCTTAAATATCTGAATACCACAATCTCCATTTCTTATTAAATACAAACTTTTAAATGATTTCAGGTATTATATAGAACATGCCACAGGTATGTTTGTTACTTACATTAAGTCTATCAAAAAGGTCATCCCCTGGCTGTTTGTTGTCCATAAAAAGCTGCAAGTTCTTGAAAACCCTCTTCTCTACTGGTACACGGTTATAATATCGGATGGAATCTTTACCTAAGAAGTCAAACTCAACCACATTCTCCTGATCTTCATACTTCTCATGGGTCTTGAGATGTTCTACTCGCAACGAACAACAACCAACAGTGTCCGCAGTTTCTCCTTCCTCTTTCTCGTTGCCAGCTCTCAAAGCAAGCTTTTAAAGAGAAATAATATTGCATGAATGAAACCCAACATTTCAAGAGAAAATGTGATAAACTACTGCCCATAAAATTTGAAATTATTTCTTCAAACCTTTGAGCTTTGAATAAATTTTACAAAGCAACATGATTAATTCCTTCCAGAAGACATAATACCTTATAGTTATATAATTTGTACACTGTATATTCACTTAAGGAACCTATCAATTAGCAGTCATATACATAATACCTTTATAGTTATATAATTTGTACACTGTATATTCACTTAAGAAACCTATCAATTAGCAGTCATATACATAATACCTTTATAGTTATATAATTTGTACACTGTATATCAAAATTTTCCTACAATAGTTGAAAATTGCATTGAACCAAAATAAATCAAAAAGAGATGATTGAATATGTTTTTCTTTGACAATATGCCTTACTTTGTCAATGAAGTACATGGCTACAGCCCTCTGTCGAATCCTCATTTCTTTTGACTTCCAGTCCTCCATGTAGTTATGGCGAATCTTGTCTACACATTTGTGTAACTTCCTTGCAGTTTCATACTTCTGCCAATCTTTCTCTCCCTGTTAATCAAATCATCTCATGTATTTCAGAACATTCTCATTAACCAAATACTTATCCTCAATCCTGGCTTGAAGTATCACTTTTATTCCAGAACAGACTAGAAAATGTCTTTAAGACATGAATGCCCCCGCCCCCCCATGTCAAATAATAGTGAAAGGTCCGAATGAAGTTGTTAGATGGTATATACTGATTTGGGACGGGACGGGATGGGACGGACGGACATGGGCAACGCTATATGCCCTCGGCCATAAATGGCGGGGGCATAAAAAAAATGAACCAAAAGTAATAGAGAAAATATTATACATACCTTGAGTCTGGAGGCAGCATTTAACATCACATACTTGGTCTGGCCTTGTACATTTTCGTTCCAGCATGCCAGCCATGACACCTGCAACAGAAGTGTAGATGTAGGATAGAAGTGTCCACAAAATAGATGATGCAAATACATGGCAATATAACTCAGAAATCAAAATGTAGATTTAATTATATCTACACTGAATAATACATATAATTTACAACTATTCACTCTTTTCATATATGCAACATTTTTTATGCTTTACCTTATTGTCATGACGCACTTCTTTCCATTTGTGACCTTCAGGTGGCTCGGGAACAACAGAATTCCTGTAAAATTACAAAATAAACTTCTGTCATATTATTCTAATATCTAGGCTTCTCTTTTATAAAGAACAATCAGATGCATGCAATTACATTAGTCCAGCTTCACATACTGCATAACCATTTTTGGAAGCAAAAATGAAATTGCTTTCTCAATTTAGATATAAAATATTGCAAATGACGGTCTAATTCACATTTGAAAGTGCTATTTATCACTATCAAAAGGAAAACAATAACATTTTCAACTGTTTGGTACCATTTTCTGTATTTTCATCATTTGATATATGGTAATGCAGTGTGTTACTTACTTTGAACAATTAATGATAACGTCTTCAGGCATTGTCCTGCGCTTCAGCATGCCTTGCTTGGGATGATCACCCCGTCCTCGGAACAGTCCCGGAGGCTCAATACGGAAGTTTCCAATCTTTTCCTTGTGGCCATCCATGGTACAAAACCCATACTCCTCTTGAATTTCTGCATTCTTATTTTTGATTTTCTAAAAATAACATGATCAAAATGCCATCAATTACCCATTCTTATTCTCAAAGAAACACTTTAAATAAAATTAATATAACTAAGGTATCAAGATTAACATGATTAAATATTTTTATATTAATATATTTTTGGACCATAATTTCTAAGTACAAACCAGTTTTTCTTCCTTTGTCATAGCTTTACGTTCCTCTGTTTTCATTTTGAAGTATTTGTCCATCTCAGTAAAATTGCATTTGGATAAGTCTTTTATCTTCTCTTTTTCCTCTGAAGTCATCATCTGTGAATTACAATGAAATTTTGTTCAGCCATGTTGAATATCATCACCAACAACATTGTACTCGTCTTTCTTGTTCAGTTTGAAAACATAACATTGAACTGACATTGAAGTCCACACTGGTTATCACTGAATAACCAACAAGCAGAAGCTATGAAGCTGAAGGCAGTTCATTCTCAGACTTGATATCAGAAAAGACAATTCTTATGATTCAATACAAAATTATGAAAAATATTTTCTAGTTAGGTCATATCATCAATCACTCTTTACTTTGAAAAAAAAAAAAAAGTCTAGAAAGAAATATACAAATGGAAGGTCTAGAAAGTAATTGGATATACAAATGGAAGGTCTAGAAAGTAATTGGATATACAAATGGAAAGTCTAGAAAGTAATTGGATATACAAATGGAAAGTCTAGAAATTAATTGGATATACAAATGGAAAGTCTAGAAAGTAATTGGATAAACAAATGGAAGGTCTAGAAAGTAATTGGATATACAAATGGAAAGTCTAGAAAGTAATTGGATATACAAATGGAAGGTCTAGAAAGTAATTGGATATACAAATGGAAAGTCTAGAAAGTAATTGGATATACAAATGGAAGGTCTAGAAAGTAATTGGATATACAAATGGAAGGTCTAGAAAGTAATTGGATATACAAATGGAAGGTCTAGAAAGTAATTGGATAAACAAATGGAAGGTCTAGAAAGTAATTGGATAAAAAAATGGAAGGTCTAGAAAGTAATTGGATATACAAATGGAAGGTCTAGAAAGTAATCGGATAAACAAATGGAAGGTCTAGAAAGTAATTGGATATACAAATGGAAAGTCTAGAAAGTAATTGGATATACAAATGGAAAGTCTAGAAAGTAATTGGATATACAAATGGAAAGTCTAGAAAGTAATTGGATATACAAATGGAAGGTCTAGAAAGTAATTGGATATACAAATGGAAGGTCTAGAAAGTAATTGGATATACAAATGGAAAGTCTAGAAAGTAATTGGATATACAAATGAATGGACAGGTAGAAAAGGAAATACATTCCAAGGCTAATTGATATATTAGTGATTGCAGTCAGAGATAGCTTGTAAAATGTACAAGTACCTTTCTCCAATCTTTCATGAAATTTTTATTGAAGACTTCTCTCGTGGTATAGTCATGGTCCAACATTCTAGCATAAAAAGTTGCCACTTCTTCTGCCTCAGGGCTCAGCTTCATCACCTTACCTGTAAATAACACCGCAGACTATCTATAAACATTTCTACTTTTAATAACATGATAAAAATAAATAGAAATCCAAATAATAACAAACAAAAGAACAGACTTTTAAACAAGCCTACAGTAAAAAGGTAGGGGACTTAACCACGATACAGGTGATTTTTCATCCTGAAACAACACAAAGAAAGAACAGAGTTTTAAACAAGCCTACAGTAAAAAGGTAAGGGACTTAACCACGATACAGGTGATTTTTCATCCTGAAACAACACAAAGAAAGAACAGAGTTTTAAACAAGCCTACAGTAAAAAGGTAGGGGACTTAACCACGATACAGGTGATTTTTCATCCTGAAACAACACAAAGAAAGAACAGAGTTTTAAACAAGCCTACAGTAAAAAGGTAAGGGACTTAACCACGATACAGGTGATTTTTCATCCTGAAACAACACAAAAAAAGAACAGAGTTTTAAACAAGCCTACAGTAAAAAGGTAGGGGACTTAACCACGATACAGGTGATTTTTCATCCTGAAACAACTCCAAGAAAGAACAGAGTTTTAAACAAGCCTACAGTAAAAAGGTAAGGGACTTAACCATGATACAGGTGATTTTTCATCCTGGAACAACACAAAGAAAGAACAGACTTTTAAACAAGCCTACAGTAAAAAGGTAGGGGACTTAACCACGATACAGGTGATTTTTCATCCTGAAACAACACAAAGAAAGAACAGAGTTTTAAACAAGCCTACAGTAAAAAGGTAAGGGACTTAACCACGATACAGGTGATTTTTCATCCTGAAACAACACAAAGAAAGAACAGAGTTTTAAACAAGCCTACAGTAAAAAGGTAGGGGACTTAACCACGATACAGGTGATTTTTCATCCTGAAACAACACAAAGAAAGAACAGAGTTTTAAACAAGCCTACAGTAAAAAGGTAAGGGACTTAACCACGATACAGGTGATTTTTCATCCTGAAACAACACAAAGAAAGAACAGAGTTTTAAACAAGCCTACAGTAAAAAGGTAAGGGACTTAACCACGATACAGGTGATTTTTCATCCTGAAACAACACAAAGAAAGAACAGAGTTTTAAACAAGCCTACAGTAAAAAGGTAGGGGACTTAACCACGATACAGGTGATTTTTCATCCTGAAACAACACAAAGAAAGAACAGAGTTTTAAACAAGCCTACAGTAAAAAGGTAAGGGACTTAACCACGATACAGGTGATTTTTCATCCTGAAACAACACAAAGAAAGAACAGAGTTTTAAACAAGCCTACAGTAAAAAGGTAAGGGACTTAACCACGATACAGGTGATTTTTCATCCTGAAACAACACAAAGAAAGAACAGAGTTTTAAACAAGCCTACAGTAAAAAGGTAAGGGACTTAACCACGATACAGGTGATTTTTCATCCTGAAACAACACAAAGAAAGAACAGAGTTTTAAACAAGCTTACAGTAAAAAGGTAGGGGACTTAACCACGATACAGGTGATTTTTCATCCTGAAACAACACAAAGAAAGAACAGAGTTTTAAACAAGCCTACAGTAAAAAGGTAGGGGACTTAACCACGATACAGGTGATTTTTCATCCTGAAACAACACAAAGAAAGAACAGAGTTTTAAACAAGCCTACAGTAAAAAGGTAGGGGACTTAACCACGATACAGGTGATTTTTCATCCTGAAACAACACAAAGAAAGAACAGAGTTTTAAACAAGCCTACAGTAAAAAGGTAGGGGACTTAACCACGATACAGGTGATTTTTCATCCTGAAACAACACAAAGAAAGAACAGAGTTTTAAACAAGCCTACAGTAAAAAGGTAAGGGACTTAACCACGATACAGGTGATTTTTCATCCTGAAACAACACAAAGAAAGAGCAGAGTTTCAGAGTTTTAAACAAGCTTACAGTAAAAAGGTAGGGGACTTAACCACGATACAGGTGATTTTTCATCCTGAAACAACACAAAGAAAGAACAGAGTTTACAACAAGCTTACAGTAAAAAGGTAGGGGACTTAACCACGATACAGGTGATTTTTCATCCTGAAACAACTCAAAGAATGGAGTTTTCAACAAGCTTACAGTAAAAAGGTAGGGGACTTAACCACGATACAGGTGATTTTTACCCTGAAATAACCGAAAGAAAGAATGGAGTTTTCAACAAGCTTACAGTAAAAAGGTAGGGGACTTAACCATGATACAGGTGATTTTTACCCTGAAATAACCGAAAGAAAGGCATTGCAGAATAATATATACTACTTAGATGAGTACCTGTATCTTTTTGGAGATTCTCTTTATGACCAGTTCCTTGCAATTATTGGTGACGACAATTATTGTAAACTGGGCTTTTTATTCATTGGCATTTTTCAAGCTATAGAACATAAAAAAGTAATTTGAAATACCATCATAGTAAAATTTGACATCACTTGGCACAGGCTCATAGTCGGGGGCAAATACTGGTCCCTTGTGTTCCAGGAAATTCCACTTTTGTCCATCATCGCGTCGCTCCTCTTCCCACCTGATAACAGAAGATATATATAGAGACAATTTTCATGCAATATGATTTCATTTCCTCACTATTACTTTGCAAATTTCATCCTTATTAGAATGTATGTGGCACCATGCTATCTCAAGAGGTACAAGATAATCTGCCAGGATAGGCAAAATAAATTTATACTGGTCGGTATATTCTGGAAAATCTGACAGAATTATAAAGAGTAATCTACCTTTGAAGTGGGATGCAACAGTGTCATATGCTGCCTCAATACAAATGAAGTATTGTTAAAATAATAAAAGGATTGTTTCAGCAGAAGTTTTCTTCACTTATATCAAAATCTCACCATCTCCAAACTTCTTGTGTTTCTTCCTCTTTCTTCTTGCCTTTCTGTGGCGACTTCTGTGGGGACTGCTTTGGCACAACCTTTTCCTTCTTCTTCTTTTTCTTTGAAATCAGAAAGGAGAAAATGTCACTCATATTTAAAGTTACAGGTTGCCTACCCATATCAGAGTTTCAACGGGTTTCATTTTTTCAATATCTATTCAACCCATCAAAACAATGGAAAGTAACTACAGTTGATACACTGAATTATGAGGCAAGATTTTTAAAAATTTTCAATTTTTGAACAAAGCTGTATATTGTGTACACTATATTTTTGAATATTGGTGATCACTTAGTAAAACACAAGCAGGTGATAGATTTCTATAAACAGTTTCAGGATTATTCAGGACTATTATGAACAGATTACAATTCTTTTTCAAAATTACTACAATACATATCTAACTTATTGAAACATCTTATTAAGAGTATACCATTATCTATATAATTTCTGATACCATCTGCTTCAAGCTTTTAATTACACTATACTAATTTACGACCTACCACTGGTTTTTCCTCATCAGATTCTTCAGGTTCTGATTTTCTCTTTTTCGCAGGCTTTTCCTCTTTTATCGTTTTGTCTTGCTTGTTCTCTTTTTTAACCTTCTTCATCCTTAAACAAAATCACAAATATAATATCAAATCAAATCTCAATTAGACAATTATATCCGACATGACAAGACACCATTACTAGTTTATCAAAGACAGTGAATTTATTGAATCCAGTAAAATGTCCTTTTTTTATTGGGAGGAAAAAAAGAAATAGTTGTATCTGTAATGACATACCTAGAAGACAGAGGTTCGTCGTCATCATCCGATTCTTCTAGCGCCCTCTTTGGTGCAGATTTGGGTGTTTTCTCCATTCTTTTAGACTGCAAATTACATTTCTATAGTTGATCATTTATGAAAATAATACAGAACTGAAGCTTTAAGTCTTACAATTCAGCTTTGAAATTCATTTCCATTAACATTATACAGTATTTCATAGAACCAGTAATCAATCAGAAGAGATGTAATTAGTCAAAACATGGCAAAATATTGACATTTAAAATTACTTTTTATGACAACCATAAGTAAATACTGGTCCAGCTTACCAGAGGGACATCATCATCACTCATAGGCTCATCTTTAACAGATTTGTCAGGTGATGTCTTAATTGGAGATTTCTTTGGGGATTCTGGTTCCTTCTTAACAGGTGACTGGGGCTCATTTTTAACATGCTTAGGAGGTGAGGCTTCCAACTCAACCTCTGGCTGCTTCTCCAAAGTTTTGCTGCTGGAGTGCTCCTTGTGTTTACTTGAGGAGCTATGTTTGTCTTTGGAATGACTACCTGAGGAGCTGTGTTTACCGCTGCTCGAGCCTTCCTTATGTTTGCTACTGTGGCTTGAACTATGCTTGCTACTACTGTGGCTAGAACTATGCTTGCTACTACTGTGCTTGCTACTACTGTGGCTGGAGCCATCTCTATGTTTGCTGCTTGATGAACTGGAATGGTGCCCATCTCTGTGTTTGCTGGAAGAGCTTCCATCTTTGTGCTTGCTAGATGATGAGCTCCCATGTTTACTCGATGAGGAGCTCCCATCCTTGTGCTTGCTGGATGAGCTTGAACTGTGCTTGCTTGAACTTGAGGAATGATGAGAACTGCCATGTTTACTGGAGCTTGAACTTCCGTGTTTGCTGCTGGAGCTGGAGTGGTGCTTTGAGCTGGACGAGCTTCCATCTTTATGTTTGGACGAGGAATGGTGGTGTTTGGAACTGTGATGTTTTGAATCTTTAGATGAACTCTCCTTCGGTGAAGCATGACCGTTTTGTTTTTTCTGTTCAATGTGGTTGCTCATGTCACCATTCTCATTCACTTTCATTTTTATGTCAGCAACTGAAACAAAAACCAAATCAATTAATCAAAGAAATCAAGACCAGCTGACGGTAATTCAAAGCATGACCACACTGGGTGATGAACCAGAAAGATATCAAAATATTTTGCTGAAATTCATTTATTTATTCATATATATTTTTTTCAAATTAAATTATGTCTCTTTTCTGAAAAGGTCAGTAAATTTTAGTATTTTTACCTCAGTTGTCAAGACTTTTTTTGTAAATAAACGTAAACAAGCAGTACTGTATTTTCTGTGTTATAAACAGTACTGGTATATAAGCTGCAGAGCCAATTTTTAACCTTTTCCAACCCCCCCTCCCCCCGATTTGATCCACATTTTAGCCACATTGGTATGTAACCTGCACCCTTTCTTTAGATGTGGTAACCATTATGTTAAAGTTCATCGACATAAGAGACAATTGAAGGCAATTTATTAAGACCATCAGTGAAACATTTAATATAAGTTTGCAAATGAATTAGACACAGAAAACCTTTATGTTATTGACATGTTTCAAAAACATTAAAGTCACTATTACTGAAATTGTTTGGCTTGGGGGCCTCCAAAGAGTGCCTATGTACAGATATATGGTCTGGTGTTATGTATAGTTTCCTTAACAATATCTGTATCAGTGTCTGTACTGTTAGATATAAGCAAAGGCCCTGGTATGCTGACAAAATTCTTATAGTTGCATATTATTTCTTGTCAGTTTACATGGAGACATTGTTGTAAACAAGCATGGCGGTCGTTTAAGAATTCGACGTGCTGACATATTGATCCCAGGATGCAGCAAGTTCTGCTCTGTCTTCTGAATCAACCACCAAAGTTTAGAAGACATTATTGTGATTCATATCAAAAGGTATGATTAATAAAATCCATGAGAATGTTATTACTATATATAAATCTTAATATCATTCTGTATACAGTTGCGAATGATGGTTCTTGATGATCATTTCTGTCACAATCACATGATGGACAGGTACTTGTAAAAAAATTTGGTATCAATAACTTGCACTGCTGTACTGGTATCCTTGGTTTAAATCAATATTTTTTTTCTTTCTGGAAGCATGACATGTTACAGCAACCAAAATTATCAGGGTATGAGGTCGTGAGGTTAATCGTACATGTGATATGCTTCAGCCAAATAGCCAATCCGAAATACTCAGTGGTCAGGAACAGATGTCCAGACATATGCTACATTTTTGTTTTTATTCTGCCGATTTTTTTTGTCCACATCAGTGTACAAGCAGCATGCTCGACTGCCAAGGAAAAATGCTGGGACTTTTAACCTGGACAGTAAGGTAATTGTTTGTCTTATCATAATGACAGGACAACTTAACAAAATACAAATGTGGTGGAGAGGAGTATATGTATGTTATTTCAGCAACTTCAGCAAGAATTTGAAATGCAACACATTTTTCCAAGACTTGAGCTATACAAAATTTATAAAGGGTAATGAAAATGTGTTACATCACACCATTTTGATAGGAGTGTAACTCAGTCGGTTTCTGTTTCAACATAGGCCAGAGATTTTTTTGTCTCAAATATTTGAGTCCTACGCTTGTGCTTTTCTTCTTCGGTTTTGTTAAAATTTTGAGATCTCACTATCTCATTATTAACTTGGCCCATCAAAATTTAGAAAATTGTGCTTTGGACTCACCAGAAAATACATATAACACATGAATTACTGAGTGGCATTAAATTGTTTATTTACTATCAATCAATACCATGAATGTATGTCAAACAACAAACTCCTGGCAGTAGACCCACTTTTATTTATTGCTGTAACATGGCCACTCATCAAGCTGTGTCCTGTACTGTAAACAGCCATCTAGACTTACTGTAGGATAAATATCGTAATTTTATCTTTATGGCACGATATTTCAAATTATTTGTGATAGCTTCAATAGTTCTGGTGACTATGACTGAATTTTCTAGGCAGCATTTTACACTGGCTTCCACACCAAATGTTTAGGTATCTCGGTGGAAAAATCTCCTTTGTGTGGAGGAAAAAGGGTGCACAACTGATCATAAATTTCTAAATATTTTTTGTAGGTATAGATGTTATTAGACATCACAGAGACTTGATACAATTGTGACCAGGATATTACATCAACATACAAGTATCAATTACATATTTCTGAATAGTCCATAAATAATTTTAATAAAAAAAGAGCTATTAGACACTTTAATCAAAGCATGACCCAACTGCTTGAAGTTGCAACATTAAGCAGAACTAGAACACTGAAAGGTCAGCAAGTGCCCCACTATATGGCTGGAAACACACCCCCCCCCCCCACAACTACGTCTCTAGACACACACCCCAGACTGACAAAGTACTGTAAAGACCTTAAGCACACTCATATTAAAAATAACAACAAATACATTCAATATTTTTTTTCATTAATAAAAGTGACCTTGACTTTAGAGCTTGGGATATAAAAAGCAATATCCCATTCAAGCACTTTTGGTAAGGAAGCATTGTATGAAGTTTGATTTAGATTTGGCAAAGCAAACTCAAATTGTCACACACAAACTGATTTTAACTTAAAGTTACAGTTACCATGACCTTCAAACTGTAAAGCAAAGCCAAAAAAAGTAAGGAAGTAAACTCTAGTTTTCACATGGAAACTGATTATCTATTTATAGGAAGTGACCTTGACCTGTATCTCAATACAGAGCCTGAATTATTATTATATCTGAAATGGTATACATAATCAGTCAAGAGTTCAAAAATCTTCTGAAAATGCACATCATTAAAAAAAAACTATCATTAATATATGATACATACAAAGGCCTAATGTCACTAAAATGATTTATACAAAGATAATTATGGCCTAATAACAATAATTGTTTTTGTTTTCAGTAGGAAAACCAAGTTAACAGTCAGTGAAAACAAGTGCTTCACAATGCCATATTCTGACATTTTCTATATGGTCTTTCTCTGCAACTTATCATTCATCACATATATCATTAAAACGTCTCATTTATAACTTTCCTAAAGAGCAAATAAAATTTCAGGTCAGTTATGTTTTATGTGTTTATCATATAAAGTGTATATATATATATATTTATATATACTTAAAATCTAACAAAGCTACAATCTTTATAATATGAAACGTAACATCATTCCGACAGTTTCTTCCTTGGTCTAGTAAACGCACCCGAGCGGAACGGGCTACTTTAAATAAGGTTACTTAGATCATCAACACGTTTGTTTATAACAAATGATTAAAAACAACGATATATTTTTAAATAAATGATATGTCTATTGAGATCACATCGGAAGTCTAAATGTACATACATCCAGTCTATGTCAGTCCCCAAACTCTCTCTGATTACTAAATGATCTAATTACCCGAACAGCTGAGCGACATTACGCCGGTCTTACAACCATGTTGGACTTAGTCTCTCGGCGCATAAAAATGGCTAACTCGCCGCCTCGACCAGTTTTACTTACCTTGTGTGCTGCTGTCTGGACCATCCAAGTGATTCTGGAAGATAAATTAAACATTTCTAGTGACCAATCTATGATTTTTTGAAACAAAAGTAATTTATCATTACCGTAGTAACTAATACAAGGAACTCAAAATCGAGTAAATTTTAACAGATCCGCGTTGGACTTAGAAAATTTTTCAGCCATCTTGACTTTGTCGTTTTCAGGGTCCTTTGTTATACGATATTTTCAAGTAACAAACGGCGAGTACAACACTTATCAACAAAATAATAACAGCACAAAGTATACAGAATGAAAAATTACGTACCTCCGTGGCGCTAGAAGTGAAATCATCTCCTGCAGAATCCATTTGTACAAATTTTTGTACGGGTTTCAGTGGGCCACGTTATGGCGGAGATTTTGCTGAAACGGCTAAGTCCACACTGACAATTAATGCGCATGCGTCAGTGACCTCACAGCACCCACCTTGCAACTATTGGTTATTTCAAAGACGTGATGTAAACATCCTGTGCACCAAGCACGTGTTCAATGAACATATCTTTCCTCAAAAGAACTCGAAAACAATAAGTTAGATAAGAAGATATTTAGAATGGGTATTCGTAAATACTAACCGGCACAAAAATAAACCATCAAAGTGGTTAGATTCATATATAAATGCTCCAAACACATCGAGTGATAATACTGTATACACTTTCAATTTGAGTAATATGTATAACACTGTATGAATTCAGTATAAAACGACTTCTTAAAATGTTACACCACTGATCGCTTGAAGAACATCTTACAGAATGTCATAGTTTTGTATTTACAAATTCAATTATCTCTGCTGTAGAAATAAAATGTCACTAATTAACTGTATAGCCCAGGGAGTGGTCGTTGTCACAAATGTTCAGTTCTCTAATTAGGCTTGTGAAACTGTGACACTAATTAGACAGACAACGAGACTAATTAAGTAATTTACACGATGGATTGTGACTATGGTTAGGCCCCAGACAACTTGAAGAAAAAAATCTTGATATATAATTATATAATATAATTAATTATTTTTACGTTAATTATGTTAATGTTTTCGTTTATTAAGCATTGATTTGACGTATCGAAATTGTGTTAAGGTAACAAAAAAAAAAAAAAAAAATTAAAAGTATGGCCAATGGTTTTCATGTCATCACTCACGGTCTCCGTAAGAGTATAAGTGTTTCATTTTCCACATGATACATCAATAAAATATTCAATATACACATATATTGTTGGAAGTTGTTTATAAACGGTTAAAATAAGACATAGACAAAAGCATAGGGATTTGATGTTTACAATGGAAGAGACCGTCAGATCCAAGGTCTGTCTTTCAGTCTGAATTACCTTTTTTAATTTTTTTTATACACTTTTTATAAAAATAAAATATTTCTCTTACACCACAGCATACTGTGACTTGAGACTATTGAAAACATTCAAAATCTCTCCATCATCCATTGTAAAAGTTAGAAAGAGAGGGAGGGGAGTGAGGTGTTGTATCTGTGGATCTGTGTAATAAGTATGGATTCTATGTATACCTGAATGAAGCCACTCAAAGAAAATGACAATATATCAATCTTTCAGTCATTGAGTATGTGTTTGCAACTTCATAATTCACCTTTTTCTCCAAGACACCTGAAGCATTTAAAACTTGATCAGTGTCAGTGAAGTAAAAGACGTGAGGCTGACAGCATGTACTTTGCAACCACATTACACACGTTCACAGACAACGTTTTGGCATAATAAAGCACACAAAAACCAGTAATGTTAGAAACAAGGGACCTAGCAGCCTTGACCGTCACCTGAGATAAGCAATATTGTATATAAAGGTTACTAGTAAAAGATAGTTATCAAGTATCATGAAACAGAAAATATGACACTGAATATAGTAAGCCAGTGTCAATACATGCATACCATCAAAACTGTCATCCTATACTAATAATTCTTATAAAGTTATTTCCACCGAGAAATAATCAACATTATGCTTAGAAATGAAATTTTTCTACGGAAATTACAATTAAGCCTAAAAACACTCACTTCCTCTCCATGAAGAAATGTTAGACCCATTTTGGTAATTAAAGCACCTTAAGATGCTTACATCCATGAAGAGCATTTGATTCTAACATATCTGTGTGTTGAGAAGAAAATCTTTGAATTTGAGTCAATTTTACCCCATTTGGCCCTGCCTGTCAGCCCCTGGGGGTCAGTTAGGATCTAAATGGACATACTATCAAGTCGTCATCCTTCACTCATAGTTCTAACCAAGTTTGAAATATTTCCAATTGAAAGTGAACAAATTATGATTCCACTATAAATAAAAGTAAATTTAACTCCCTCCCCATGGAGAAATGCGAGACCCTGGGGCAATGAAATTCACACTTTGGTAAAGCACCTAGGATGCTTCCATTCATAAAGAGTATTTGAATTTACCAAACCTGTGTGTTGAGAAAATTTTTTAATCAGAGTCAATTTGACCACTTTTGTCCCTGCCCCTCAGGCCCCTGTAGAGTGGTGACTGTATAATTTACAATTCTGGTTTATCTAAAGTCAGTAAAGGTTTCTGCAAAATTTCACTGAAATCAAATAAGGTTTTTTTTTTGAGAAGTCGAAAATGTTAAATTGTTTATGGACGTGCGATGCTGTATGAAGGTGATTGCAATAGGTCACCATGAGACTCAGTCTTAGGTGACCTAATTACCACTGTTTGTTTTCTCATAAGTATTTGAGCAACGGGTAGGATTTTAATCCCAGCGTTATTGAAATGGTAAAAAATCTCAGGTTAAATAATATCATGACCGTTTTCACTTCATTTGCTCAAAATTCACTTTCCTTTGCCAATCCAAATCCAAGCAACAAAATAGATAATGAAACCAGTCCTTAAATAGAATATTATCGTCACTATTTATATCAAAGATGTATGTGTTACAATCATTACCATTATAAGATAGAGGAGTGGTATAGGGACAGCTGCCATGTCGCATGTTAATGATGTTACTTTATTTTTTTCCGAAGGTTTATTTCTTTAATCATTGTTGTATTTCTGGCGATTATTATAACGCACAAACATTTTAGATGACAGACAGAAGTAAAGTAAATAAATATACAGAGAAAAAAATACTAAAAAATACGAACCATTCCTTTGGTAAAGAAGGAGGGATCTCACTACCGTAAAAACGTATGTAATGTATGTAAGCAGAAAATAGGAGCACCCAATTTCACACAAGTCTCGGGTCCTACTTGTGCATTTTGATTTATGCATGATCCTTTATTGAAATTGATCTCTGGAGGCCATTTTGGATTTTGGCAATGGAAGTTTATTCTCTACTTTTTCAGGAGCTAAGTAAGTAAGCAGTAAAGGATTTTCCACCAAAATATTCAACACGGGTTCTATTTTGCCAGTCACCTTTTGAGTATGATTAAACATTCAAGATTGTTTCCAGCGACCATTTTGGTAATTGCTCTTTCTACTGAACTAACCACAGGATTTTCTTCCAACTGCATTAATGGATATTACATTTCATTTCATTAAATAGAAGCAGGGTCCATAACATCCACATGTATTACATATTATTCATTGAAAAAATTAAATGCTTAAAAATATGTATTGTTTTATTGCGTTAGTAAACCTCCCCAGCAGGTTTCTGATATTTCTTTTGATAATTTGGGATCTTCAACACTCAACTCTTCGGTAACTAACAGGTCAAGAAGGATTAAAACACTGATGGTGCAGTTTAATACAGTGGCAATTTCGGATTTTGACAACTGAAGTTGGTGATTGCTCAAGAACTGCAGAAATATCTTTTACAACTTAAATATGATCAGTGTGGATCCTTACTTTACATGCTGCATTAAAGTATGATCCGAATTTCCAGATGGTTTTGAGTGGCCATTTTGAATCTTAATGTTTGAAATTTGTGATCCCTACTCCTCTAGTACCACTGAAGGAATTTTCTTGAAAATTTTACGCATATCTGTCTTCTAGTTGTTTGTGCCATATTTTGAGTATGATCGAATATTCATAGTAGCTGTCAACAGCCATTTTGGATTTCTACACAGAAATTTTGTTCCTGCTGTTGTCTCAGAACCAATGAAATTGTATACCTGCTACGTTTTAAATTTCATAGGATAATCAGAATACTGCAAATAGGCATATTGTATTTAACATTTGGATTTATTACAAATATTTATAACATTAAACATTACCAATCTAGTTCATACTGATTGGAAAAATGCAAACTGCCAACAGGTGGCCATCTTGGATTTCACAAAATACTTTCATTTTTGCAGTTTTTCAAATTTCATGTACATGATTCTCTTGATGTCCTTCTCGGACTTTGGTTTTTAACACAATATTTCAATTGTGGGTTTCTTTCAGCTCTTAATTGTTATATATATCTACATTTTGAATATCTATATATTTCAAATAATGATATAAAATATAAAAACAAAATATTAACATGGCAACTATGCCATGTTAATACTTTGTTCTTCTATTAATATGTTTGATACGCATAAGTTTCTCTTATTTGAATTAAATATATATAACCAATGTTATTATTCACCTGTCAGTAAAAGAAATCATTAAAAATGATTTATAGAAACGATGAGTAAAGAGCAGAAGAGAACCAATTTAAAGATCACACAGTGGTTAGGATGGTGAAATCAGTCGCTTGTGACTGTGTTGGTGTTGGCAGAAGTCAATGAAGGCCAGAGAAATTTGACTTTAAAATGTCGCTGTCAGGTGTCTGAGTTTCAAGTTAAAGGAAATAACTTGTTTTTATACACATATATTCATTGTCATTAAAGAATTAGACATGGTACTGACTGACAATCCTGCTGGCATCAGTGATTGACACTTGTAACAGAATCAAAATAAAAAAGTCCCTTTGAAGATTTTGTGACCTTATTTGACTAACACATAATAAATCTTAAGTGGCTTTGCACTAAACATCTCCATTAATACCATGCTCTTCTGCATGAACAAATCATGAACTCCGTCACAGCTGCAAGTCACAATTTATTTCCCTATGGGTGAGGCAGCTATATTTACATATGATTTAAAAATAAGTTTTATTTTCATGTACAGAAGTTTTTATAATACCATCCTGGGAAAAATCAATACATCACGTAATAAGTAGTGTTATGTACATACATGCAGTAACACATAAGTCTAAAAATACCATGATGGAAACATTTTGTCTCAGTTATACACATTTTCTTATTATACACAGAATTTCACAGGAGTGTCCGTTTCATAGAAGTTTTAAGAAACATTTCACAGATTATTTTTGTCAGGTTAAAATGGATTGCATTTTCTTAAAAAAAACTTGCTTCATAAATAGACAGCAAGCTCCGAGGAAAGTAAATTATGACCAGTATCTGTGTGTCTCTCCTTCAATTATTGGTATTATAATACAAAATATAGACTGTTCTCTTCACCAGTCTAAACTTACAAGTTTTATAAATAGCAAACTTGATTACCTGATTTATCTGTTAACTAGAATACTGACAGTTCAGCAGTATGTGGCTAGAAATCCCTCCACCCACCAATCCACCCTTAGGCACACATACCCCTGACTGACAAATAACCTTGCGACCTTGACCTTAGAGCTTGGGATATAAAAAGCAATATCCCAATATAGTTACAGTAACCTTTGACTTTTGGGTCTGAAAAGTAATACCAAGCAACCACTTTCAATAAGAAAGCAAGATATGAAGTCTAAGTGTGATTGGCCTATGGGAACCCAAGTTATATGACTAAACCAATTTTCTACTTAGAGTGACAGTAATCTGAATCATGGACTGTGGAACCTTAAAAGCAATCCAAAGGAAGCCATTTTTGTGAGGTTTGAGTTTGATTGGCCAACACAAAATTGAGTTAACATAGGGAAACTGATATTTCTATTTTATTGCAACAGTGACCTTGACCTTTGACCTTCAAAACTGTAAAGCAATCCCAAGAAAATAATTTGAGTAAGAATGTACTGTATGAAGTTTGGGTTAGATCGGCCGTTACGGTAAGTGACCTTGACCTTTCACCTTTGGAGATAAAAAGCTACTCAGTGCAAGCATTTCCAATAAGAAAGCACTGTATGAAGTCTGAGTATGATCTGCCAACGAAAACTTAAGTTATCACATGGGAAAAAGTGCTGACGGACAGATGGACGAATGGACCCGGTGATTACTATATGGCACCTGCCCTAATAAGCAAATGCTATTCTACTAATACAAATTTGCAATTTCAGCAGAAGCATTAACTACATTATATTGTAATAAGCCAATCCATTATTTTGAATCATAGGTTCTTTATTTGCCCCAACAGTTGTAGAATTAGTACGCTAAGTCTGCTTTTGACAAAGTTCTGTCAATAACATACTTCAGCTGACCAAGTTCTGTCAATAAACCTTACTTCAGCTTACAAAGTTCTGTCAATAAGACTTTATTTCAGCTAACAAAGTTCTGTCAATAAGACCTTAATTCAGCTGACAAAGTTCTATCAATAAGGCCTTACTTCAGCTGAAAAAGTTCTGTCAATTAGACCTTAATTCAGCTGACAAAGTTCTATCAATGAGACTTTATTTCAGCTGACAAAGTTCTATCAATGAGTCTTTATTTCAGCTAACAAAGTTCTATCAATAAGGCCTTACTTCAGCTGAAAAAGTTCTGTCAATTAGACCTTAATTCAGCTGACAAAGTTCTGCCAAAAAGGCCTTACTTCAGCTGACAAAGTTCTATCAATGAGACTTTATTTCAGCTGACAAAGTTCTGTCAATAAGACCTTAATTCAGCTGATAAAGTTCTGCCAAAAAGGCCTTACTTCAGCTGACAAAGTTCTGTCAATGAGACTTTATTTCAGCTGACAAAGTTCTGTCAATAAGACTTTAATTCATCTGATAAAGTTCTGTCAATAAGACTTTAATTCAGCTGACAAAGTTCTGTCAATAAGACTTTACTTCATTTGACAAAGTTCTGTCAGTAAGACTTTAATTCAGCTGACAAAGTTCTGTCAATAAGACTTAACTTCATTTGACAAAGTTCTGTCAATAAGACTTTAATTCAGCTGACAAAGTTCTGTCAATAAGACTTTAATTCAGCTGACAAAGTTCTGTCAATAAGACTTTACTTCAGCTGACAAAGTTCTGTCAATAAGATCTTACTTCAGCTGAGAAAGTTCTACCAATAAAACCTTACTTCAGCTGACAAAGTTCTGTCAGTAAGACTTTAATTCAGCCGACAGAGTTCTGTCAATAATATCTTACTTTAGCTGACTTTGAAACCACATCTCGGATACAACTGGTTACAATTTGTACATAGATTTATACCGATTATTTCTGAGATTCTTTGAGAAATATTGCGAAATTGGATCATTCATTAAAATGCACATTAAAATCCATTAAATACTGGATTAGATAAATAGCTGTGTCATCTCATGATGAGGGATGGTATACTTCTACCAGTGGTATTTTAATCATAATAGTAAGAGACAGATAATATATTGTAACAAATGATCCCAGAGGGATCTTGGTGCCCACCATTGTCTGTCGGCCATTTTGTTATTTTGAACGTTCCCAGAATCAAATTGCCACAACTAAGACCAAGGGAAACCTACATATGACATTTAAGAAAGATCCATCATGTACTAATCAAGAAAGATATAGCGATTACATACTTGCAAAGTAAAAATACAAGATGGCTGCCTTTCAGCCATTTTGGTGTTTTGTCAGGCCGAAAATCAAATGGGCACTACAAGGGTTAGAAGGAAACTTGCATATGAAATTTGAGATAGATCCATCCAGATCTTCTCCAGAAAAAGCGATAACAAAAAACATTAACAGACTGATGGACCGCGGATGCAGAGCAATTTGAATAGCCTACCATCTAATAATGGTGGGCCAAAAATCTGCCATTTACAAATTTGATAAAATTAAGCATTAGCTTGCAAATATTTCTGTTGCCATTACAAGATATAATAGGATTCAATAAAATATCTAAATTCATTATACCAACAGTATGTACTTTATTATGCTGAAGGTATGGGTCCCTTCACAACCAATGACTGACATACTCCAGCTAGTCAACCCTACACCTGCCGTTGTGAAAAGTGTAATTTGCAGCATCCTTTTACAATTATCTAAAATATCTAATGGTAATGGTTGAAATGTAAACCAACTCAGTTTCATCTCAATCTAGCCATATTTATTTGCTCCAAACCTTCCATTCCACTACATAACAAAAACTTTAATAACTTCAATAAAGTGTACATACAGGTGAACCTTGTTATTTCAAAGTCTCTTGAACCATGAGAAAACTTCAAGTCATCTGGGTATTTGATTTAAGTGAGCTCCAATGCTTTTTGTGATACTTGGCTGGGACCAATAAAATATTTCAAATTAAATAATAAAGGTAGAATTCAATCACAACACACCCAAGCGTCACCAATTAGTGGGGAATTTATCATGGTCGACTAGTTTCGCCTCTAGGGTGAGGCTTCATCAGGACCTGATGAAGCCTCCCAACGCGCAGCACCCCACTGATCAACCCTCACAGCTGGAACTGACGTTGGCTCTATTTTTAGTTGTTAATTTCAAATTAAATGTGGTTATCAAGTTACATGAGTTTGAGATAACAAGGTTTTTCTTATGTATTTTAAATCTACACTGTTGCATTGTTCTTCTGAAATGCTACCAATGAACTTTCAGAAGCACAGCTAATTTTGGTCCTTCAGGAATTGATTTTTTTGTATTTAGCACTATTTTCATATTAAAGCAACATCACGATAAAAACATAAAGTTTGTTACTGATTGTGTGTTTTATACATTTACGTTTCTATGCCATACCAATATTCATGGTCAATTTCCAATGTCTAGCTTGACCACTTCTTTTTGTTTGTGAAAACCCTCTCAAAATCTGTGCTGATAACATTACATACAAGCTTTGAAAACAATTCATTTCATAAAAACACGAGCATATGATGCCGGCCAGGAATGACACCAACAGTAGCGACAAAGATAGTAAAATCCTTTTTTAATATCAGATTTTGTTGATAACTCTAAGTTAATCATATTTACAAAATAAGCGACATTCACCACAAACATTGTTGAGACCATTTCCTTTGGGTTTACAGTGTCCGTGTTTTGTGTGCATGCGTTATCATATATGATGCAAAAACCTTTTTATGTGCATATGTCAGTGAAAACCAACTGTTATCGTTAATAAGGCGATACATTTGATATGTACGAAATGATAAAATAATAAAAAAAAATCAGTTAAAAACATGTTTTACCATGATGTATCCACAACATGTATGCACTAACTGCAGCACGTCTTTATTGTGATCTACTGTCAATATCCTATTTTGTTACGTATCACAAAGGATAAGTCCTTTTAACAGTTACCTGATTCTAAGATCTAATGAATATATTTTGTACTTGTGATATCATCTGGGCATCCAGATCTCAAAATTGTGTAAAAGCATTCCAAAGACCTGTAAATCCTAGCTACCACAGTTAGAAATTAAAAATGACACTGACAAGAATTATTCCTAAAATGAATATTTACAAGAGGAGTTTAATAAGTGATCTGGTATAGTTTTTTCATTGGAAATGTCTTGTCAATACTAATAACAAATTAACTGACTGTGGTCGGATCAATGATAAACAACATTGTATTCTGTATTATGGAAACTGTGCAGCAACGTATAGCAACTATATGATGTTAACTACTGCCATTGTCTCTGTAACGATAATCTAAGTATGAGAAACTATGTTTATTCTGTAATGACAAGTGTATTTATACAATTTATGGATTTACCATCTCATTATCTAAACAAAATAAAAGGTTAATTCGTACGTCATTCACATCAATAATCGTATCATTCATCTTCATTCTTACACTCGCATCTAGTTTCACTTCATTTTTCAGAGCTAAATTCATCAACATCCAGGGTTTTCCATAAGAGTCGGTCGCCGGCCAATTTGACTGGCTACTTTGATCATTTGCCCACCTACAGCAATCCAGTTCCGTAATAATGTTCCGTACACGACTACACGTACACAGCAGGACAGCCTCCTACTTTCATTACACAGCCTACTATTGTCAAAATTATGGAAAACTCTGAACATCTGCAACATTCTCTCTCTCATGAACAATACCTTAATACATCTATCAGTTTATTCCTTTTACACTCAGTTCCTTCCCACATAATTTGAATTTTCTAACTATTAAGAAAATGTATTATCAATCCTCAGATTTCATCATTCATATCTTACTTCCACAGTCAAAGTATCATGAGTACTGACTTTTTATTGCATGTTTTATGTAGTACCATGACACAATCTGTACACTGGGTCACTTTCCCAAGAAATTTCTACTCGTAGATTTGATTTACAACAATATAGTCCTGTGTAATGACGGTGCCTAGGTAAGAGACTTGAATATGTATCACTGACTTATAGCACCGAAGGTCTGTAGTTTTACTGTACTCATTTGTCCTCAATCTAAGACGTCTTCTGTTGTTTCGGTGTTGATTCAGCAATGTCTCGGTGCTGGTCACTGTGACGTTTTCGTGAGCCTTCACTCTGATGCTTATTGGATTGTGCATCCATATTTGGTTCAGTCCACAATTTTCCAGTATTAACATCTTTCACTTTTTGGAAAGCAAATACTAAATATATAGCTGGAAAAAAAAGACTTCGGTACAATGTTTGAACAATTAAGTAAGTTTTAAATTCAGACAGAAAAAAAGGAAATCTTATCAGTGACCTTACCCCAACATGTCATGATATTTTAAGACTAACAGTAAGTTAAGAACCCATTTCTGATATAGGGTAACACTGAACAAGATGTAGAAGAAAACCAGGAGGATTTGTCTTGCAACTTAAATTTTCAGTGATTGAAATTGAAATATAAATTTAGATTAAAATTTTGTTTTACGTAAAATAGTAAGTCAGATTTTTGGCGCCTATGCCAATAACCTTGATATAAGTACACTGTATGTATATACCTTATTTCATTTGGCAATTAATGTGAATGAAAATATGAATATCTAGTGCCTTAATAATATCACAAGCATAAACAGGATGAAACATAGAGAATCTTAGGTTAGTTATTTAGAATTTGTTAAATGAGTTCAATAATTTTATATATCATAATTTAGGCATGTAATATATCAAATCATTTGAGAGGTTGTGAAAATTTCATATAACATTGGCACAAGTGTAAGATTCTATTGATCACATTACCTTTATTTCAAAAGTATAAGTGAAAACTCTAAGATAGTTGTTTTTATAAACAGATGGGTGCAGACTGACACTACCGCAACAATCTTGTAACATCATCAAGAGGCAAGTCATTTATGATGTCAGAATGGTGTTATTTCGAATGTGCTTTACAGAATTTACGATATGAATGTATGACATGACACAACAAGCCAGCCATGTCATAAATCATATTTCTGTACCATGTGTATAACCTTTGTTTCTTCTCCTCAATGTTTGACACAAACAGGAAACTGGATTATGTACCTTAAATCTGACATAAAACATATTAATCAGTTATCTATCTGTAGCCACCATACTAAACCTGAAACATTTGGTGTTGTCTAGAGGGACACAGTCACTTTCCAGTTACTAATTACTTGTTCAAATAACCTAAACTGAAACACTGAAGCCTGATAATTATATAGGGATGGGATCAATTGCTTGGAGAAAACACAGCTATTACTGTGTCAGTGTAAAAATCAGGGAAGATTCATGTTTTGAGACCTAAATACTACTACTGAAAACCATACTTTATACTTGTATATAACAATTTTGTGGATCAAGACAACAATTTACATATAATGGAATTAATGCTGTTGTGAGGACAAATGCTACGTCTACCACATGTCATAAATAAAAACAATACAGTAATCTTTCAAATTTTTCCAAATAGATATTTTTGTGGGGAGATTACGAACAAAGCTTTATTAGTAATTACTTCTTACTCTTCTGAAGTAACAGAAATTCCTCGCAGTGAATAGAGAAAATATCAGTGTTTTCTCTACAATCATTTTAATGCACCAGATATTACCATAATGTGGAATGGAACAGTGACAGGTGGGATATATACCGATATTTTAAAACTTACTTGAGGCATCCCATTCTGCTTGTGACAATGTTCCCTGAAATAATGTAAAAGAGAGCACAATCATCAATCAGAGTTTTCATATTTCAAGAAGATCAAATTACATGAAGTTTTGGGAGTCAATTAAACAGTTAGCAGACCTGGATTTTGTCTCAGATATTTAATTTAGCTTCCATTCTGTTTTGTAAGAAAATCACTGTGCCATATCAAAATATAATACATATCTTCCTAGAACATTCAATATCATTATGGTTATATGGGTGTACACTAAAACAAGACAAATTTGTAAGTTCTGCTTATACAAATATTAAAGTATCTAACGAGTGCTTGAAACAATAGTATGCATTCCCATGGACCAGTGTAAAAAAATGTTTACCACTCTAACAGGGCGATGATGCTTGAGGTCCTCCGGCCGCGTGTCCTCCTCCTTGAGTTTGTTGAGGCAGATCTCTGTGTCTTTGTAGTCATTTGAATTGGTGCCTACTAGTGCTGTGCCTTCGGGAGGAGGATAACACTACAAACACACATATATATATATAAAGGATTCAGGGATTATTCGAGCAAAATATGAACCGATAACACAATAAACTCTGTTCAATGCTTTCTTACTGTATAAGTACATATTATTGCCCTCAGTTACTTGATCTCTAACTTACCTCTAACACCTATATCCAGAGACCATGTAAATCAAATTTAAAACTGTTGAACTGAAATATACCTCTAATGTTGATGCCCTGCGATTGTTTATCTCAAACTTACCTCTAATGTTGATGCCCTGCGATTGTTGATCTCAAACTTACCTCTAATGTTGATGCCCTGCGATTGTTGATCTCAAACTTACCTCTAATGTTGATGCCCTGCGATTGTTGATCTCAAACTTACCTCTAATGTTGATGCCCTGCGATTGTTGATCTCAAACTTACCTCTAATGTTGATGCCCTGCGATTGTTGATCTCAAACTTACCTCTAATGTTGATGCCCTGCGATTGTTGATCTCAAACTTACCTCTAATGTTGATGCCCTGCCATTTTTTATTTCAAACTCACCTTTAATGTTGATGCCCTGCGATTGTTGATCGCAAAAGTATCTCTAATGTTGATGCCCTGCCATTTTTTATCTCAAATTTATCTCTAATGTTGATGCCATGTGATTGTTGATCTCAAACTTACCTCTAATGCAGACATTCTCCCTAACAACCCTCTGTGTTCACCTATCTCAGATTTTTCTGCGAAGTATTCATCAAATGGTTTTCTATAAACCAGCTTCATACCCAATTCCTCTGCCATTCTACAATAAGGAGAATTTATTGCATATAGTGGGTATTTCATGGGGATGATGGAAGACAACAAGTATCAATTTGAATAAGCTAGTTGTTTTCAAACTTTTTCCTCAAATAAGCCTAGGGGTCAACACATTATCCTGACCTAGAATTCAGGAGTGGGATTATTACAGGAAAGTAAACAAGCATTTATTTGTGATTCTTCCGATTTATAATAGTCTTGGGAGGGCTTATTTCCAGGAATGGACTTATCACCAAATGAATACGCTTATATGGTCAAATATAAATCAGTACCAGTGATTAGATTAAATTTCATTTAATCATATAGTGCCATAATAGAACCAATCTATAAAGCACCCTAGACATAAAGGTTACTGCTGAAACATTCAGATACTGTATTCCTTCAACGATTAGACAAACCCATCCATATGTATTGCTGTTGCGTAGCATTAGGAACCAATAGTGTTTCCATGTCCTGCTGTTTCTTGTAAGATAAATATCAACAGTATTTTCTGGCTCGCAGTAAGTTAATAAATTAATGTAATGATTAATCTTAAATATAAGGCTAGAGGAAATCAGTTGTCCAGAAATTCAAGATAAGTAATACTTCATAGTTGCCCTCAGCCCATTTTATCCAATCAGGAGATTTTTGAGCATGTTTCTTAATATAACATCTCATATACAATCAGCAACCCTGTTAATTATAAACTGTGATGTAATGTTGGACTTACTTTTCCAACACTGGGAAATACACAAGGAACTCTGGGCAGTCCACAACACCCTCTAAATGGAAGTTATACTTGGCTCCAAACAGGGGAATGTTATCAACATCTTCAGAACAGAAACTCACACTGTACACATCATTGCCCGCACACCGATCAGGAGAGTCACGAAACCTTCGCCTGAAACAATTATTGTGTCCTCGACAGGTCACAACTGAACTGTGGTGGTGTATTTCTATTGTAGACTTATAAATTTCAACTTTATAACTAATACATACAAAGTATCTATATCTTTAACAATGAAAACTGTGAAAACATTCTGAGAACATGTTTACATAACCTAAGAATCTATGACTTTAAATCAGGTTGACATATATTTGCATTCTCAGAGATAATTATCAGGATGATTTATTAAGTACGCAGGAAACTTAACCTTCTATCTTGTAAATACTTAGTTGTATATTTGACTTTTTATCCATACAAAATAATACATGACTTAAGTACTTAATCTACTGGGTACATGTAGTGGATCACCACAGCTCAGTCCCTTAGAGCGTAGACCTATGTAATCTAAGCTGAAGACAGGAAGTGGTGGTTCAATGCTCCCTACTCACTCTAGAACCTGTAGCATGTGAAACTTGAAGAAATCAAAAAGATGTGAAAAAACTTCTAGCATGACTTACACAATTTCATATGAGTCAGGCGTTGTTCCTATAAAGTACCCACCAAGCTTTAAACATTCACAGGCATTCTGTAGCATTAGTTTGGCTTGTGGGTAGCTCTCAAAACAGTAGTGAAAAGAAAACTGACAACTTGTGATGTCAAATGTTGTGTTGCTGTCCTTGTAAGTGTCTCTCAATCTCTCCTGTAGACAGAGAAAGAATTATATCACCAAGTATTCCCCATAGTGTCTATCATAGTAAATATGATATATATAGATCATGGGTTGGAAATTTGTGTCAAGTCTCTGTGGTTTTCCATGTATTTTGTATTAGAACTAATTATGGTAATAGGACTGTGCAATAAGTGTTCATACTTTTGACATTATTGTCATTAATGCATTGGCAACATTTAAACATGGGAAATATTGATAAAAGATAACATCTGTGCTAAACGAATTATTTCACTTACTTTAGTACAATCTGCTGTTATAAATTCTGCAGAGAAGATTCTATTTGGGCCTCGGTCATTCCGACCACGGTCAACCATTTCCTGATAGCGACTCTGGCATTGTTCAACAGAGGTGGCTGCTATATCTGAAAGTGTATCCCGTTTTGAAAAATTGTTACATAAAGAGGTTAGGGTAAACAGCTCTCAAAACATGTTTTGCTTTGGCTTTAAGAAATTCTAAACTTTTTGTTGAAATACATGCTAACCAGTAAGCATGGAAACAAAAGGTAAAATAATCCTATATAATATATAAACTAAATGTACAAACAGGCATCCAACACACAACTAAACATGATTTTTTATAGGTTTTGAAAAAATTGTGTCATTGGAAAACTTTTATTTCTAATCTGTTTATTCCATACCTGCACACACAATTTTAGATATCTGTCCTTTCTTCCATTTGAGAAGATCACCGCCTTTACCACAACATAGATCAAGTACACTGAGGTCAGAACGTTCGTTACTTTGGCCATGTACAGCCTGGATTGTCTCCCCTGTTTCAAATGCAACCGTAAATGCCCAAACATGTAAATGCCAGCAAATGTGCAAAAAAGCAAAAAAAAAAACAAAACAAAACACAAAAAAAAACCAGAACTGTTCCGCTTTTTAACATCAAAGGTGAATTTGACATTTGAACCAATAGTTATGCCTATAGAATTTCTTTATTAACCAACATTATAGCTCGCTTTGGGAGATCCTACACAATATATGCAGATTTTAACCACTGTACATATTTGGCAATAATCCCAAGCTGATTTGAGCTCATATGTACATATTTCTGTACTAGGAAATGACAAATCAATATACCAATGCAATGTAATAAGCTCACCCCTGATATTGATCTTAAGTAAGGAGTAACATGTTGTCCCCTTGTCTTATTCAGTGAATTATGGAAATGTCTAAAAATGATGGCCCACTCCACAAGAGAAACAGAATATTATTGTGACCATGCTGCTTGCTTTGCAATGATCATGAAATTTTGAGTTATTTATGAAATTTTGAGTATGATACACTTACCAATAAGAACGCTTTTTATCCAGTTATTTATGAAATTTTGAGTATGATACACTTACCAATAAGAACACTTTTTATCCAGTTATTAAAATTTCTCAGATGGAATATACGACTTTCTTTTCTTTTCTCCAGGCCGGATTCCTGTAACTCATTGTAATGCTTAGCAACAGTTGAAGTAAGATCCTCTTGTCCTTTTAGCTGTATTTAAAAAGATAGCAGGAGTCATTGTATGTTTCTTCTAATTTTCAATTTTTGTCAATTAAGTACAATTCACAGAGAAATAAAATCTCAAGTCATCAATGTTGATGGTGCACTAATGATCAAGAGCTATTCTTTTACAGTCACAAGGATCTTTTGAACTTGACCCCGCAACAAACAAGGAAATTATTTTTTCTCTTCCAGCAGCATCTGCCATCTCTTTATGATTTTGTTTATTTAATTATTCTCATGGATTAACTTCTCATTTGTTTTATTCCTTAAAAGAAAATGAAGATCGGAGACCTCAGAGATTGAATTGGTGCATTATGTTTTTATTCTTCAATTTAGAATGTTTAAAGGAGCAGATTTGAGAAAACTGAAGTATCTTATTTCTTCAGAGTTTCTCTGTTTATTAACAGTGGGATAATGCTATAGCTATTCATGACCAAATTCTTTTATTTTCATCACCATAATGATCATAAGACTCCCCAACTCAAATATACAGTTCAACAGATATTCAGCAAATAATATTTCATTATTTCCTCGTACTGAAAATAGAATGTTCTCTGTTTGAAAGTACAATGAAGATATTGGTAGCTTTTTCAACACATAGATGTCATGTTTAGGTTCTTTTTAATAACATTTCATCATATTTCCAAACGTTGTACTCACATTTTGTTCTGCCATCCTAGATCTGATGTCATGTGAACTGGAGTTTTCCCAACCCTTTCCAATGAGAAAAGTATTCTAATGATACACCAGTATAAAAAGCGAATAAAAAGTAAGACAAGTTAAGTTTTTGATTTAAACGAAAAAAATTTAAAGTATGAAAAAATAAGAAATGACTGACTCAATTATTCATGAATTGTCCAGTGTGAAAAGGAGAAACAATAGGTCCATGGGTCTTAACGGTCATCTGACTACAAAAACTTTCAGCAGTGAATGAAATTGACAGTAACGTTGGAGCTCAATCCCAATGGTGAAACTTGAGAATTTTGAAATAGGTGTTGCACAGGAAAACCATGATTGCACAATCGTGTTATAAAATGGCCTCCCTGGCTGCCATATCAAAGTTTTGACAAGGTTGAAAAATGACACTTTGTTGGCCACCTTTCCTTAACATTCCCACCAATTTTTAGCTCAATGGCACCAATGGAACTGGAGAAGAAGTTTAAAATATGTTTTTCAAGATGGCGGCCATCTTAGATTTCAGATAATGAATTACAAGTTTGAACAAAATATGGAATATTTATATGGGAGAATACTAACATACATATCGTGTTACCAAGCGATATGTTAATAATCATAATTAACTTAATTGATATGTTGTAGGGTTTCCCTTTAGCTCACGCACGTCATAATTGGCAAGTTTATCACGGAGAAATAAAACAATATTGTGTTGTGTTGGATATTGCTGCATGCCACATAAGGTTTCATTACAATATGGCATTCAAATTTTACATCGTGGACAGTTAGTTGTCGAAGTTATATTTCCATATCTCAACAACTGTATGTCAAAATATCTATAGTTAACGTCTGGTGCAAAAGTCAGAAGAACTCGCAATAGGCCTACTGATGAGAAACGCAGGTGTACATCCCTGGAGTTGAGGATGTTGTGAACTTGATATGCAGATGTGGACGATTTCTTTAACATGGAATGTATACAATAATTTACGTTGACGTTTTTTGTAAATGGATGTAAATCAGAATCACATACTCAACACGTATATATAATGTGAGGCCTATATCAGTTTAACTGGAAATATAAAGATAATATACAGCTGATGTAGACCTACAACGAACAGTTTTTCTCGTGGTCGATCCGTCCGGTGTTTATGCTAATCTCGGTCAACTAGACCCTTGGTGTAAGCACACTTTCACGCTTACTTTGATCAAACGGCTAGGTGATCACATTTGAAATGTGATGTCGTGAAAACTTTATGTACAATTAATAATAATAAGATTGTTTTTTCTATTTGTTCGTAATTCACATAGAATAAATGTGTTTCCACTTATCTAACCATTATAGTTTCTAAGTGTCGTAAAGATACGATTTCGATCCTGTTTTTGGCAACGTTCACCACATGTCCTATTTTTAAGGAAATGTCATTTTCTGTAAAGTTTCGTCATTTCTGAATGTTCTGTGTCGTGGTTCATGCAATTTCCAAGTAGCATGTTGAATTCAACACGTGCCTGCGTTCACAGATCTGTGCAACATTTCTGTCAGCATCCGATATCCATTTCAAGCACAAGACGTGCCCTCGAAAAGTCCGTCAGAGCGCGTCCATGGATTTTGACATATCGCAAGAAACCGACACAAGATAAATGCGTCCAAAGATACATGAAGACTGTACATGGTAATTGTCTTTCCATTTTTTCTATAACAATATTTACAATGTGTGAACAACCTGATGCACGTGATGTTCGAGTCTATGTGAATGGGGTTGGTAACAAATTGGAATAATGTATTGGGTTGATCATAGCTAAATTTACATGTAGTTTTCGATTTGTGCAACAAATTGACTAAAGGGTTCTGACTATTTACCATGACCAAGACAAAGGTAAAATTGCCGATAGATAGTCAAAACAATTCGGATTTTGTAGCCAAAAGAAGCTTTAACTTATCTCTTGTCTATGTGAATGTACCTGAGATACAACTGTGAAGTTAGAGCATCTAACAAGGGTTTGGAGCCCCAGGGTGACATCTTGTATTGTCGTGGCAGATTTGATGCCTGGCGAAAAAAATAATTCTTTTTCCAAAAATATGTAGATATATATGGTATTTCTCAAGGTAATGAAATTTAGAGCAAGGAGAAATGTTAATTGTTTACATAATGTCAAGCATTCTGTATATATACAAGTTTTTAAAAGAGATAACAATTTTTTTTAAAAACCACCATCCTACATTCTTCTATTATTCTTTCAACAAAACAAATATTGATTACATTTGTGGTTAGTTCTGGATATATTGCCGCCTTATTGCTGAAGTGAATGTGATGGTATTTGACCTGGCAACATATCTTTTCAGCAGCTGAAACAATTTACACATTGACTAGATAAAGGCAAGTTATAATAATACTAATTCATTTTCAGAAGGGACAAGCCCTGTATTGGTAAACAGACTCCAGTGCCCATCAAATTGGCTGAACAAGCAGACATTTATGTACCAGAGATGTTTTCCTTTGTTTGGATCCCGCTGTGATTTTAACTATGTACAGATAAATCGTTACCACAGTCACATCAACTACAGGCATTTTAGTGTACAGTTGCGACAAAAACAAAAGTCTACAGAAGAAATTAAAACAACACCTGAAGAAGGAGAAAACAATTTGAAGGAACCTGAGGAGAAACTTACTTTAGTACAGAGATTTAAAAAAACCTATAAGGAACACGGAAAAGTTCTTATTGGCGTGCATCTGGTAACATCATGTGTCTGGTTTGGAACATTCTACGGCATAGTAGATAGGTAAATCTTGTAGAATTATGTCTTGTGTGAATATCCACAGTATTGTATAGCTGTAAATATCAAATACCACCATCTCTCAGTGAAGTTTAATGTTATTGTAGATATACGTGTATTTTAAAATGATCATTTATCATTTATAACTGATTCGGAGAATGTTAATTGAATTTAATTCACATCAAACATTTTGATTAAGTGGACATGCAGCTCAAACACTTATTGGAAATATAAGTTTCTGATGATTCTTGGCATATCTGCCCAAATGCTTTTAACAACTTCTTCTAGAAATAACAAGAAACCAAAGGGGCCATGAACTTCAGCCAGTATCATACTGGGTAGAAGGGCATGAATTCTTTTTCACGCGTATCACCTGGCTGGTTTTCAAGGTCACAAGTGTCTTATGTGTTAAACATTGGAATAACTTGAAGAGGATTAATGCTACATCAGGGTTTTCCATAAGAGCTGGTCGCCGGCCAATTTGACTGGCTACTTTGATCATTTGGCCGCCTACACCAATCCAGTTCCGTAATAATGTTCCGTACACGACAACACGTACATGGCAGGCCAGCCTCCTACTTTCACTACACAGCCTACTATTAACAAAATTATGGAAAACCCTGCTACTTGATGAGTAGCTATTACATACTGTGATTGTGAACTCTCCAGGTCATTCAGATAATTCAAGGTCACAGATAGAGATGTGAAAAACCAGTTTCTTGTTAATAACCATTAGATTGAGAAGCACAGAATCATGACTTTTGACCAATTTTTTGTTCTATAGAAAACAGAGGTTGAAAGTTAGCAATTTTTGTAGGACTTTTTTTCTGGCAAGTCCAGCACCCATTTTCTTAATCTTGATCAGTCACATTACTAAGAGATGTGTTCTCAAAATTTCAGTTAAGCCCACAGGAAAAGCACGAGAGCATCCAAAAAATCACTGAAAATAGTGTTTTACTGCATGTTTACTTGAAATGTAGGCGTTGAAAGCAAGAGATCTCTCAGATCAGTGGAATGGATGTTCATAACTTTAAATTTATAATCAAAAATATATCAAATTAATTATTGTAATTATTCATTTTTTATTTTTTAATTTGCAGTGGAGTGGATATTGTGGCCTTACTGGAAAAATTGGGCTGCAGTGAAACAATCATCAATCCATTTAAGTCATCGAGTATGGGAAACGTGGCACTTGCTTACCTGATGTATAAGCTAGCTACTCCTGCTAGGTACACTGTTACCATTGGTGGCACAAATATGGTCATAAAATACATGAGGAAGACAGCCAGACTTCCACCTTTAAAGAAGGAAGACCAACTAAGAAGCATGTTTAAGCAAGAAGTAAAGGATCGCAGTACCAAGTTAAAACGCCGAGCGATAGCAAGGGCAAAGAGAACTAAACGGATCAATGAAGGAAGGAGGGTTATAGCTGTAGGAAGAGACTTTATCACAAAATGTAAATCAAAAAGTGACAGGATCCGACTTAAATGGAAATCATTTCGACTTAACAAGAAAAATTCTAAGAGGAAAAATGGGAGTAGTTCTAGAAACTGACATATAGTTTTGCTTGTGATGATGAAACAGTCTGTGATTAATTACGTGAGTGAAAGGTTTAAGAAATAAAGCGATTTTTTGTTTTACCTGGTGAAAACCTGAAAGTGGTGCATTCTTAGTTATGCTGTCAAGAAGCTGTCAATATTTGTTTTCATTAAGAATGAACTGGTGGAGGACAACCATGTATTTGTTGATAACTTACAACACTGGCGCCTTGTTGATTTATTTTAAAATGGATACAGTACCAGTATAAAGGTATCAGTAGCCAAAAAAATTTTAGGTATTTGATTTCTAATTTTTTAATTTACGAATGTTGGACAGATGTAAACTTAATCTAATGAAATTAAAGAAACATACAAATTATACATGTAAACCTGATTATTGATCTTTGTTCTAAAATATTGACTTTATTTGTGAAGGGAGCCAAATTTTCCCAGGATTTATAGATTTCCATTTTGAATATAAGTAATAAATGTTAAGATGCAGAACCAATTTTCTAATTCTCTTTGTGATTGCTATAGATATTTTACATTCCAAATCTGTATTGAGAAAACCTTACCATCCCATTTGTTATTGGCTCAACATCTCTAAAATTGTCACAAAAAATTGTGTAGTTTATTTGTATTTTTTAACGAAAGCTATTTGTTGGAATGACATGCAGGGTCATTGATTACAGTTGACGGTCTTATTTGTAGTCACTGATGTATGTTTAATTTGATTTCAATAAATCAAATACATGAAAATGCAAACTTTGCAAGGTAAAGGTAGAAATTTTAAAATGTACTTAAGATATGTGAACTTGGTGGTAACATTATCTGTCCATGATCAGCTGTGCTAATTGTAAAAGCATTTGTATACACTTTTGTCAGGAAGAATGCTCTTCTTTCACTTACCAAATAAACATATGCTGCTGACAAATGGCAGTTACTGTATTATGACACAAATGGAACCAATTAAGAATGTCTACGAAGATCATGTAAATAAGCTTGAGAGTGAAGACAATGGTTTGTGATATCGTGTTTATTCAGAGACGTGTTGACATTATTGAGCTGATCGAACACATTTCAGTGAGAATTAAATCATATGTCTATTTATTCTTCTGTAAATATTTTATGCTGTTATTTCCTTAATTACCTCAGTTGAAAGCTCATTAAAATACAGGTCTCTTAGGCATTGTCTAAAGAATATGTTGATATAGTGCTACATTATTGAATATCTTAATTCAAATTCTGTACAACGCATGCATTAAGGTTGGTTATACCAGTGTTTTGTTCTGATTTCTTAGAAATATTTTTGTAAAAGGTAGATGTTATTGACGCAAACTCCTTATACAGTATTGTTTTATGTTTTGCAAGCTCTTTTCATGAATGCATTATTGAATTCTTATAGCATAAATATACCTTTATTTATCCTTCGCTAAAACCATGGCTGACATTTTACCATGTACCTAAATCATTGTTCAATTTGAACTACAAATTATGGCAACTACTTTTCTTATAATAATCATCTACCCACCTTCTTGATTTTAATAAAGGCAATGCTTTGGCTCCTTGTCTTATTGTAGGGTGAATATTGTGTGCGATATGGTATATCACATTCATGAGCAAGTGGGGATTGACTTAAGTAACTAGAGGATCGTACATGAATTTACATTTCACCCCAGATTGATGAAATGAATCTAGTTAGATTAAGAGATAAAATTGTAAGGAGTTTCATAAATTTTACAAAGGTAAGATTCTGTTTGTCACATAACTTCAATATTTTTGCAAACATTTGTGAAAAACTACATTTTATTAGGTTTATGCAGAATTTTAATTGGCAATACTAATAATCCATTTTTTTTCTTTGGTGACTTCACTATGCAAATGATGCCAAGAAGCTTTGAAACAATGGGAACTTTCAGCCAATCAGTTTCACAAGGTCATATAAGATGTGTGTAATAATAATCATAAAAATCATGTAATGGATGTTATACTGATGATGATGTAGTCATATGACAAAAGTGATTTGTAAAATATTTCAAATCAGTTCAAGCATTTTTGACAAGAATCTGAATTTTTGCAGTTAATTATGAATAATATTAAAGTGACAAATTTTAAAACCATTAATGTGTTTTTACTTTCATTCAGACATTTGTTATGTTTTTGACAAGTTCTCAGTAATGTACTAACAAAGTTTTGAAGTGCAGAGTTAACTCAAGGTAGTGTTTGTTGTTAGGTTACTTACTGGTTTATCATCTGGTGACCAGCCAGGTGGGAGTAACATTAGGGAACAACATTAAGTAAAGTGATCAAAAATAAATCATAGAGACATCAAATGTAAACAAAATGTAACATGGCTTCACTTAACTTGGAGTTCATTCACCATTATGGTATTTTGACCATGGTTCATTTCAACATGCTTCACAATACCATGCTTCACTGGGTCTCCTGCTGTTGCAGGTGACTACCTCACTAAACATGATACAGGAGGCCCATCATACATTTTCTAGACCAATATGTGTAAACTGTCTTCAGCCTTGACAGCGTGGTCTGAGATCTAGTAATGTGTAAACTGTCTTCAGCAAGGCCTTGTCTGAGATATAGTAATGTGTAAACTGTCTTCAGGAAGGCCTTGTCTGAGATCTAGTAATGTGTAAACTGTCTTCAGCCCTGACAGCATTGTCTGAGATCTAGTAATGTGTAAACTGTCTCCAGGAAGGCTTTGTCTGAGATCTAGTAATGTGTAAACTGTCTTCAGCCTTGACAGTGTGGTCTGAGATCTAGTAATGTGTAAACTGTCTCCAGGAAGGCTTTGTCTGAGATCTAGTAATGTATAAACTGTCTTCAGGAAGGCCTTGTCTGAGATCTAGTAATGTGTAAACTGTCTTCAGCCTTGATAGCATTGTCTGAGATCTAGTTATGTGTAAACTGTTTTCAGGAAGGCCTTGTCTGAGATCTAGTAATGTGTAAACTGTCTTCAGGAAGGCCTTGTCTGAGATCTAGTAATGTGTAAACTGTCTTCAGGAAGGCCTTGTCTGAGATCTAGTAATGTGTAAACTGTCTTCAGGAAGGCCTTGTCTGAGATCTAGTAATGTGTAAACTGTCGTCAGCCTTGACAGCATGGTCTGAGATCTAGTAATGTGTAAACTGTTTTCAGGAAGGCCTTGTTTGAGATCTAGTAATGTGTAAACTGTCTTCAGCCTTGACAGTGTGGTCTGAGATCTAGTAATGTGTAAACTGTCTCCAGGAAGGCTTTGTCTGAGATCTAGTAATGTATAAACTGTCTTCAGGAAGGCCTTGTCTGAGATCTAGTAATGTGTAAACTGTCTTCAGCCTTGATAGCATTGTCTGAGATCTAGTTATGTGTAAACTGTTTTCAGGAAGGCCTTGTCTGAGATCTAGTAATGTGTAAACTGTCTTCAGGAAGGCCTTGTCTGAGATCTAGTAATGTGTAAACTGTCTTCAGGAAGGCCTTGTCTGAGATCTAGTAATGTGTAAACTGTCTTCAGGAAGGCCTTGTCTGAGATCTAGTAATGTGTAAACTGTCTTCAGCCTTGACTTTCTAACTCAAAAAGCCACATCTCAAATTTATTTTAATGAAGCCACATCTTATTCCAAATTCAATGGAATCAAATTCTAATTAAAAATGAAATGAATAATTAAAAATAGAAGAAAAAACACGTGTTGTAGAAGATTGATCGGTCTGTAGGGAAATCAAGATTAAATAGCTTTTGATGTAGGAATACCCTGGTAGATGAATCTGAAGTCCATACTAAGGACAAAACTTGATTAAGATTGTCTTGATAGTGACACAGTGATCACGATGTTTTTCTACTGCAAGTTTTCAATGAGAAAACGAGAGGGAGGCTCCATAAAAAATCCCGGTACCCATAGATATTTGTGTCTGTGCCTTATTCTAATGGACAGAATTACCACCAAAATCTACGAAATCTGTCAGAGGAAGACAGCTGATCAGATTTCAGATTTGATTCTTGCTGCGTGCTCAAAATCATGATAATCAGAGGAGGATCTTGGAATCCACCATTTGTGTATATATAAACTGGTATTTTTCCTTTTCTTCTATCCTCTTACATATGTCTTTGGTCAACCATTATATGTTGTCCATCAGTCACACAATTCAACTGACATGAAATTTGACCCCTTGCCACCAGAACATTGATGTTCGTTGTTTGGACAACGCTTGGTGATAGAACAGCACGAGACGAGAAATCTATGACCGATCAACATTTTTGGATAGGCAACTTTAAATGTCAAAATCATCTTGTGTTTCCTGATAGGTCCCAAAACTGATCATGCATATATGCGGAATAAAAAGAGTTTATAATGAAATTTGAGAAAATCCATTGTACTTCATTAGAAATATTTATAACAAGTTTCCACTGTCAAGATGCAAGATATGTCTGTCGGCCCTTTAGATAATTCCGTCAGTCCAAAAATTTAGCATGCACAACTGTGGAGTCACGTGAAGTCTACACTAAGTCTGTGCTAAACATACATGTAGAATATGTACGTCCTTGTTATGTCTAGCGCGTATGTCGCTGGCGAAATTTCGAGTAAAGCATGTGCTATAGACACTGATGTGAAAATCGTCGACATTTTAATTATGAATTCAAGATGGAAAATATGAGCTGGTAAGAAAAGGATAAAGATTTCTTTGATCACGCTGGATTAGGTTAAACTGCGAATTTTCTAAATAGAAAACGAAAATTTCCATTTCATTGTTGGCCATGTTTATGTCGAATTAGGTGGGTTCCATTCCAGTCCTCTTTGAGAATGATCCAATTAGTCATTTGGTGATGACAAAATTTTAAGTGTCTAATATCAAGGCTGGCTAACTGATTTAGTGGTACATGGAATTTCTCGTCATAGACATTTACTTCAGAGGAGAGACTTTGCCTTTCACCTTACAAATGAATGTCCATAAATCTGTGTCTTCATTATATTTTTGACGAAGGCAAATGGCGATTTGTTTCAGTATATTCCACGTGTTTTTATTAAACAGTTTTTAAAGTCATTACCTTGGGCTCTTTGGTGCTTTACCATAACTCGAATAAAGAGAAAACGGCGAGTCATATTTCAACTCTGGACAATATGTCAAGACTGCTACGTGGGAAGTTGTAAAGGTGAATTTCAGTAGTTCCGTCTCTAAAAACCAACTAATAACACAGACACTCGGAGTAGAGAAAACTCTATAGAAATGAACACTGAAGACCGTTGGCCAAAATTCCCAACACAAACGCATAAACAAAAAACAATTGGCAAAGCATGATGAGTCGGTAGTCGGCTATGTTAAATAAAAACGATGTTTTTTTTAAAATTTAACAAGGCAGTGAATTTTTGATTAGTTGGTATGCAGATGGCTGTATAAAGGCAAACACTGAGAGATATAAAGCAGTCAGAATCGGTAAAAAGGCAAGCGAATAAATAAAGTCTTTTAATGTCTGTAATACAGAAATGCAGTCACTCTCTTAGGCATAGACATATATTTTTTATTCAATATTTTACACCCCCACTCCCAACTTACCTATTTATCTGTTTATAGCCCTTGTTTTTATGGGGTTTTCTCTGGTAAATGGAAATTTCTTTACCACGCTATTATTTTTTTTCAATTTTTAATTTTTCCAAGTTACAATACACAAAGACCAGACAGCATACTCACTCGCTTTCATACACATATTATTATACATACATAAGGATGTGTAACATGCATCATTATGATGTTGATGATGATCATCATTATAATTATATTTCATGCAATAGACAATCATCATCATCATCACAATTTCATTGATATATTTCTCCTTAAAACCATCAAATGCATCGCACATAAAGCAGCCATCCACCCTCATCACTGTCGTCATCATCATCATCATCATCATCACTGTCGTCATCATCAACATACAGATAACATTGCATATCATCATCATCATCATCATCATCAACATCATCATCATCATCACTGTCGTCATCATCAACATACAGATAACATTGCATATCACAATCATCTTCATCATCATCATCATCATCATCATCATCAACAACAACAACAACAACAACAAACAGATAACAATGCATATCACAATCATCGTCATCATCATCATCATCATCAGCATCAGCATCAGCATCATCATCATCATCATCATCATCAACAACAACAATAAACAGATAACAATGCATATCACAATCATCGTCATCATGTAATGTCTTTCGTGTAACATCGATATTGTAATAATCTGTCTTTAAAGTACCAGTACCTCTCCGGAAAGTATAGATAAAGTGGGAGAAACCTAAGGACCTTCAGGGCAAAAACCTTGATATAGTATAGGACAAGTCGAAATAACCACACAGCGTTTGTTATACTGCGCTATACTTTGTTCTGTGTTTTATCTTACGTATGGTTTCGTGCTGGTTTTACACCATGTTTATATCGAATACAAGCTCTCGGAGCTGATGTTAATTACATGTTAACCAAGTTTGAAATAGATCTTGTGTATCTGTGTGTTCGGGGCTGGTTGTATGTTGTTATTGGTGACAAGCCCCAAGTCCTTCCTTTCAATCAGGTGAGTTCAACAGTTATGTAACTGGAGATAGAATATGAATCGAGTCATTTTCGAGACGACATGCGTCGGTTGCTGGAAAACTTTGTTTTGTCTAAATAGCAGCAAATTTACCAGAACATTACTTGGAACCAAAAAGGACAGAGGACACGCGGTGGATAAATGACTGTTGGTGCTAAAGGCATTGACACCAGAAGATTATAATTGTTACAACCGAGCATAGGCGACTATAGGAAAATGTCTTAATTTTGAAAATCCGACAATAAATAGTTTGGTTTGCTTAATCCTTGGTGTTGGATTTCAAAAATAGGTGAAAATTTCAAAAACTAAAACACAGAGTCCTCTCTCTCTTACTTTACAAAAACTAGCCCCTATCATTCATATAATCAGATAGTGAGTCTTTAAAAAGTCATATTTCGGAATGTTATACAATATATAATTAAGGTTATTTTTTTCTTTAAAAAGTTCATTCATTGGTTGCTGTATGCTGAGTTTTCAGCTCGTACAATAAAATTAAAATTTAGCATTTACGCAATTTTCTTATTGTCCCATGTTTGTAATGCTGTTACATTTCGATGAGACGGAATAAAAAATCCCACCGAAGATAGGAAAGAATACCTGCTATTTACAAACGAAATAATAGTAATTATTGAAAATGACTACAATTTTGTATTACTTATTCATCATATTTTAACGCATATTATAACTACATGCGTGTCTAGTACAAGGAAACGCAAAATTGTTATCATTTTAATTGCTTTTCAATTACTTTATAAAATCTAATCACTCAAAACATCATTATCAGAACAAAGGTTAAATCTTAAATTTTAACGACCAGACAGTACAAGGGAGGCAACTCTATTATTGAAACTCTATTATTGGAACTCTTCAATCTTCAAAAGATCACCGGCCGGCTAACGAAATCAGAAGGTAGGATAATGTTTACTTTAAATCCATCGTCATCTTAGTGTTATGTCATCTAAAGAAAGCCGTTAATCAAAAAGATTTAATTTGTTAAGTCATATGTACGTCTCTATTTACATATTGTCAATTTTTATTCAGTCATGACCGATAAAGAACCCGATTTTCCGGATGATTCGGTCACGGATTTCGATCCCGATGCACAACAATTTGAAGGAGGAGACGGTGATCACGACGCTACGTCAACAAACCAGGATGAAACGACCGTCGAAGACCCGGTATAGTAGTTTTACAGGATGCAGAATGGCTTTCATTTCACCCTCTCGCATCCTTGTGTAATCAGTGCACAGGTGTCTGACGTTGTATCAATAAGAGAGTTTGTTAAAAGTGCTACTGTAGACATTTAAAAAACTGCTCTCATAACTACTTACAGTAGGCATATGTGGTTAGGGACCATCGCTAGGCCTATGGAATGAAGGTCATTTTCATGTTTAAGAATATTAAAAAAAGAATAACTCACCGTTTGAGATATTAAAGTTAAAATTCACTTTAGAGTAAAAGTAATACAAACATGCTTAAAGTAGTTTATTTCAATTTGCCATAGTCCTCATGATTATCTAGTTCTTACATAATGATTGACTTTGTTCATAATGTTCTTGCTATTTATTGTCTGACCAAGAGAAGTTTCTTTAAAAATGTAGCTTTCTTCATAAACGATATGTTGGACAGCATTTTATGAAATTCTCTCTTTATTCGATGTGTTATTCTTGAAACCGAACTTCCTGGACTTTCTAAGAGATTTTGAACAAGTAGTGATTGCCTTGTGTTGTTTGTGTTGCATTTCATGTCCCAACTAGTCAAGACATGAATACTATACAGTCCATACTTCCTTTAATTAGGTTTTAACATTTTTGCATTTAAGGAGCTGGAGGCTATAAAGGCCCGTGTGAAAGAGATGGAAGAAGAAGCAGAGAAACTTAAGGAAATGCAAAATGAAGTAGAAAAACAAATGAACATCACATCCCCAACCACTGCCACTACTGCCAGTAAGCATTATTTACAAATATTAGCTGAAATAAATTCAAGCATGATGCATAACGGATACTGTAGCTTACAATTTATTTTTAGCATACATATTGTAAAGCTAAACTTGTACATGACTGAAGAGTGTTCTGGTGTTAAAAACTGCTCTTGGTAATTGAGAGAATTCCATAAATGTATTTTTCAATTTTTCAAGAATTGCTCATTGAAAATTCATTACTTTGTGATTATCAGCAGGTGGTGCTGAACTAATTAATGAAGTTGAAATCTGTTCTTGTGGAGAAAAAAGTTGTAATGTATAGATTGATTTAGTAAAATAGTACATCATTTTGATATTGAATGTGATTTCCTTTCCTTTACAGCTGGATTTCCCACTGTTGAAGAAAAGCTTGAAGCTGATAACAGATCCGTTTATGTTGGAAATGTAAGATATTGAGTTTTGGTCCAAAAGTACAGTAAAGAGCATCATGTAATCATTATTCATATTGAAATTATAGTTCTGCAGTGTAGCCAATTCACATCATTTTGTCAGGCAAACCTGATATTGGCCAAATCATGCCCTGCTGGAATCCCCTGATATTTCTTTACCGTTTATTAGCTTTTTAAAATTTAAAATTAAATTTTGAATCTAATATTTCGTATAGTCAAAGTTCCTTAACTTTAGATGTTCAATTAGATGGTTCAAGAGATGATGTTCAACACATGTTAGACTAAAGAGCTACAAGGGTAGCTATGATTTCAACATTTTTGCTGATCATGAACCAGACTATCCAGCTTTATTAAGAAGAAAGGATATATATATAGGTGTTGCGAGTCCACCAATCCTGTATGAAGGGAAACTTTTATAGCATTTTAATTTCTCTGTCTTCACCCTTTGTCAACAAATTAACACTTGGGTTGAAGTTTGATTTTGAAGCTGTTAAATACTTTTCCCCTGAAAACATTAATGTAAGATCAGATGAAAAAGGAAAATGAAGGTTAAAGTGATATTTGTTTGTTTCTTTCAAAGTCCTCTGATTATAATGACCTCATATGGTTGGTTGAAGATCTGCAATCCTGATTTGTTTTGATTGCTTTTTAAGTTCATAAATAGGCCAAGTTTTCAGTTTGTTGCAATAGGGTTTTTAGTGCCTTCTATTTTCATTCTATTAAAGTTGAGGACAGTAATCACATCTATAGATTTTTTGCCATAAGACTGTTCAAGAGATGATGTTTAACACATGTTAGACTAAAGAGCTAAAAGAGTAGCTATGATTTCAACATTTTGCTGATCTTGAACCAGTTCAGTCCAGCTTTACTGAAAGATAGGTGTGTCTTGAGTCCACAACTCCTGTATGCAGAAAACTTTTGTGAAAGTTTAATTCTCTATTCTTTACCAATTGTAAGCAAGTCAGAAATTAAAACTGGAAACTGAATATTTCTAGGGCCAAAATAAGGTAACACTGGGATTAAAAGATAAAATAAGGTTAAAGTGATTTTTATTTTTTCTTTCGAAGTCATGAGAATTTGATGACATCTTCTGGTTGGTTGAGATACCTCCAAGATCTGACCTGGTGCTTTGTTTCACTTTTCAAACTTAATGAATAGGTCAAGCTTCTTGTTTGTTGACATAGGTTTTTTTAACATGTCTTGTGTTTTCTTTGGTCTATTGAAGTTGTGGACAGTACTCATATCTATAGATTTTGTGCCATAAGACTGTTCAAGAGATGATGTTTAACACATGTTAGACTAAAGAGCTACAAGAGTAGCTATGATTTCAACATTTTGCTGATCTTGAACCAGTCCAGCTTTACTGAAAGATAGGAGTGTCATGAGTCCACATCTCCTGTATGCAAGAAACTATGGCAGCAGTTTAATTTTCTATTTTTTACCAATTGTAAACATGTCAGAAAATAAAACTGGAAACTGAATGTTTTTAGGGGCAAAATAAGGTAACATTGGGATTAAAAGATAAAATGAAGGTTAAAGTGATTTTTATTTTATCTTTCAAAGTCATGAGAATTTGATGACATCTTCTGGTTGGTTGAGATACCTACAAGATCTGACCTGGTGCTTTGTTTCACTTTTCAAACTTCATGAATAGGTCAAGCTTCTTGTTTGTCGGCATAGGTTTTTTTAATGTGTCTTCTGTTTTCTTTGGTCTATTGAAGTTGAGAACAGTACTATCAATAGATTTTTTATCAAAAGGCTGTTCAAGAGATGATGTTTAACACATGTTAGACTAAAGAGCGACAAGAGTAGCTATGATTTCAACATTTTGCTGATCTTGAACCAGTCCAGTCCAGTTTACTGAAAGATAGGAGTGTCATGAGTCCACATCTCCTGTATGCAAGAAACTATGGCAGCAGTTTAATTTTCAATTCTTTACCTGTTGTTAGCAAGGCAGAAATTAAAACTGAAAGCTGAATGTTTTTAGGTGCAAAATTAGGTAACATTGAAAATGAAAAATAAAGGTTAAATTGATAATTGAAGGTTAAAATGATTTTTATGCTCCCCAAAGCGTAAGCATATAGTCGCTGCTTGGTCCGCCCATCATAATTTTGTCTGGAGCATAACACAAAACTATAAAAGGTAACAACGTACAATTTCATGGTTAGATATATTTTAACAAAGAGAAGTGAAGTGCACAAGATCCATCACTCTATTTTCCATAATTTAAGAGTTATTGCCCTTTGTTATTTTTCATGCTTAAATTTTGTGTCTGGTCCATTACACCAAAACTAGAAGAGTATCAACATGAAACTTCATAGGTAGATAGATCTCGACAAGAATAAGGGCAGTGCACAAGAATCATAACTCTCTTATTGCCCTTTGTTATTTTTCATACTTAAATTCTATCCAATTCAGGGAACATAATCCATCTCTGGATGGCCCTTGTTGTTTTATCTATCAAAGCCATATCAAAATGACATTGTCTGGTTGGTTGAGGTACCTACAAGCTCAAACCCATTGTTCTGTTTCACTTTTCAAACTTCATAGATAGACAAAGCTTCTAGCCTGTTGTCAAAACGCTGAAAAAATTCAGTCATTATAGATAAAGTGTTATGTATTTTCATTGTAATGAAAATTGAGAGCAGTTCTCGGACCTACAGAGCTCTAGTCAAACTCATGCTTTAAGACTGTTCAAGAGATGATGTTTAACACATGTTAGACTAAAGAGCTACAAGAGTAGCTATGATTTCAACATTTTTGCTGATCTTGAACCAGTCCCATCAAGATTTATTATGACACAGGAATGTTCCTAACCTGGATGTCAGTCCACAACTAGACCCAGATTTTCTGGGCAGGTGATAAACCTACCACTCCTATTATGTTGTTTTAGATTGAACATTCATAAAAATTGAAAACTTCAAGTTTGTTGTCTGCATGTAGGCTACTGAATACTGTTGCCACTCGAGCTGTTAATGTAGAAAAAATCTGCATCACAATATTATCCAAATATGCACTCACCAACGTGATAACTGGAATTTTTATCCAGATGATTTCTGAATCCGAAACATTGTTCAAAAATTCATTTTTCGATACCATGGAAAGAATCTGACACATGACACATGCTTTTTGTGGTAATACTAACATGATACAAGATTATTTGAAATATGTTTTTTGATGACATTACTGGTCCCCAGGCCATTGCAACATCAGACATAATACTAGGTATTTTCCTTTTTCACTACTGACATTATAGAGTTAATCCGAAGCTTGTGATCTTGGTGGAAGTACGACTACATTGCTACATCCTATTGGCCCATTTGTTTTGTGATGTGATAAAGGCACTTTGCAGCTGTTGAACATGTTCGGGATATTTCTTAATGTAATTTTAATCATAATGCAGGCCTAATGTTCAGATACACATAGATTTACATTTCCAATATATTTGAAGGAGAGTTGTTGTTTGTAAAGATTGATATACCAGTACTTTGATCCAGTCATATTACTTCAAATTGTCTGGGATGATATGCATGTTTATACCCAAGAAATACCACTATTTTGTGTTTTTGTCTGCAGCAGTATCACAAATCTTTTTCCATGATATTGTTGTATTGCATCTGTAATTACTCTATATGACAATACTGATATATAATAACAGCTCTAGTTGCTGTTGTAAACATGTCTAGTTATGGATGTTGTAGTCTCTTATATGTTCACTCTATGTACTAAGTAATAAATATGAGGTCAGTAAGTAGTCATACCTATAGAGTTCTAGTCAAACTTTTGCCATAAGACTGTTCAAGAGATGATGTTTAACACATGTTAGACTAAAGAGCTACAAGAGTAGCTATGATTTCAACATTTTGGCTGATCTTGAAGTAGTCTTTGATTATCTGTTTAAAAAACTGTTGGAGATGTTTCATCTTTGAGGATGTTAAATTAGATATAAAAAATTCTGGGATTTTTAACATTGCCTGCTTCTTGAGGATTGCACAGTTCAGACTTGATGATTAAGTCCAGATGTATCTGCTTTCACTTGTAATTATATAGATCTAGTGAGACATTCGTATTTCATTGTCATAGCTATGAAGTGGTGCTATGCTGACTTGTTTAGCAAAATCAAAAACAGTTATTCTATGAGAAATAGATTTATACAATTGACACTCAATATGAGTATAAAGCTATCAAGATGATAAATAGATGCTTCACTGCTATACCACTTCTCTGTTTTAGGTAGATTATGGAGCTACAGCTGAAGAACTGGAACAACACTTCCATGGCTGTGGATCAGTGAACAGAGTGACAATTCTTTGTGATAAATTTACAGGACATCCTAAAGGGTAAGAATCCATTCTTGACAGTATTTCTTGTTGAACATTAATTTGATTTTCATTAATATTGAAAAGCACTTTTGTCTTGTGCCTACAAGAATAGATACTATTAACTGTAAGTATATGAAAGGAATCAGATTTGAGAGTTCAAGGCAAATAGTCACAAAACAGTATTGCCCACTTTGATATTTTGAAAGACTTCACGGTAAAAAAAACCTGTTTATTATTAATGTATATGAGTATGATTCGTGACGTATTTTATGTTTATTTTCAGCTTTGCGTATGTAGAATTTGCTGATAAAGACTCCGTTGCTACAGCTCAAGCTCTGGATGATTCACTGTTTAGAGGGAGACAAATTAAGGTAAACATTCCTCTGAAGGTCTCAGATATGTCTGTGGCTAGTGGTAGACATTTTTGACAGTGTCATTGGATTACCTATCTGATGAGAAATTGTGATCAGAAAACATATAGCAATGTATTAACAAATACTGATGATTTAGCGTGCAACATCTCACATCTTAGTTGTTGCTGTAGAGATGACTTTCTTTGTTCTGTTCAATATATTTTACTGACATATTTGTTTACATTATGGTCTGATATATAATACAGTAAAATTAAACATATGATTTTATAGGTGACTGCCAAAAGGACTAATCGCCCTGGCATCAGTTCCACTAACCGACCTCCCCGTGGTCGAGGTTTTCGGAGAGGTGGTGGGTATAGAGGGTCTCCGTATGGAGGGTACTCACCTCGACCAAGGGGCAGATTCACGTATGTATACATTATAATGGAAGTCTTTTATAAGTTCTGCTGTAAACTTAAAATGTTATGTAATACCTAAGTCAGGGTTTTCCATAAGAGCCGGTTGCCGGCCAATTTGACTGGCTACTTTGATCATTTGGCCGCCTACACCAATCCAGTTCCGTAATAATGTTCCGTACAGGTACACCGCAGGCCAGCCTCCTACTTTCACTACACAGCCTACTACTAACAAAATTATGGAAAACCCTGCTAAGTACATATTAAATTTGAGCTTTTTTTCATGCACAGTATTTCTGACCTTACACAATGCTGAAAAATCATTAAGATCTGCTGTCTTAAATATTTCGCCTATACTATAAGATGTTTCTGTTTTGTTTGCTGGATGGAGGGAAGGTTACATTGACCAACTATCGAGGTGATTTCACAGGGTGCTTTTGCTAAACTGGCTTTGACAGAACTATCAGATGATTTTCCTGTTGACTTAAAGGAATATTTTGTTTTTTAGATTGAAGTCTTGTGAAATATTTCTTACATTGGTAACGGTTAATGATAATAATAATAATTGTCTTTATTTATATTTAAAGCATTTTGAGCGTTAAAAGTGTTGAATATTTGTTCTGTGTGAGACATGTAATTAGTTTGTGTTCTGCTTGATCATTAAAGAGGATACATAAACATACATTAAGACATATGGCAGGAATCCTGACTACTTGTTGAGTATTTTAGTTACACAAATTTTTTCTGAACTTTAATACCTATTTACAAATGAACTCTGAATACATTTGTTTCAGTAACAAGATTCCTGTGAAAATATATTGCTGACTTGTGATTTATATCTCAGATTTAATGTAGGATGATGTACTCAATAATTTCACTTAATTGTTTTCAGTCAAAAATAAATGATTATATTCTAAATCAATGAACCAAGAACTTGCAGAAGCTGAATTTCATTATTTTGTAAATGTCTTATATTAGGAAGGATAATTGAAATAAATTGTCCTTTCAATATTGACTGATGATTGGATGTTTGAATTCAATGTAGTTGCGACAAAGACATAGAAATGACATTCGCATTTATTTAATCATGAAAGAAGGAAAAGGTGGTAGTCAAATACTAGAGTAGTAAAGAAAAATTTAGATGTATGAACTATATTTCAAACAACCATAATTTTGATGATGTTGCAGAACTAATTAAAGTCTTTACTAAAAGTAAATAAGGTGATAGAGCAGTTGTTTGTGTGATGGACCCTAGTTAGTGACCTATCATACCAAGAGGTTAGTGCTTTACCAGAACTGCTAGAGGAGACTAAAGCACTAAACTGTCCGTATCTTCACCACATGTGTCAACACTGCATCAGCCTCGTCACAACTTTGACACAAATATGGTCACAATTCAGGATACTTGTAATTTTACAGGCCTAAATCAGGGGTGTCAACTGCAATTCATTCTAGAGTTTCTAGAGACATACCAAATCGCGGGAAAATGACTAAAGTTGGCAATTTTCTGGGGCTTCCCAGGAGAACCAGGATGATTGACACCTATGCTTCATGTCTGTGATATGTTGCATGACATATAGCACAAAGCTGCCGCCAGATTTTTAATAGAAGTAAATATTACTTTTTAGAAGGTCAGCTTCACATACCTCTTAACTATTAAGAGAGTTTATTTTGACACAGTTGAGAGCATTTCTCTTTACTAGAGCAAATGATATTGCCAAATGAATCTCCTACTGCAGTAGGGGTTCATACCCCACAAAATACTAACGGCACTAGGTTGGGATTGCTTGCAGTAGTTTACGTCTTTATTAAGGTCAATGTTGTTAGGAAATTTCAGTATTAAAGATTGACTGTAGATATGTTTTGTTTAATGTTTACTAAATTCTCACTTTTCATTTTATGTTTCAGTCGGTACAGACGGGCCTCGTACTATTCTCCTTACTGATGCACGTTTAGCCATTAAGATTTCTGGCAGCAAGGAAAAGAAAAGCTTGATAGTTGGATATTAAAGATATCTGATAGAGTATTCTTTAGTGGAAAGTGGCAATATCAAAATATAGTAATTTTCTACAAGTTGATTAAAAATATGAAATATAAACTAGTTTGTTGCTGCCAAATAGGCACAGTATAAAGAAATGAAATCAAATTTGCTGTCAAGGAAAACAATGAAAAGATGTAGGAAAGCATTAAAAAGATATATCAGCCACCAAAGATGAGTAATTGTAACAAATTTTGACAGATTTAATTGTTGCCAACTACAGTTGATATCTTAAATATGTTATTACTTTCTAGTCGATTGCTCTAACTATGAAAGAACAAATAGAATCTCGGGACCAATCAAGTTGGTCTATAGTATGCAAAAGTGTGTGAAAGAATTTGAAAGGTTTCAAATAGATAAAAAGAGTTAAAGCAACCCAGAAAAACCAAGATGAATTACAAACATGAAATTGCTCGTTGATTAAAACTGATTTTCATCCAGATTTTATTATTTCAGTCCTGAAATTTTCAAAATTTTCTACCCAATTTTTATTATTTTTTATGTGTAGGAAATTTACAAGTAAATATTTTTATATAAATTGAATATTATAAAATGTTTCCTTTTTTTAAGAATTTTATTTGAAATGGTTCTGTTTTAATGTTGAAAAAACTTTGCGGGACTATACATAGATTTGATGAACTAATACAGGGTTTAGCTTTTTTTCAGATTGCAGAGTCCTGACGTGTTCGGGTGTCTGTGCAGGTTCTTCACTCTCTGTTCTATTTAAGGTCAATTCTCAGTCGCAGATATTTTCTTCTGAATTCACTCGCAGAGAAAAAAAAAGTATAAAAAAAAAGGAAAAAAAAAATATAGAAGAAAGGCATAGAGATAAAAAAAAATCGAAAAAATTTAAAGAAAAAAAAAAGCGAGAAAAGAATGTGTTAAGAGCAAAAGGGTTAAAAAAAAATCAGGGAGTTTGAAAAAAAATGAAAAGAAAGATAGAAAAGAAAGATGTGAAAAGAAAGAAGATTTTAATAGTTCTGTGAAAAAATGTACGCAATTGGGATGTTAATAAAACATGACAAGGGAAGTGATGTTTGGCTTTTTATTTCATTGTAAATTTACAGTCTAGAAAGTCGCTTCATTATTGTGATTTCAGGGCTAGAATATAAATCTAACATGACGGCATTGTGTTTGAACACATTCATTATTTATTATGGAGTCATTGTCACCAGTCAGCAGGTGGTTCAACGACCATACTTTTTCAAGGACAAGATGATTGACTTAGCCCAGATCTCATTTGAAGAAGACTTTTATCTCTCAAGTTTATACGAAAAAAAGGGTAAAATGCAAGATAGGATTATCAACATCCAATTACAATTTTTCGTCCGCCAAGCTGCTGTCACTGGGGTCATTTTTTAAAAGTTTCTGAAGGGTAAAATTATGATCTAGTGAAATGGCATTATTTGTCGACAAAGATCATCAACATAGAGTAAAGTATACAATTCGGCTGTAAAGTTTGATACCATCAATATTATGTACAGACCTCGTAGAATATTTTTCATGAATATGGTTCAATATGCTATATAGTGATATCCAATACAGTTGTCGCTGACATCTGAGGAGAATGTGATGCATGTCTGGTATAGTTGGTCAAAATTGCCCGAGGAAGGGATAAAGGCCACTCTCTAGTGAGCTAGGTTCGGGTTTCTGTGTCCTTGAGTGATGTGAATGTATTTATACATGACCGTCGTGAGGACAAGCTAGTTGGACCAAATGTAAAGCATAAAAGACGAGATCGTATAGAAGAAACGCAACAGAAAATCACACCGAGACAAATACAGCTGCACTTCAACATGAATTTTAGAAATTGATCCGATTTGAAACAATTCCAGACCAAATACTAAAATATAGTTTGGGAGGTAGACTATCTCCATAATGCTGTTATTCCGAAATAGATGAAATGGTATAAGGCGAAGCCGTGCGTCGCGAGCGCCGAAGGCGCGAAGCTTTGGCGAGGTGTCTGGGGGCCCTCCCCCAGAAAATTTTGGCTCCATTTCCTGCATTTTGAGCGTATTTTGAAGGAAAATAACTACAATAAAAAACTCGACGGATTTACACGTTTCACAAAAGTCACCTCTGGGGCAACTGCCCCCCCTCCTTGCCTACGCCAGTGGGTATACCAAAATAATGTATGTAGCTTTCTTTTTCAAACAGCCTTCATTCTCGGAACACAGCTTATTGCTAATACCTGTACATTTCTTGATTTTTGCAATTCCATAAGTGCGGGTAGACAATGGCGTTAGGAAATATGGTTTAAGCTAAGATGTCTGTTAATATCAAAAACGTTTTATACACATTAACTACTTACATGTTTAAGTTTTAAAAAAACCCAAACGAAAAAACCGTCTAAAAGTTTCCATAAAAATAAGGCAAATATGCTGTTTTTTTTTGCGTGTTTGACTGCAATTTGACAATATCAAATGATCATTAGCAAAGTTAAACCACATTTGAATTAATTGTGTAATAGTTTTAGGGTGTATGGTAAAAGTATCCCGGTGTAATAGTTTTAGGGTGTATGATAAAAGTATCCCGGTGTAATAGTTTTAGGGTGTATGATAAAAGTACCCTGGTGTAATAGTTTTAGGGTGTATGATAAAAGTACCCTGGTGTAATAGTTTAGGGTGTATGATAAAAGTATCCCGGTGTAATAGTTTTAGGGTGTATGATAAAAGTATCCCGGTGTAATAGTTTTAGGGTGTATGATAAAAGTACCCCGGTGTAATAGTTTTAGGGTGTATGATAAAAGTATCCCGGTGTAATAGTTTTAGGGTGTATGATAAAAGTATCCCGGTGTAATAGTTTTAGGGTGTATGATAAAAGTATCCCGGTGTAATAGTTTTAGGGTGTATGATAAAAGTATCCCGGTGTAATAGTTTTAGGGTGTATGATAAAAGTATCCCGGTGTAATAGTTTTAGGGTGTATGATAAAAGTATCACTGTGTAATAGTTTTAGGGTGTATGATAAAAGTATCCCGGTGTAATAGTTTTAGGGTGTATGATAAAAGTATCCCGGTGTAATAGTTTTAGGGTGTATGATAAAAGTATCCCGGTGTAATAGTTTTAGGGTGTATGATAAAAGTATCCCGGTGTAATAGTTTTAGGGTGTATGATAAAAGTATCCCGGTGTAATAGTTTAGGGTGTATGATAAAAGTACCCTGGTGTAATAGTTTTAGGGTGTATGATAAAAGTATCCCGGTGTAATAGTTTTAGGGTGTATGATAAAAGTATCCCGGTGTAATAGTTTAGGGTGTATGATAAAAGTATGTGTAGGAAATTTACAAGTAAATATTTTTATATAAATTGAATATTATAAAATGTTTCCTTTTTTAAAGAATTTTATTTGAAATGGTTCTGTTTTAATGTTGAAAAAACTTTGCGGGACTATACATAGATTTGATGAACTAATACAGGGTTTAGCTTTTTTTCAGATTGCAGAGTCCTGACGTGTTCGGGTGTCTGTGCAGGTTCTTCACTCTCTGTTCTATTTAAGGTCAATTCTCAGTCGCAGATATTTTCTTCTGAATTCACTCGCAGAGAAAAAAAAGTATAAAAAAAAAGGAAAAAAAAAAATATAGAAGAAAGGCATAGAGATAAAAAAAAAATCGAAAAAATTTAAAGAAAAAAAAAGCGAGAAAAGAATGTGTTAAGAGCAAAAGGGTTAAAAAAAATTCAGGGAGTTTGAAAAAAAAATGAAAAGAAAGATAGAAAAGAAAGATGTGAAAAGAAAGAAGATTTTAATAGTTCTGTGAAAAAATGTACGCAATTGGGATGTTAATAAAACATGACAAGGGAAGTGATGTTTGGCTTTTTATTTCATTGTAAATTTACAGTCTAGAAAGTCGCTTCATTATTGTGATTTCAGGGCTAGAATATAAATCTAACATGACGGCATTGTGTTTGAACACATTCATTATTTATTATGGAGTCATTGTCACCAGTCAGCAGGTGGTTCAACGACCATACTTTTTCAAGGACAAGATGATTGACTTAGCCCAGATCTCATTTGAAGAAGACTTTTATCTCTCAAGTTTATACGAAAAAAAGGGTAAAATGCAAGATAGGATTATCAACATCCAATTACAATTTTTCGTCCGCCAAGCTGCTGTCACTGGGGTCATTTTTTAAAAGTTTCTGAAGGGTAAAATTATGATCTAGTGAAATGGCATTATTTTTCGACAAAGATCATCAACATAGAGTAAAGTATACAATTCGGCTGTAAAGTTTGATACCATCAATATTATGTACAGACCTCGTAGAATATTTTTCATGAATATGGTTCAATATGCTATATAGTGATATCCAATACAGTTGTCGCTGACATCTGAGGAGAATGTGATGCATGTCTGGTATAGTTGGTCAAAATTGCCCGAGGAAGGGATAAAGGCCACTCTCTAGTGAGCTAGGTTCGGGTTTCTGTGTCCTTGAGTGATGTGAATGTATTTATACATGACCGTCGTGAGGACAAGCTAGTTGGACCAAATGTAAAGCATAAAAGACGAGATCGTATAGAAGAAACGCAACAGAAAATCACACCGAGACAAATACAGCTGCACTTCAACATGAATTTTAGAAATTGATCCGATTTGAAACAATTCCAGACCAAATACTAAAATATAGTTTGGGAGGTAGACTATCTCCATAATGCTGTTATTCCGAAATAGATGAAATGGTATAAGGCGAAGCCGTGCGTCGCGAGCGCCGAAGGCGCGAAGCTTTGGCGAGGTGTCTGGGGGCCCTCCCCCAGAAAATTTTGGCTCCATTTCCTGCATTTTGAGCGTATTTTGAAGGAAAATAACTACAATAAAAAACTCGACGGATTTACACGTTTCACAAAAGTCACCTCTGGGGCAACTGCCCCCCCTCCTTGCCTACGCCAGTGGGTATACCAAAATAATGTATGTAGCTTTCTTTTTCAAACAGCCTTCATTCTCGGAACACAGCTTATTGCTAATACCTGTACATTTCTTGATTTTTGCAATTCCATAAGTGCGGGTAGACAATGGCGTTAGGAAATATGGTTTAAGCTAAGATGTCTGTTAATATCAAAAACGTTTTATACACATTAACTACTTACATGTTTAAGTTTTAAAAAAACCCAAACGAAAAAACCGTCTAAAAGTTTCCATAAAAATAAGGCAAATATGCTGTTTTTTTTTTGCGTGTTTGACTGCAATTTGACAATATCAAATGATCATTAGCAAAGTTAAACCACATTTGAATTAATTGTGTAATAGTTTTAGGGTGTATGGTAAAAGTATCCCGGTGTAATAGTTTTAGGGTGTATGATAAAAGTATCCCGGTGTAATAGTTTTAGGGTGTATGATAAAAGTATCGGTGTAATAGTTTTAGGGTGGTGTAATAGTTTTAGGGTGTATGATAAAAGTATCCCGGTGTAATAGTTATAGGGTGTATGATAAAAGTACCCTGGTGTAATAGTTTAGGGTGTATGATAAAAGTACCCTGGTGTAATAGTTTAGGGTGTATGATAAAAGTATCCCGGTGTAATAGTTTTAGGGTGTATGATAAAAGTACCCTGGTGTAATAGTTTAGGGTGTATGATAAAAGTACCCCGGTGTAATAGTTTAGGGTGTATGATAAAAGTACCCCGGTGTAATAGTTTTAGGGTGTATGATAAAAGTACCCCGGTGTAATAGTTATAGGGTGTATGATAAAAGTACCCTGGTGTAATAGTTTTAGGGTGTATGATAAAAGTACCCTGGTGTAATAGTTTTAGGGTGTATGATAAAAGTACCCTGGTGTAATAGTTTAGGGTGTATGATAAAAGTATCCCGGTGTAATAGTTTTAGGGTGTATGATAAAAGTATCCCGGTGTAATAGTTTTAGGGTGTATGATAAAAGTACCCTGGTGTAATAGTTTTAGGGTGTATGATAAAAGTATCCCGGTGTAATAGTTTTAGGGTGTATGATAAAAGTATCCCGGTGTAATAGTTTTAGGGTGTATGATAAAAGTATCCCGGTGTAATAGTTTTAGGGTGTATGATAAAAGTATCCCGGTGTAATAGTTTTAGGGTGTATGATAAAAGTATCCCGGTGTAATAGTTTTAGGGTGTATGATAAAAGTATCCCGGTGTAATAGTTTTAGGGTGTATGATAAAAGTATCACTGTGTAATAGTTTTAGGGTGTATGATAAAAGTATCCCGGTGTAATAGTTTTAGGGTGTATGATAAAAGTATCCCGGTGTAATAGTTTTAGGGTGTATGATAAAAGTATCCCGGTGTAATAGTTTTAGGGTGTATGATAAAAGTATCCCGGTGTAATAGTTTTAGGGTGTATGATAAAAGTATCCCGGTGTAATAGTTTTAGGGTGTATGATAAAAGTATCCCGGTGTAATAGTTTAGGGTGTATGATAAAAGTACCCTGGTGTAATAGTTTTAGGGTGTATGATAAAAGTATCCCGGTGTAATAGTTTTAGGGTGTATGATAAAAGTATCCCGGTGTAATAGTTTAGGGTGTATGATAAAAGTACCCTGGTGTAATAGTTTAGGGTGTATGATAAAAGTATCCCGGTGTAATAGTTTAGGGTATATGATAAAAATATCCGGGTGCAACATGTTTAGGTGCATGATAAAAGTATCCGGGTGTAACATGTTTAGGTGTATGATAATAGTAAAATTATCACTGAATTTCCCAATGCTCACCTTATCTATAATTTTGTAGAAGTTATACCACATCGGTTACATCACGGTCCTCCATGTTTTCCCCCCGCTATCTTATCAACGGTAGGAGGACAGGAATTCTATCTTGGGAACTCGCACAACGAGACCCTGCTATGTGTTGATGTTCCCTGTGACTTTCATTTGTCTTCGATAAGATACTGTAAGTAAATATTCAACTCTGAAGACGTATACTAAGCCAGAAAATGACGATAACGCCACGATCTATTTATTAATTACTTCCCTTTACAAAAGCTTTTCAATGGACTAATACCGCAATTACACGTATAATCAATCTTGCTAAAACTGCTGCTGAAATTGTTATAAAACCTGTGTCCAGTCAGTTTTATTCGACGTTAAATGAATATTGACCTTTCTGTGTTTGTTGAGTATATGTCTATATTAAGTGATAGCACCTATATCATAGCTGATATCAGTTAATATTGGTTTAAATAAAATGTATTTTAGACCTGATGTAGGATGTTTTTGAGGTTAGATGGTATTCTATAGTGATCTACTTCAGATAATGTTCCTGTATTATTTCACTTTATTTTAGAGTCTACGAGGGCTGATTGATAAGTTGTGAGCCTCATATTTGAGGGTTTGACTTTCGGCAGATATTTAGCAGTTTTCAACATAATTCCCTTCATTATTTCAACACATTTTCCAGCGATGTTCAAGGGCCGCAATGCCACTTTTAAGGAAGTCCTTTTCTGAGCGTTCAGAAAGCCCTACACTGCATGTATGGCGTCGCCAGCTGACCGAAAGTCTGTACCGGAAATGGTCTTTTTCCATTTTATTAATAGATCAAAGTCTGATTGAGCGAGATTTTGCCAATAAGGCGGATGCTCAAACAGTTCAAAGCTACAATCGTTAATGACAGCCATGATAATGACGGACGTGTGAACAAGGACATTGTCCTGATGGAGCAACACACATTACTGTATTTGCGTTTTGCATTTTCTCTATCTCTACCTATCAAGAAGTGATGGATATATGTTATTGATTGTTTGTCTCTTTTGCAGATAATCTACCATCAAAAATACCATCAGCATCCCAGAAAACAGAGACTATAACCTTTTCAGCTGATGGAACAGACTTTGCCTTCTTTGTTGGGGGTGAACCAGGGTTATTCCATTGTTTAGACTGTTGTTTGGCCTCCGGGGTGAAATGATGGACCCACGTTTCATCCATAGTCACAAACCTCTGCAGAAACTGACGAAATGCCACCAGTCTTCGGGTACACAGCCTTAAACACTCATGGTAAACGACATTATATTACGTGCTATCTGATTAAATACTTCCCTATCTGGTGCTGAGACGGGACATGAGATCACTTGTTTGTGTGTTGAAGAGCTCCGATTGTTCTTCTTTAATTATCGGCCCGTAGTAAAGTGGTCCAAGTCGATAAGAATATGTAGGTTATCTATTGCTCACGACGAACTGAGGTAGATAAGAATACTGGGACACCATAAGTAGTATATCGAGACGCCATGTTTGGGTCAGTTGCAGTGGCATTGACATGCTGTGCTGTGTTCGTGGTGCTGTATGCATTTAACGCATACCGGCGGAGTCTTAGGCTACCGGAGTGGAACCAACGTTATGTGTTGGTCACGGGGTGCGATTCTGGTTTTGGACGGCTGTTGGCCAAACAGCTGGATAAAGCTGGAGTCCATGTATTTGCGGGATGTCTTAACAAGAAATCCGAGCTAGGGTTGAAACAGAAATGTTCCAAAAGACTGAAACCAATTTCTCTAGATGTGACGAGTGGAGAGTCGATTGCTGAAGCAGTGGAGTATATGGCCAATATCATCCCTAAAGGTCAAGGTAAGCAGGAAAGTTACAGTGTACACAAATTTAACTAATGTTAAATAAGTCCCACGTACACGCAAATTTTCGAGTGAAGCAAATGGAAAAGAAAACAGATTGTATCAAAATGGAACATTATTTCTGTCACCAAGATGATAGATTATACAAGGTGTTTTTGTTACATTTCTTGTTAATCAATTGGACCTCGGCTATTTAACTGGTTGAGTATTGCTATATGTGGAACGATAATGGAAACACAACATAAGAAAAAGATATACGGGTATGAATTCATCGCAAGTAGGTAACTTGATTGAGAGAATGAATCTTTATAGGACCTGGGATTTATACCAAATATCACTATAACGTGATCGAATGATATTTATTCAGGGAACACCTTCAGTTTTGTAAGAATTGAGATAATGCTAGATTCTTGTATTTATTGACAAACGTTTGAATATTATAAACATTAGAGCTATATATATGGATGAACATAAAGTGCATTATTTCATCGAATACCAAATTGACATCGCTACTTGTATAAATGTCAGTATATTTTTGCTTTTTATATCAATGTTAACTTGGATGTGTTAAGGGCTAGGAGGACTGGTAAACAATGCTGGGGTATTTCCGATCTCGGCACCCCTTGAATGGCTCACCAAACAGGATTACGACTTAACGTTTGCCGTAAACCTCCACGGCGTCATCGACGTCACGACAGCTTGTCTCCCCCTTCTCCGCGTAGGTTCTGGTCGAGTGGTCAGCGTGTCAAGTGATGCTGCTCTGTTCGCCTGGCCAGGGGGCTGTGCTTACAATATCACTAAGTGGGGAATAGAAGCATTCACAGACACATTCAGGTAAGTGGTAGGTGCTCTCGCGACCAGTAGCGCGCAATATCAGTTGTCAGATTACCGGTTTAAAAAAGTTGTATTATCGTGACCATAATCTGTCGGTATGTAATAGAATTGACATTTCTTTTTGATAAATTGTATCCAAGTGATTCCGAAAACCCTGTTATTGAGTCCACCTGTGTATCAGAAACTAGAACAAACATTGGTAGCCATATTTGAATTTGTATGTTTGTATTTCTACTGTAGAATGTATTTTACGTTTAAGGTCATTTTTCACTCCAGAGTTTAGTGTGTAGTCCCCACTCAATCAATCCGAGTCTTTAAACTAAACATAAAATACTGTATACCAACACAGAGAGACTGAACTTTACAACAGGTCTTGTTTATCATTACAGACGAGAATTCTACAATACTGATATGTCAGCACATCTAGTACAACCTGGGGCCTTTCAAACTTCAATCGTTCTTCCACAAATGATGGCGAAGAAGTTTCGAGACCGATTTGCGAGTCTCCCAGACCACATTAGTCAACACTACGGAAATAAATTCATCAATGCATGTAAGAATCTTGATTTCATTGTTTATGATCAGTACCGACTACTTTCAAAACATAGACGATTCTGATATATCAATAGATTTCAAAGTCAAATTTGACGAAACAAGGGCAAAATATGAACAAAGCAATATTTATATTGAGACACATGAAAAAGGACAAGGAGAATAAGCCAAGGTATTCGGGAAGTGAAAGCGCCACTGTTTCATTGACGACAAGCGCTATGCAAGTTTTAGTCAATTCAAGCGAGTAATGTCACTTTCGCAAATGAGAACATTTGAGCACGGAACCCCAAATCACGCTGACGAGCACCGAACATATCTAACTCATATTGTATAAGAAGATATATAGTGAAGATCAAACTATTCCCCGTATGTAATCTTAAACATGGCTACTGTAGTATAATATTATATAACCTAAAATCAATGATTTTGGTATTTGCAATGTAAGTATAATTTCAATTTTACCTTTTATTTGTAGTAAATCGTTTAAAGGCATATTTCCTGATTTTTTTTTTATTAAACTACAGATGTGGTTAGATTTCTATTGAATTGTTTGAACCTTTTGTTCTAAAACCTGTGGATGATTGTATTTACTGCCAATATGAATGCAATATGGATGAGCGATGTCAGATAAAATCGGACGAATACTCAATGAGTTGTATTTACATGTCACATATTATTTCAAACTATTAATTTCCAATAATAAGTTTTAACATGTCCTAACTGTATATTTATTAACCCTCTAGAAGAGTTTTCTGAAATAATGATCGTCTGAATGTTTAACGCAACTCTTTATTGAGTATAAAGTGTGGTAACGTGCAAAGCGTTGAAATAACGTAGAGTAACAAGTCACCAAAACGTTTTTATATTCAAACTGATTTTCATGATATATATTTCCCGGTGGATTTCTTTCGAAATAGTTATATAGATGTGTACATCACAGTAAATATTATCAAAATATTTTATGTATTGATTAATTTCAGTTTTCGTTTGATTTCAGGGAAAGATAATATTCTAAACTTGCCGAACATCCAGGACACAGATATATCGAAGGTGACGGATGCAATGACTCACGCACTGTTTGCGATGTATCCGCTTGCACGGTATAGAGTCGGAACTGACTGTCGCTTTTTGTGGTGGCCCCTGTCGATGGCCCCGCTATGGTTCTCAGATTGGCTGTACAGCCTTCCACGCACGGATTTGAAGTAGAGTTTCAGTTATTGGGATTATCTTTTAAAAAGACATTTAGATGGAACATTTTGTTCCGAATATTTGTTTGAGTTTATTTGGCCCTCATTATTTCATCCGCTGGGTGGAAATAAAATGATGTTAAAGCCCCAATATACGTAAAAATCACTATAAAAAAACAAACTTTATCTCATTTTCCCCGTAATATATGTAACAAAACAAATACTTTCCTTTAATTAAAGAAAATAACACTGACTGTTTTCAATTTAAATAAAAATTGAAAAAATCGGAAAATAAACAATGTGGGACCCACAATAATTCATATATTACCGCTCGTAGGGATGACATTGCGCATGCGCATATTCCGTGTGTGTAAACATAGCAGACACAGTACAGAGGTTCACCAGTCGCTTCCTTTTTTTCCAATCAGATATCAGGCCTGTTCTGAATTCTTACGTTATAATTGTGCGTCGTATCGTTTCTAAACTAATTATTCCTTCTTATAATTTCCCAAAAACTGAATGTTTATCACAGAAATACTTCAAGTCTACGACAAGACTTCGCAAACAATGTTTGTAAACAAAAACTTACCGTAGAAACCTATAAGTAGAAACCTCAACTCTCGCGAGAGTTTATGCACAAAGTCATGGTAACTATTGTTTGAATAACTTAATTTTAACTACATCTTAGAGAATATCTCAATAATTATGTGTGATTCTACACTAAATTTTTGGTGAATGTTACGTATATTGGGGCTTTAAGGAATTTGGTCAGGACTATTCAGTGTATGCCAATGTAACCATACTCGCCTATTATCAACGATGATTTATGTAAAAAAGGCTTGTTACTTGTGGTCAGACTTAAGGTTATATGCTAGTTTGCAGGTCCTAATTATTGAAAAAACAAAATACCAAAGGAAAAATTGAAATTAATCAATATATAAAACATTTTGATAATATGTACTGTGATGTACACATCTATATAACCATTTCGAAAGAAATCCACCGGGAAATATATTTCATGACCATCTCAGTAAATGTGTGTTGCTACATCAGGATAATGTCCTTGTTCACAAGTCCATCATATATATATATATATATTTATCATGGCTGTCATTAACGACTGTAGCTTTGAACTGTTTGAGCATCCGCCTTATTGGCAAAATCTCGCTCAATCAGACTTTGATCTATTAATGAAATGGAAAAAGACCATTTCCGGTACCGACTTTCAGTCAGCTGGTGACGCCATACATGCAGTGTAGGACTTTCTGAACGCTTAGAAAAGGACTTCCTTAAAAGTGGCATTGCGGCCCTTGAACATCGCTGACAAATGTGTTAAGATAATGAAGGGGATTATGTTGAAAACCGCAAAATATCTGCCGAAAGTCAAACCCTCAAATATGAGGCTCACAACTTATCAATCAGCCCTCGTAGACTCTAAAATAACGTGAAATAATACAGGAACATTATCTGAAGTAGATCACTATAGAATACCATCTAACCTCAAAAAACATCCTACATCAGGTCTAAAATACATTTTATATAAACCAATATTAACTGATATCAGCTATGATATAGGTGCTATATCTTAATATAGACATATAACAAACACAGAAAGGTCAGGCTTCATTTAACGTCGAAAAATAAACTGAATGAAAACAACTTTTTTAAAAACAATTTTAGCAGCAGTTTTAGCAAAATAGATTATACGTGTAATTGCTGTATTAGTCCATTGAAAAGCCTTTGTAAAGGGAAGTAATTAATAAATAGACCGTGGCATTACCGTCCCCTTCTGGCTTGGTATACTTCTTCAGAGTTGACTCTTTACTTACAGTATATTATCGAAGTGATACTTTTATCATACACCCTAAACTATTACACCGGGATACTTTTATCATACACCCTAAACTATTACACCGGGATACTTTTATCATACACCCTAAACTACTACACCGGGATACTTTTATCATACACCCTAAACTATTACACAGTGATACTTTTATCATACACCCTATAACTATTACACCGGGGTACTTTTATCATACACCCTAAACTATTACACCGGGATACTTTTATCATACACCCTAAACTATTACACCGGGATACTTTTATCATACACCCTAAACTATTACACCGGTTTAAACAATATTAACGTCGGGTCATATGAACATTAAAACATTCGTCTCCATCTCTGTATCACCTCTTTCCTCATGTTGTATTTTTCACGTATTGTTTTACTCCTGTCCTACTTGTTCTCGAACGCTGAATGTCCGAAATGATGTAACGATGTAACAGCGGTCGTTCACTTCGTTAAATAAGATAAGTAAATAAATATAAAGGTGTATTTAATGCTAGGTTGCAGTTCCTTACAATTGAAAAAAACACCAACAAAATATCACCGCAAAAAATTTATCTGTCAATTTAAGTGTCTTGTTTTCATTGTTTATAACCAAAACTGACTACTTTCAAAACAACAAAGACGATTCTAATATGTCAACAGATTTCAAACTCACATTTGAGGAAACAAGAGCAAAATATGAACAAAGCAATATTTATACTTAGACACATGAACAAGGACAAAGAAGAAGAAGCCAAGGTGTTTCGAAGGGGTAAACATCCCCATGTTTCATCGACGACAACCGTTATGAAAATTTTAGTCAATCTAGGCGGGTAATGTCACGTTCACAAATAAAATAGAACATGATATAACATAATCATAATTCAAACTCAAATTTAACACATATAGGGCAAAGTATGAACAAACGAAAGAATTACATGGAGACTCGTGAAAAAATACGAGGATAGGACCAGGTGATCAAGGAGAGTAATCGTCTTCTGTTTCATCAACGACACCAGCCGTGTAAACCTTGGTCAAGCCAAGTCCGTAATGTCACTTTCTCAAATGAGAACAAAGCATATAACGCTAGAAATAACAGGCATACTAACGAATATCAACCACCATCGAAAATCTTTGTTTTAGGTGCATTCAAATACTTGTGTGTTGTCATGTTTCGTTAAAGCATATATCCTCTTTTGTACATATACATATAAACCATTTTCGAAAGTACCAAGGATTTGAAGGGGTTTTTGAATTCGTGTAATTTTCGACTCTCTCGTAATAATAGTCTAACTACACGATTGCGCTTTCGGCACGGTGATGTCGAGTGTTAAGTCAATGACACATGCATCCGCAAAGGACATGAGAGCTTTTTTTTTAGAATGACGAATGGAAAAAGAGTTGTTTCCGGAATAGTACGCTACTGCAACTGTTTTCCATTTTTCGAACCGTTGGTGAATGGTATAGAATGTGAAAGATAATTTGAAAGTAGTTCAGAAAAGTTTGTTCTGCGTACTTGTGGAATTGTGGTTGCTTAGCCATGGTAATGCAGTGACAACTTCTACTGTTTTGGTAATCCATGGCAGACGGCAGGGATGTTTTGAAATGCTTATGTCTAGATCAGTGAAAAGTTTCGAAATATTAGAATAAGTTTTTTGTTTTGCCCTGAATATATTTCTTAGTTTGTTTTCAATACTTGATCAAATGCAGGGGTTTTAGGGCTTGATTTCAGTAAAGGTGCAAAATTAATTTAGATCTTTGTTCTATGGCCTTTCGGGTATGGTTCATTAGGTTCTTCCTACAGATTTTTATTCCCAAAAGTTCGTAGTGCAAGACGAAGTCCTTGATTGAAAGTTGGATACAGCATATGTCAGTATAATTTTGGAGCTGACCTCTATACTTAAGAATATTAGGTTAAGGTCAATCAAGAGCGTGGTCAAGACACTCGTCTCCCAGTTTGTGTGGAATAGGACGTGTAAGATGCTTCATGTTTAGAATGAAAGTTAGTTTTAAATCAAATATCAAACCCAGAAAGTTTCCTAGATGTACAGTGCGGAAAGATTTCCGTGCAGAGTAAGGTTTTGATCATCTTGTTACCCAAATTCATATGTATGTTCAGACACTTTCAATTACCGCTTAATTCATATTCCATATTTAAACAATGACCATAGCTGCTGACAAGTCGTTATAAACTAGACAAACCATACCAAGCACCATCAAACTACTTTTCTGACGATTTACATTAATTTTCCTAAGCCGACTCTTAGATTTCAACAATGAAGGCCTCTAGCCATACAAAGGACGAAACAGCCGCCTGATTCATTCATTGGCTATATCGTTTAGGTCCAATTTTTACCCTTCTATCTTTGCTTTCAGTCCAAGTGATTTTTCAGTCCCTTCAATTGTAAAGCAAGGGAAATGTCATTCGTTGTCTCGAAATGAATTTGTGCCAAAACATCGGCACGTCTTCTGACGAAATCGGTCAATATATATACAGAGCAGAAAGTCACCTGTACGTAACACATGGCTAATTACGGCGTATTGGTCCATCGTACCCATGGTCTGTGGCGATTAATTACCATTTTAATTATCCAATAAAAGGTTTTCTTCTTGATTAGTGTTACCATTCTGTGGCAGTAACTTACCTGTACATTAAAAGAAGTGCGTTTACAAAAAATATGAAAACATGTAGCTTGGTTGCGTGCATCTTCAGGAAGGATAAAAACGAAACCGTCAAACTAGTACTTGACGAAATCTGATCACAAAAAATCCGAGAGAAACTAATTTTGAGCTTGTTTACCAACGGACTGTGATCGGGCACTTTGTCAATGAAGTGCTGAAAGTATTAATCATTGATAGAGTCTAGCGCTTGTACAGTGTTTTCTGTAACCGGTAAAAAATTCTAGTGACAAAATTTTCATATGTTTATTTATTCATAATAAAGCCATATTAATATGATTTGTAGCTTTATACCTCTTTTCTTGTAACGTATCAAAGCAAATTTTAATTTCGTTTTATTGTCATCCCGGAAAATATATGATGTGTTTGTGCTCTGTCAGTAAGGGTATTGTACACATGTGTGGGGAGGAACGACATGAGTACAGATGTATTTTATTGGAGTTGTTATTACATGTTTTGTTGTTTGGATGAATAAACAATAAAAGGAGAAAGTAGAAATAAATAAATTGGAACCAAATGCTCTCCTATTCCATTACTGGAATTACCACCAATGTAATCAGTTGACAGTCTATCGCTGATGATCATCAACCTGCCTAGACATCGGATCATATTATCACGTACCATATCATAACAAAAGAATAAAAATACAGACCTCTAAATCAGAGAGGAGGCTTTTAGGAATATCTTGGGCCTGTATGATTTTGTGCGGGACCCATTTTCATTAATGTATGCCATGTCAATGAAGATGTTGTGGTGCAGATGTCTATCCATTATTTCCCTGTTGATAGCGATATGCCTTATCAATACTTGAAATAATCGATGTCTTCCTCAAGCGATTAACTTACTTCAATTACTTTTTTCCTTATGTTGATGTCCGTTTTCAGTTGTCTTCGTTATCAGCTTGTGATTTTATATCTCGACTGCGACTCGTATTAGCTTCCAGAGGTAGAGCAAACCTGATGAAGTTACTAGCTGTCAAATACTGAAATAGACAACATAACCGGCTGCCGTATCTGGTACAGAAGACTGAAAAATGGCAGTGCCCATCTTTTTGAGAGTATGTCTGGTAGGTGTATTAGTGGGCGAACATAACCAACTTGTCGCGCAAATGGAAGAGAAGGTGGCGCTATTGGAAAACTACAACATACAGAATCAGAGACATACTCAACAGTCAAGTGCTGGCTCAACCGGACATGCAGTTATTTGTGGTAATGTACATTTAGTCAACAAAATACATATAAATTTTTGTGCACTGGAAATTTGGCGGAGTATAAGATTTTAACAATGTACAGAAATTGTAGTCAAAATTAAGGGCAGCGTATAAACTTGTGAAAATAAAGAAAAAGTTATCAACACATGTTCCTGATATGACGTATTTTTGTTTTATTTCTGCCAGATGATAATGATTCACGTTTCATTCAAGGTGCGTCTTTTATTTAAAAAAAAAAAAAAATTCGGGTAGGGATTAAAATCAGTAAAAAAAGGATACATGTTAATTTATATCCGACACAAAATAGTTTAACAAAGAAATGTTAAAAAAACATTAAATGGACAGAAAAGAAAAATAACACCAGAAAAATTGAAATGTTTGGATAATTGTCAAACAGTTGTCAAGGAAACTAACTCCGGTAAATGTTCAGACACTATTAGTATATACTTCTTGATGAACCACTGGACCAAGTCTTTTGACATTTGGTAACCAGGCCAGTTTTTCACATAGCTAAATCTGAGCTGTTACAGACAGATATCGTAAATATACGTTAACTACGGGTGCTTGAATGAAGCGCGTTTTTCCGATGTAGTCAACGTGGAGCCAATTGATTTAGCTTTGAGAGTATGACTAATACTCATTGATCTGAATTGAAGTTTCGTCAGGGAGACTTTTCTAGTCTAGATGTTTTATCGTCTTATATTGTTTCAAGTCATCGTGAAAGGATGATCTCCTCAAGCATCCAAGGTGACTGTAAGTGTTATCGGGAGGCTACAGTATGTTCGTGTAAGCCTTATACTGATGACAACCCGGATTTTACACTAGTATACTGCAAAACGTAAAGCGGGAAGTATTAGATACCAATTTTAAAAAAAATCAAAAGTTATTAGAACTGATAAACACAGATATCTGGTATACTGAATATTTACACTGACGAAAAATGATTATTTTAGCATTTGGTACCTTGATTAGATTCTTCTTCTGTTCCACCAAAGGAAAACATTTCAACATCTTTATAAGATCATATCACGGTTTAAATTCTTTATGCTGAAGAGCTTTATTTTATTGACAATAGGTCCTCCTAACGTAACAGCGTCCTTGAGCTGGTATCCGGGAACCCCCAGTCTACACCAGGATATTACCTTTGCAGTGAACATCACCGCACGTGAGTTCTTGAGGTTTTCAAAAATTCTTTTCGAACGTTTAATAAAATGCAAATATTGTCAATGTCAGTAGAAAGGAGATTTCATATACAACAGTTGGTGTTAAAGAGTTAACGAGGATAACAAATCACTATCGTATTAACCGTAGCTATAGTTTTTGCACTCTATAAAATGTGAAAATATCTGATTCCTAAAACCGCATTGATATTCACGACACAGAATTAAAACCTTTGAGAGAATGTATAAATGAATACAATCAGAATATGTCCCATTGAGATCATTATGATAACCGTTAAACTTCCCTATACTCTTATTGAACCTACATCTCTCAAAATCATGTGTTGTGAGTTCATCTCTCAGATGTTGTCGACATCTTACACAAAATCGCGATACTGTGACATATGTGGAAATCTTTATATTCATCGTTTTCGTTATTGTTATCAATGCTATACATGATGATAAGACATCATTCTGTACTGATATGAATACTGCTGATGGTGATAAGACATCATTCTGTACTGATATGAATACTGCTGATGATGATAAGACTTCATTCTGTACTGATATGAATACTGCTGATGATGATAAGACATTATTCTGTACTGATATGAATACTGCTGATGATGATAAGACATCATTCTGTACTGATATGAATACTGCTGATGATGATAAGACATCATTCTGTACTGATATGAATACTGCTGCTGAGGATAAGACATTATTCTGTACTGATATGAATACTGCTGATGATGATAAGACATCATTCTGTACTGATATGAATACTGCTGATGATGATAAGACTTCATTCTGTACTAATATGAATACTGCTGATGGTGATAAGACATCAATCTGTACTGATATGAATACTGCTGATAATGATGAGACATTATTCTGTACTGATATGAATACTGCTGATGATGATAAGACATCATTCTGTACTGCAACACGTACATGCATTCACTGTGTGCACGTCGTCTTTAATATTGGATACGTATTTCTAAATGTCATTTTGTGTGACAGCGGTCAGTGATACTATAGCCAGATAATACTAATGGATTGCTTTCATTATTTGCAGCTGTCGGTGTATCCTCTTTCATTGTTTTTGGTGACATATACATGGCAGAGGTCAAACAAAAGATCTTTGAATTCAACTACAAGTTTACTTGCGAAAAGCTGATAAAGAAAAAGGTGAAAATTACTTGTCCCATTAAAAGAGCAAGTAAGTATCAAGTAAAAACATACTCAAGGGATAAAGAAGGGTGACATTATTTTCAATAGCTTACGAACGCGTTGTTAAAAAACAATGAAAATCGGCCAAGCAACTCTCTAGGCTACAATGCACGTGGTCCTGTATCGAATGTTGCATTATTGTATTGCGTGACGATGTCTTTCCGATGTTTTGATTAGTTTCTGGTAACATTGAATAATGGCACGGCTGACGGAAGTTCAGAGGGGTCAGGCCATAGCGATGATAACATCAAGTTATACGGCAAAAACGGGTTGGCGGACATTTCGGTGCCCATATTTGCACTATGGAACGTCTTATAAGACGTCTAAGGGAAACTATGCGGGTTGCCGACAGATCTAGGTCTGGGCGTCCGTTCGTGACGTCACAACGTAGGACAGATTAATTCGTCTCGCTCATTTGCATAATCGGCACCTGACTGTCACTAAAATCTGCCCTTCATTCCATAGGTACTCATAACCGTCCTATCCATGCAAAAACTGTAAGGAAACGATTGCGGGAAGATGGTCTGCCGGGACGTCATCCGTTTATATATCTGCCCCTTACCGCTATTCGTCGCCAGCTTTGTATAGATTAGGTGACAAAACATGCTCCAAGAATATTCCCATATAGGCAGTGGAGGTGGATCTTGTTTACTGACGAGTCCCGGTTCACCCTGTTTCGAACAGACCTCGACGTCGTGTATACCGACGTCGTGGAGAACGTTTTGCCGACTGGTGCGTAGTAGAGAGGATAGGTTTGAGGGTGGATCGGCTATGGTGTGGGGAAGAATCTCACATGGAGTTAAATCATCACTGGTTGTGGTAGCTTTAACTGCCGATAGGTTTAGAGATGAGATCCTCCGGCCTCATGCCGTCCCATTATTGCAGCAAAACAGCCTCACATTCCAGCAGAATAATGCTTGGCCCCATGTAGCGATGATCTGTCGCGACTTTCTCACTATCCACAATAATCATCCACTAGATTGGTCACCTACAGCTCTGACTTATCCCCTATTTTGCACTTGTGGGACCAGCTGTATAGACACGTACGACGACGCCAGCCTCTCCCTGTTACTCTAGCCCAACTGAGAGCAGCCCTCTTGGAAGACTGGGGCAACATCCCAATGAGGAGGACAGACTCACTCATAATCTCAGAATCAGGGCTGTGGAAAGAAGGAATTGGGAGACATTCCCGGTATAGACTAGCCAGCTCCCACAATAAGTCCATTTTGATTTCATATTACATAGTTCTCTTTCAATTCCTTTCGATTACTCCTTAATCACTATCAGATACAAATCGTTGATTTTGCAGTTTGTCCTGTATGGATTGATCTTCATTCTTACTTAAAAAAATTTGAGCATTATACTCGACGTCTTGCCTTGAATCATCTTCAAAATTTACCCTGCGTTTCTTTATCCCTTAATCACCAATAATACGGTTTTTGTATACTTTTACTCTAGTGCAAATAGTGCGCATCGAAACTAAACAGTAGTCATTTTCATAGAACAACTCATTAAAATTCAAGTTCTTTATGCCACGTGGAATAGTTATCACATGTATAAACCTAATAGCAATGAACATACCAAAACGTAATAACTCTATAAAGAACAATAACACAAAACAAATTAGTGTAATTTATCATTATTTATTAGGAATGAGACAAAAATATCACTGAATGTATCTATGTCTGGTGAGTAAGGATACAGAGCCAAACATGATAAAGTAAAGAGTTGTAATTGCCGACAGCTAGCGTAAGATATTTGTTTTTTTATACGTTTAGATTAGTACTACGTTCTGTATACTGTCCTCGCTGGAGAGCTACCGATGGTAAGTAGTGTAGCCAATTCGGCTAAAAGAATCCCTATAATCTATGGCTAGGATGCATATTCATTTGTTCTGATAAAAGAAAAGACAGAAAAGACAAGAAAGGATTTTGATTGGCTTCTATATGAAAGGAAAATAAGACATGGCAAAAAAGTATCTGTGTCCGGTTTCCTTAACGTCCAATCTTTTACCGCTGTCGACACATTTTTTCCAACATTTTGGCAGAAATGCTTGAAGTTCTCTGTGTAGATTCGTTCAGAGATCTCCACACGTACTAGTACTCTAATACAACTTTGCTAAGACACTTGACTTGTATTTATACTGACCGATGACAAATATCCTCTCATACCTTTACAATGGCCAGCACTATACCATACTATACTATACTATACTATAGTTATCGTTTGCACCTACCAAATAGTAAACTCTCGATGGCCATGGTGTTTAGACAGAATCCATATAGTGGCGTCCATTGTCAATATACTGGATACTTATGTTGTGGGAAAATGATGTTTACATGTGATGACTTTGACACATATGTAACCTAGTAGAAAAAGTTTTATATTTACATCGATATACAATTCATAACCTGACATATATAAACCATTTCCTAATCAACATAAGGTATTTAGGAAGTCAGTATATATAAATGAAAATCCCGACCTACCATCCTTAATATTGTTCCGGTTGAAACCAGAAACGCCACATATTTTTTTCTATTTTGAGAAAACAATCATTTATGTAATATTTCTATTTTGTTGTTCTTTGCTAGTCAATCTAAATTGATAATATTGTTTATAAGCAATGGTTCGATGCTTTTAATATTGCACTTCATAAGATTTTATTTTAAAAGCATGATACTTTATATTATATCGAGTATCAGTTCATCAAAATAAAAGTTGCAGAAGCTAACACTAAAGAAAAAATTGTCGAGGAAACAATGAGAAAAAGAGTGATTTTAAAATTAATAATAAAAAAAACAATATAACTATAATATCATGATTAAAATACATATTTCCTTTTTCAGGGCTCTTTCAAAGTCCATGGAAAAATGCAGAACCAAATCGAGCAGGATTTCCTGTGTTTCAATATGAGCATAACTGTTACCGATTGAATATGAACGTGTTTTTTTGATGAGCTATAGATGGTTTTGAATTAAAAAAAGAATCAAAGTGCGTTGGGAACATGGAATTAACCATTCTAAATTTTAAAAAAAATCTTTTATTTCGTCCCTGAGTAGGTTTTCCTGGTCTGGCTTTGGGACGCCGCCTTGTGTGTGGTTTCCAATCAAGGGGCATAATGAAGATCAGTCGATACAAGCACAGTTCTCTGGGAACAGAAATACAATTAGTTTTGTACACACAGTCAGTAGGAAAAAAATAAATCAAAACTATCACAACTGAAGTGGATAAAACAATAACAGAGCCTTCCTTTACAACGAGACTGTAGTATGCATACAATCTATAAATGGCATCATACCAATGTTTATATGGACTGATGAAAGACACGTATAGCGTGTTATAACATTTTTTCCCATATTCTGTAATCGTTACCATATAAGGAACATTCAATACATTCAATACATTTACCAATTAGTAAACTGTTTCTGTTGTTTAATGTAACCGATTGGCGAAATAAATTTCTACGTACCGCTCGAAATCAATGTTATTAGTTTTAGCTTACATCGAAAAATATTGTTTTTACATAACTAATGGGGATAAGCGTTTTATTTGACAAAAAGAAAAACTGACAAGTTTAATAAAATACAAACATATAGAGAAAGACCTGAGATGTATACCTGCATTAACACTAGCTTCGGGTTAACGAAGTGGACATTTTCGATGGTAGGTAAAGTAAGTCCTTTCGATCCAATAGCTATGTACAGAAAAGAATGTTTAAACAATTACTTGCAAGTTCCAATTTATAAGTTCTCTAGTCAATCGGTACTGTATAGTAAACTTCAAATTTACACCAAATACATAGCCTGGTATCAATCATATATATATATATATATATATATGTGTGTGTGTGTGTGTGTGTGAAATGTATCTATTAAGCTTGCAGCAATCACTCTTGATTGTCAGAATTGAGTTATGAAAGAGGTCATACAACGAAACCTGCGAACCCCAGACAAAATCTGTGATGGATTGGTGACCCCATATCTTTTGATGTGCGCTGATAAATCGAAACTCGTCTGTCTAAATTTTCTATTTGTTTACGAAAAGATCTCATAGTGTTGACCGTTTATATCATCACATAAATCAATATAAATCGGAATAAATAAGATAAATAATCTAGACGATTTCACAGATCAAAATTATATAACATAAGTTAATTTATACTTACAATTGATTTCCGGAATAACAACAGTGTCCAGAGCGATGTCGATGATAAACTGTAAGGCTTTCTCCTGAAGATAAACACATTAAGACGTGACCTCTTAAAACAACCAATTTCCTATCTAACCTTTACTAATATTCCCTAATGCTACCTACTTAATTATAAGATACCAGACTTCAGGTATATCATTTTAATCGTCAAATGATCCCATCAATATATACTCTTTCGTTATAACCTCGAAAGACAAAATTTATTTGAGGGATGATCAGTTGCATACTATCACATTATAACTTTTTCGCGGGTTTCACAATGATGAGAAAGAAACCATATTAGCGAATATTATTGAATCACCTACATTATATAATGATTCACACGAATAGGGAATGATTATAGGAAGAATTTTGTTTGAAATACTAGAGTTTCAAGACAACTTGAGGTATGGTACTTTTCATGTGAATAGAACTCACGTATGAAATATTTTTCGCTTTCGGTGTTGACCTCAGAATAGCTCAAAAATAATCTTAAACAAACAAACAAACAATTTTTGTCACTTACGTCGATGTCCTTTATTGCTGTTTTCACTACTTTAACACCGAATCTGAAATACCATGTTCATTGTGTAGGGTTATCAATAGTTTAAAACAAAGTGTCTCGATTGATATATAGCCACTTCTCATTTGCTGAAGTAATCAAATATTTTCTGATGATTAACAACCGCGATCTTCTGTATGATTTACTTTTATGGACGTTTAACTTGATTACAAGACCTTTTATTCTAAACGTCGAATAGAGTGCGCACGTCCACCAAATAATTAAATAATATTATTAATAATCTCAAAGCTTAAATGATAAAACATGAGACTGGTTACATTAAATTTAAATTCAATTTAGTAAACATAATGGTGATATATGTGTTTCTTAGACATGTATTATGCATGTAAAAATTACTTGCAGTTTAGATGAGAGATATGTAAAAAAACAAAGCCGTAAAGTTTTTTTTTTATATGTAAATGGTGATATACAGAATTCGTAATGTACTCCTGAAGTGATTTGTCAGTATAAATGGTGATATACAGAATTCGTAATGTACTTCTGAAGTGGTTTGTCACTATAAATGGTGATGTAAAGAATTCGTAATAATCTCCTGAAGTGGTTTGTCAGTATAAATGGTGATATACAGAATTCGTAATGTACTCCTGAAGTGGTTTGTCAGTATAAATGGTGATATACAGAATTCGTAATGTACTCCTGAAGTGGTTTGTCAGTATAAACGGTGATATACTGTACATAATTCATTATGTTCTTCTGAAGAAATAAGTCAGCTGAAATGGTAGTATTAACACAAGGAACCAGTGGTAAACATTACTGTATATCTAACATATCTTAGTGATGTGAATGTGATGAGGTGGTACCAATTTATTATACTCATACATTAAAATACATAAAACTCAATCCATTAAGGGTTGGAGTATAACATACTCACTTAACATCTCGCAGTTTCCCATAAATGGTCTCATTCTTCACTTGAACATCCGCCGATGTACTCATGGTCTACAAATAACAACGGAATACTAATTATATCCACTTTCAAATTCAATATTGAATAGGTTCAAAAGAACGTGCTTATTCTGAACCATGCAACTACTCGAATGAATTAAAACATGTCAAGCAGCTTAAAGCAGATCTCAAGATAAGTACAATTTCCAATCTCGACGATCATACATAAGACAAACAAGTGCATGTCACTTTCTCGTATGAGTTTAGATTTAAATAAAGTATAGCCGGATAATGAAGTTAATCTGTATCATTCAGCTGTTTCGTCTTTCTTGGATACGTCTGTGATACTAACGACATTTTCTGAAACGATAGGGAGAATGAGGTTTTATGAAAGCGAGTTGAAAACACGCGGATAATTTGTATGATATACCACATGAAAATATTTGTCAAACAGGATTAAGACATTTAGTTCTTAGATGTAACTATTTACCACATTGAGTGTGAAGAGGTAGGCAGGTGTACTTTTGATTGAGTATTTGTACAATAGTCTATTGCCACGGTAGGTACCAGCTACAGGACGGGCAAAGAAGTCTATGATGCCGCCTGCATTACCACGAACATCCGTTGAAGTAACAGAAACACCAGGCATCGACGTGCTGCGCATGTGCAACTCAACCTGACAGTTTGGATAACTCTTTTGCAACTGGAAAACAAAGCTTCGGTTTATAACACTTGCATTTTCATAGCAATTTTATAAATCGATACGAAAGAATTAATTTTTCAATATATTTGGGTAATTGTCAAATAATCAATATTCTCATTAAAAAGGTCATGATTTCAAACAAAGCATATTACTTTTAGTCATTAATTAATTGCTTACTTTATTCAAGGTCAAGTAAGAGAGGGACTTATTGAGATTGCCATGTCGCATTACCGCATGTAGTTTATTAATCAAGCCTTCTGTGCAAAGGTACTGACACAATTTTAAAAGATCAATGATCATAAAAGCAGACATATTCCATTTTCTATACGAATTCTCGTTGTGACTAATTGATTTTTAAAATCGTTTCCGTAGCTAGATATTTTTTCTAAAAAATGACTTATTTACAAGACCAGCTCACATTTTTAAAGCGCTTTTTTCTCGATTTTGGAGTATTTCGATAATAACTTTCGCCTCAGTAAGTGCCTTTCAATAATAAATTAAAGCCATCTAAATAGGCGTACCTGTGGTATGAGATTGCCAATACACAAAATTGTGTGACATGTGGTATTTAGAGCCGAACGGTTCGCAGGAGGAAGCTGAAACGGGTAATGAAGAGTATATAGTATTATAATGAGAATATTTATATCAAAGATCGTCTATGTTTTCATAATTGACTGTCGATTTTTTATCGCTTGCAAAAATCAATTATGCAATGAGAGTAGGAATAAATTATGCTGTACTTTTTGGATATTGCCTTCATCTTGGTACCTTATTGTTATTTCTCTATGAGATTTACTGTTGTTATCAAACTCACATCCTGTGCCGTAAGGTTGTATGCAAGGAATTTGTGTTGCTGTGCCTGGTACAGTAAACTGTTCACAATGTAGTCTGATACCCACAAATACATCATCCGGCTCGTGTCGTTCCATTGGGGAAGGGGCGAGGCTTGGAAAGGGGGCGGGGCAGGCGAAGCTTTCCAGTCTATTTCCCCCTTAGGAAAAATGAAGTATTTATTGTTATTAACTGTAAACAAATAATACTAAATAATAAATAATTTTGTGATTCAAGGAAACCTTTCAAGAGTGGCCAAATATCAAAACTAATTCAAAATCTCTACTTCCACTGATTTTTAAAAACAAAAGTTTGCGGTTTATATACAGGAATAAGTCACATTCATAAAGAGTATATGAAAGATTCAGTCCCATTTTTTCGTTATGTTTTTACCTTATGATAGGATTCCATAAAATTCGTCTGAAAGAGTGGTTGTTCATCCATACTATAGTCCAGTAGAAATGTGTTCACTATATCTACAGTGACTGTAAAATATACGTAAAACATGAAATTATCAAGATTTCCTTTGAGATAAACCTAGATAACGACGAATAAAGTCGTACCTATTTAAAAAGTATATATACAAAAGCATGAATATATTGGTTTATGTTGTTCCCATTGTCAGTTGGTAAATATATATTTGATATTACTAAAACATGGGTGACATGTATATAAGATGTATATTATGAAAAAGACGGAGTAACCTTATACGTTTTAGTAAAACGAATTTGCGCCTGGGAATGTTGTTGATAAATCGAATGTCCGAACTGGCAGTAAGCCAAATAGATTCCCCTTTAACATTCTACACATCTTGACAAATAAGTGAAGCACGCTCTTACAAAATTCGGAAATACATCCTTTTAAAGTGAAAGCCCGCATAACAGTTATGTGATGGAAATTAAAATATACTGACATGTAAACGACAGCTATCTCTGAGCCCTTGTATATCCTTAATGGTACATATTCATACCGTATGTAGTAATTAACGAAGGGTACTTTATCTCATGTCTCGGTATGATATAGAAATAAAGAATCCTATATACCTGGTAGTTTCGCCAATGCGTTTTCTCCGTCCGTATTGATGAGATCAGTCACAACTCCACAAACCTAAAATATAATATCAATTAATGATGGTTAGAAAAAAAAGTATCTATTTCAATATCCACCCATTTGAAAAATTATTTCGCCGCGTTTTAGAAAATTATTTTTAGCAATAAGTACAAAGCAACTCCAAAAATGGGTTAAGTAGCCATGTATTATGATAGAGTGTTTTAAAACATGTCGTTATATTTTGACACGTCTTTCCTGGTTTTGAACAATATACACATTTTGTTATGTTATGATTTGGTAGCGATACATCAGTTAACCGTTTGGTAGACGACATTTGAATACATTTCCTGACGGTTCACATGTTACGTGACCGGTATAAAGAAGAAACATTTAATAAATGACATACCTTGCCTTGAAGAGACGACTTGATAGCGTCTGCTACCTCACTGCTGAAAAGGTTGTAGAGCCATGAAGCTCCTCCATGAAACGTCAAACTCACGCTGCCAATACTAACGCCACATCCAGAAGCATGGATGTGAGGGCGTCCTTTGGAATCGGTACCTATTGGATAAATATTACAATCATAAGGTTTTCAAATAGTTAAATGATCATAACATCTGACATATGTAATTGCATTAAGTTTATGAAATACGTTTAACACGGAACATGAAACATGAAAGCTTTCAGAGTCAAGTTTTTATTTCCAATATTTCCATTTTATTTAATGATGATGGGACTAGGCATATAACGAAAGTAAACCAGTAGGGGTAAAATGATATATTTATCTGCTAAAATATTTATCATATTTATCGCTATTCATCATCTGATTGTACATGCAAGTATTCGGTTTTTTTTTCAATTTTCATTTTGAGGTACAAAACGCTGTCAACGTTTCCCTACAAATGAAAACAAACGAAGATACACTCGTGTTAAAATCGAATTGAGAATGTTTAATTGTTAACATGATAATATATGTATTAAATAGACATAGCTTACCAATATCGACATTAGCATGGAACGACAATCCACTCACAGAAACATCGAAAGTTCCACTGTCGGAAATAATTCTATAAAGCAATGGAACATCACACTATTAACATAGGTTTACCGCCGTACGATCTGAATGTTTCATAAAAGGACGCAATATATAAATTACGCATCATGTTCAACATCTATCGACAGGTCGTTAACGAATGATTAAAGATAAATACAAATTGATTATTCACAGTATGCCTGGAAATTACAATGATTGATCAAATAATTAAAGAAACGAGAAAGAATGATTAAGAATAACCGGAAAAAATTGAATTATTCAACAACATACGGTGTATGGTATGCCCAGTTACCATGCATCTGCAGCCCAGCATTGCTACCTGTCCAGGTCAGTCCAGAAGGAGGTTTAAGGGAAATCTGACTGGAAGGCCTGGTAAATCCGTTTATATGAATCCTGTTGGGAACACTCTACTGTTAGTACGCTGTTACAATGGAATTGGTTTAACAGTAAAATGTACGAAATAAACAAATGTCGTTTGGCTAAAGCAACTTACTGCAACAATTTTAGTAAGACCGTATGTCTTGGTACATCCATAAACTTACTGCAGTAAATTAATCTGGACTCTCCAGACAATCCAGTAAAAACATATTTTCAAAAAAATGGCCGCTGTTAATAGTTATTACGTACCCGGTGAGGTGGTAGGTAACGATACTCACAGTCCCAGACTGGTCAGGGATCGAAACACCAATAATAGCCTTTGACAAGATATCGAGTGCGACACTGTTTGCTGCAACAGTAAATAAACAACTGATTATGCAGCTAGTTAAATATGTGAATTTACTAGGCTATCACTATCGGTCACTTCTATTGACATTAACATGTATCTGATTGTCTATCACACAGAACTACATGTTAGGAAAGTAGCAGTATCTAGGTTTTGGGCACTGTATGAACAAAGTTCAAATTGTATCAAATACAATTGCTCAAATATATATTAAAATATAGTACATAGAGTAATAGATGTAGCATTTCTTTATATAATGTCTATTGTAGATTTTAAATCTTCGGCTAATGTGCTTGCATCAAATATGTTTACAATAATTCTCCAATTCAACATCACTACCTTGAGTATTTTTTATATATTCGTTATGTATTATACACAACACACTGTAAGTATATATGATTCATACTGTTTCCATCAAGTCGTCAGCCACGTGATGCAGTTACAAAAATGACGAAAAAATTGACTGCACCATATTTAAACAATTTTGCATATCAGAACCTGTTTATATAATCAAATTATTAACATTTACTTTTATTCTAGCTTTATTTAAGCAGAAGTCATTTCTAAAAAGACCAACCTCGTCAATATTAGCCAGTATATGTTATTCCTGTTCGATATAAATACATGGTGGTCACATCACTCTCCATTTTGTTGGCTGTGTATGAATTTTAGTTGTATTATACAACAAGAAATTGCCAGTCACTGGATCTAAAGTGTCGGTGACAAGACTATATATATCAAAGTCTAGTATATAGTATATTATGTATAATGTCCATGTATGTCATACGACACACTGTCTTAGGAACCAAGTCGTAGTGTATGATTAAATCACTAATTATATTAGTATTGTACCATACCATAGGTCAAGCCCTCCGAGGTGATTCTGGTCTTGAAGCCCGGATTGACCGATGCTGTGCTGAGGTGACAAATGACCACCACGATAAACACCGTATTCGCTGTACTGGCCATGTTGTGGTCAAGCTATACGAACGCCCCGACCAGGTATAAACTCACACATACAGTGTTAACCATGTATACGTACAGATGTATATAACACGACAGTAACGCCATCTATAAATAGAACAGACATGTGTCTGTACTCAGTCTTGTTCCGCTCCAGTTACTGGCTGAGCAGAGGGAAAATTTAAACTGTATCGATACTTAGCTGCTAATGATGATACTACTGTTAAATAATTTTAATGTGTCTGCAGTTTTCCCTGCATTTTTGCTGAAGAAACATACTCGAGTATATCGTTTAATGCGTTTGTGGGCAACGCTAAACAAGTGAGTGTTTATAGCGGGTCATGTAGAACATTGAAAAGGAAAAACGTACAACATTATTTCACAAACATCTTACAACATCTCTTGAATCTACACACGATTTTGTGGACAAAGTGAACTTGTACAACACTAGTTCACTACTTCTAAAACACAGGTTCTCGCAATAAAATGAGACGCTTATTTCGCTTTGTATAAATCATTTGTCGGCAAGACAAAGTTGAAAGTTCATAACGTGTACCAATATGTGGAAATAATGATTGAATCAGGACAAAATGCAAAAACAATGATTAAAGCACAAAACTTTAATATCACATATATAGTTACATATCAAACACACAAAATAGCTGAAATCTTCAAGCTTAATTATTATATATTTATAAACGTTGGATTTCTTAAGGATTTGTACTTAGTCAGAAAAAGTGCATTTAACAAGTACAACAGGTACAATATAAATCTGATAGATACAAAACTGAAAATGCGTCAGTATGAATGCATTGCAATTTTCCCTACATTTTGTAATCACACAAGTATATGTTTGAACATTAAAAGTCTTTCTCGAGTAAAGTAACCGATAAGGTAATGTCCTATTAATGACACACACAGTGTAATAGGAGAAACATACTTCCTTAAGAGACTTTTGGAATGTTTTACGAGAAAAACAAAAAAAATGATATATAAGTGCTGAAAAGGAGGTACAGTTGTCCGCCTTTTAGTTACATAGACATGTGGTCTATGTTATTTATTACATACCTAGATAAGTCATGAAAAACCTAAAATAAACAACTACAGCAGAAAAAAATGATTGCGAAAAATACAATGTATACAATTTTGGTATATTTACCAAGACATTATATATCATAAGCATAAAACTTAAAATGAATAACCTCGAAAACAGATGAAATATTTGTAGTGATTCTGTTAATTTACCACAATGATGTAGATCAACGTTCTCTTCCAGTAGTAAAATGTGACATTTAAATGATAACAACTTTCAAGGTTTGTAAACATAATGTATAGTTCAATATGAAAAAGTTACTAACGCTAAAATAGCTAAAAAGCAGAAAGTAAAAGGAAATAAAAGACAATAAACTTATTCTGTATAAGCATAGCATTTCGTATTAAAGTGTCCTTCAAAATATTCCAATAGACTTGCTTGTGAATCTGATGGATTTATACATAGTCTTCTTTTTTGGCGAGCCCTCTATCCTAACATCACATTTGTCACATCAAATCATCGGCATCAAAGATCAGGCGGATTCCTCAACAAAGCAATGAATTCAGAATTCTCCATCAGGGTGATATACAACGTCAGTTGCGATGAGCAAAGCATGCTGCAAAACGAAGATCACATTTTGAAATAAAGTCGGTTACCGACTTCTATAATTAAAGTCAAACATGATAAATGAAGATTTATGTACTAATTTGAAGCTTTACAAATCATGAAACCCGCTGTGTAACAACGTAAACCAGTATGTGTAATACGTTTCAGTGCAGAAGAAAGCTATATTTCGTGCATGTTGAATACGACTCTTGTTATTTGTACTTAACGTATAAAAGGCCAATTTCACTGTATTCTATCTGAGGAATTCAACACACTCCAACACATACCTCCAGTAGAACCAATTTGGAATTTTTCAATGATATTTTCTTCCCGAATGGAAGGCGGATCCCAATCTTGCCAAGTTCTGAAAAAGACATGTAATGAAATCAGACTAAAGAGTGATGTTATAATACTTGACAAGTAATATTACTTTCGGAATATAGCGTATGATATGATAACGTTACTTTATTTTTTCCATCACTGAATATTTATAATTTAGTTTGCGGAAGAATGGGAGACATTTTTGATTTCGTACATTCTGTATTCTGAAAACATGCTTCAAGGCAGCTTGGCTATTCAATAAAAACTTTAAAACTTTGTATTATTGAATTATAATTTCTTATTCATTCTGCTAGATAGATAGGTGGCATATGTTACGTATACACACTTGTTATTGTGGTACCATTACAAAAGTATGTTTATATCAGTATCTTACCGTCAATATTGGGCTGTATAAATCTTTCTACAACATATTTCATGAGGATGTTCAATGCTCTTTCCTGTTCAAATAAACCCGATATGATAAGCATATGTAATATAAAACACAAATACATGTCAAAATTAAGGTGATAGAGTTTCCACATGAACAAAAATCATTGTTTTTTTTTGTTTCGTTTGTTTTTTGTTTACATAGGTTGAGCCGATAATACACGCCGTCATTAATTACCAAAATAACCATATGATCAATGATACTTACAGTAACATTCGCTATAGTCGAGTTTTGCAGGGAAACAGAGATACTGAAATAAATGCCAATAACATATTTGAATTATTTGAGGTAGCTATAAATTACACTTGCATAATAATCTAATACATCGAATACTTTTATACTGTGTACATAAGCTTTATTTATCATTAAATCAGCAGCGATTCTGATGTTGCTTAACTGAGTTTAAAGGTCTTTCAATTGGTAAACGTTCCTTACTATGAAAGTTAAAAATATAGCCTTCTTTGATTATTTGCGATTCCTATCGTCATATTAACTTACGTCATGTTGGTGACCTTGTAGTGCATCACGTGATCTGCAACACTCATCTGGCCCGTCAGTGACATTTTCTGTCATTAGAAAAAAAATCATAACAATGCCTTGATGCTACCATAAAATGTCGATATAGCTGTCCGTGGCTTCAGTTGTGTGAAAGATAGTTTGGAGATTGATTTACAATGCAAATAATGCTGTAGTATACGTCCTAATTTTTTGAGATCATATTAGTCATGCATTTTGATGCTTATTCTGATAATGGAATGTTAAAACTACAATCATGAGAGATGAACATTGAATATTTTCAACTGCAGTAAATGTTCATACTGAGGATGAACTCAATTTATAAAACAAAATATCTAGAGCAATATTAATCATTCTTGTTGCTCTGTACAGAAACGTTGTTGTTAAAAAATATTACCAGAAATACCCATGTAGACCAGTAGATTGATTCACTTGTTGGTTGTCTTTTACCTAACCCACATTTCCGTGAGTTTGACATGTTAATGTTAACTTTCTCATGAATGATCTATTTATTTTTAGATATTTTGTCAGATACTTCCCATCGTGTTTGAATGACTGATAATAATAGCTTCCTCAAGATAAAACCAGTGACATTATCAGGGACACATACTTCCTTATAAGTCATCATCTCTCTTGACCTTTGTTGAGCACGTGCTATTCTAAAGCTAAAGGAAGTATAAATTCTATTGATTTAGTTTTAATGAAAAAAATATGTGTCTTGACAGTTTCTATATGACGTCGAACAGTTCTACGACAGCAGCGCTATGCGGTATACAATCTCTTTATCAGTGGTTACCTCTTGTAGACACAGGTATGCCGATCATTTAAATCTTGATAAGAAATACCAAGTCTCGGCGTACTTTCTAGGTCAATGAAATTGTTTTCGGACAGAATTTATAGCCTTTCATTCAATCACTTTTGATTGGTATTCACACATGTTGCATGCATTATACATATGTGTGTGTGTTATCCCCGGGACGGATCCTCAGATCAATTTACAGTGACTTCAATAGTCTTCTCTACCTAAAACCATTATTACAGTGTAGTAATTACTGAGGAAGTACATATGGCGAATACGAAGTCTAATAATGAGATATACCGTGTGCATGCAATCAAATCGGATTCGAAACAAATATACACGGGAATTAACTTATCACATACCACATCCATAGTAAGTATGTAGCCTCCGGAAGTCCTTATTCTGCTCTCATGGCCCACATTTTCTGGTTTAAAATACAACGTTGACAACACAGGCCGGGCATACAAGGCTATTGTTCCAACCATGTTGGTTTCTATGGCACCGTTTACCACGCTAATCTCCGGCATTTTCTTACTCCTCATTTGCAGTTCTATTTGGCAGTTAGGATATTTCTCCTGAAGCTGCAATAGTCATATTTAAAGTTATCATTTATCTGTATCGCATTTTGTGGATTGACCAATGTTTACATAGCGGGAGTCGTTGATGAAGGAGAACTGCTTACTTTTCATTGACAGCTGGTCTTTGTTCTTCTTCCGGAGTCTCTCTACAGATCTTACGGTTGTTCATATTTTACACTTCTGTTATTGAATTTGAGTTTGGATTATGTTTATAATGACATCTTGTTATTTTCTTGTTGTTTTTCTTATTTACATGTGTAACAAGGAAGCGTACTTTTATTACATATTCAAATTATGATTCTTCTGGTCGTCAATTAATGCATGCTATCGTCCGTAAAAAAACCAAGAACTATAAGTTGATCAGGTGTTATTTTACACTGAGGTATGTAAATAAACCAATGTCTATGTTGTAAATTGTTAGATTTTCAGTAAGATACAAACCGGCGGGATGAAGTTACCAATGCACAGGGAGCTGGTACAAGTGGTGTTCAGTAATCCTCGATCTTTTTCTGGAAGCTGAAATAATATCACAATCGTTAGTTATTCAATAATCCAAGGTATCAAATAAAAATGCATATACTGGACTCATGTGTACATTATATTTAAATAAATAAAATTAATAAAGACACCATGCGCTGATACATGACCAATAACTGCTATGGATTGTAGTGGTGTTTTGCGGCATGTATGCACTAAAACTATTTCACAAAACTAATTTCACCTTCTTGAAAATAACAGAAATAAATATATACAAATATGCTAATGAATAAACATCAATCTACTACAGTAATATTGGTAGCACATATTCTTTATCACATGCATAAAATGTTCAATGAAATGGAACGATGAGTTTTTTGTATTACAGAAATGTATTTATCGTTATTTTGATACTGTTTCAGAATACAAGAAATTGAGTATGGTATAAAAAGGCGTTAGATAAACGAAGTAAAAACGTACGTCCTTCGCTGTGAGATTGTATGAGAGAATATTATGTTTCTGTGTTTGGTAGAGTAAGCTGTTCATCAGATAGTCCGAAACCCACACATACATCATCCGGCTCGTATCGTCCAGTTGGGGGATGGGCGGGGCATTGAAAGGAGGCGGGACAGGCGCAGCCTTCCAGTCAATTTCACCCTTTAAAAATAAATCATATAACATATTCTAAACGCATCATAATATCCCCATCATATACATTATATATATTTGACACCCACTGTATTTAATTTTTTTTTTCTTGTTTTAGACCCCGTTATATTTTGTTTTTATTAAAGTAAGCTCGACCGCATGATCAAATATATTCTGAAGGAGGATACTGATGTTAACCGAGTATTCTTCTTTGATCTTATAGTGTTAATATACAATGATCATTGACATGCACACATACAGGTATTCTTTCTTTTCTTTATTTTTATGACCCCATTCACCAGCAGTGCAACCAATATCAACATCAAACGGACTTTTTACCTTATGGTATGTCTCTAAATAATCAGATGTGAACTTTGGAGGACCTGTAAGTTTGTAGTCTAACTGGAAAAGTTGCCCGATATCCATAACAACTGAAATGCAAAAATAATTAGATTTTGAAACTGGCAAATGTTCATAAAATATATACCTATATGTTACCAGTTACGTTTTGTTCGATATACGTTCTTAATACAATATTGAAATCACAATCCCATAGTGTATGCATTTTGACGTACATATGATTGCGTTATGGAGTCAAATATCGCTACTTCTGTGGGAAGAGAATGTTATTTTCACTTATGTGCGCTTAAACGTCAGTTTGTTTTGAAAATTCAGCGAACTTATGATTAGCAGAATTGATGTCAAACTCACTTAAGATCTTAAATAAAACACAATGCCTATACAATATCTTTTACACAATCTAAATAGCAATGAAAATACCTTTAAGCAAGGACAGAGACTTTTCAGCATCTGTGTTGATCGACTTACTGATGACATCACACAGCTATAAATATAAAAATATTGATCTATTTCATTGAATAAACTAGCAATTCTTCAGGCAATAACATTTCTACCTCTTTCGACCAACATCTTCTTTTTTTAAATGAAACGTTATATCATATATTTCTCAAACAAATTATTTTTTCTTCACAACAGTGAACATAAATGAGAATGCACACCTCTTCAGTGGAGTTCAATGAAATAGCCATTTAAAGTTTAAATAAACTTTGGGTAAACTGCAGGAAATAAAACGGTATTGTAGGGAAACTCACTTTATCCTTAAGTGCTCGTTTTATCTTGCCCTCGACAATTCTTCGGATTAAATTGTACACCTTAGCATGATGGCCGTGGAACCTTATGGACGCACTTCCTACGTTACAGTTACATGTCCCTGCTCTGATGGTCGGCCGTCCATTCGCGTCTGCCCCTGCCATACACACAAATGAAAATCCGTTTTAAAAATAACCGATTTGGAATGACCTAGTTACGATTCTATAGGTAAACAGCTGGTAGAGCACAGATATGTTTAAGAAACATAAAGATTTCATATATAAGTATTTACTTATTGCTTTAAAGGACGTAAGCATATTTATATATATTTGCCAGTTTCTTTAAAATTAAAATATTCGAACATCATTAATGCAAAGCCTCCTGGGCTAAAATAATAAAGAGATAATTTAATGAGCTTAAGGTAGAATACTATATACGTGTAAGATGAATTAACAAAGCTTCCTCTTTCAGATGTAATTTATATTTCTTAACGGCGGTTTTAAAATAGAGACAGTAGATACCCGGAAGTGATTTTCGCTTACGTAAATATCTATGTATTGAGGAAGATATGGACAACTGTTAAAATTAATTTAAACACCTAAAGAATATGTTGTAAGCAGAGCATTATCCGAAACGGCATTCCAACTGGAAAATAGATATGAAAAAAAGTACCTAAAATAGCTTGCACACTGAAGGAAACGTGAGACACTGATACGTCAAAGCTGCCATGATCCTTGATTCTGTGAATACATTTGAGTACATAACAACATTAAGACTGACTCGAGCTTCCTAAATCAAGGAAACTGGCACCTAATTTACAAAATGTATGTAAAACAGAAAACAGTAACAATAACAATAGCTTTTCCTCTAATTGCCAATGTATTCCTTCCTTCAAGTACAAAATATATGGAAAAGTAGTTCAGACATATCACTGATTCTAGATATAGAATATGAAACCAGGACGTACGAACACATAATCAAATATCAAACTCTGATCGTATTGTTACAGGAATAACAATATCACAACTAATATATATATATAATCAGTTCCATTGGTTGATTTCATAAAAAACAGTTCACATAATTATCATTACTATGATTTATACACATATGCAACTATTTTGATTTTGTGGAAACTAAATATCCACAACACAAACGGCTTTCTCTGTCAATGTATCACAAGAATAAGAAACCAGATAGATTGACAAGTTCTAGTTTTACAATAGACTTTTCATCAAAACAATTGGTTCAACATAAGCGGGCCAATCAACACCCTAATAAAAACACACATCATCACTTACATGAAAGAGTACTTAAAGTCTGCATGCATGCCGAGTTCTATGTCTTCCGCAGACCATTCTAATCCACTTCCTGGTATTGGCTTCAGAGAGCTTGGGGAGGGTGGCGAGAACTCAGTTATTTCGACACTGGAAAGAAAATAAGGTTTACATCTAAATAAAGTATTTAAAATCGAATACTTCAACACACAAATAATAACTAAACTTTATTTTTCGTTCCAGATACGTCAATCAAGACGATTTTGTTCATATCAATGAAAGCTGAATGATCTATCAAATATTTATAAAGTAGACGGAAAATAACAAATACTATAATGACGGTATATCTATAGGAATTAAAACCTGTGATACATACTTGGAAATAGAGTAAGATTTTCCATGTATTGGGTTGAGTTTTCTACCCCTCACGCTCTTCGACAGCTGTTCAATAGCTTCCTGGTTTGCTGAAACGAAAGTAAGAATCGATTACTATTCTAAACAAGAGACGTATTCTACACAAAGAAGCTTAAGATTAAAGTTGACAGTTATAATCCAAGTATTTGAAAATGTTAATATTTATCTATTTTATATAACTAACTCATACAACATATGAATATGTTCATTCTTTATTTCATGTAGATTATGGTTCTAGTTCACAACTATGCACGGTTTGGAAATATCTATTTTAAAATGTTAAAACATTTAAGCATTAAGAGTATGTAAAGATACTAGTGTCATAGAGTAAAGCCTGAAGCTCGAATATATATAGTTTTAGACTACAGATTTTTGTACATGAAATATATTGATTTACATTATCTCTCTGTTTATTTCGTAATTATTAATGACAATTACAAGTCAAAGCATTACCAGTATTGCTGTATTCAACATTTAATAATAAAAAACCTCAATTCATCACTTTAATATTCAAAGCAAAGTTCACATGAATTTAGATCTTACCGTAGTTGAGCCCTGCAGTCGTGATCCTAGTCTGAAATCCCGGGTTAACGGCTATCATCATGTCAAAACAACACAATAAAGCCATACCAAAAACAATCGATCTACATTTCCCGTCCATGTTCAACACGGTGTGCTTTGTTCGTGAGTAGATCAGACTGCTCACAGCTTCATGACACCTATATTAATAGCAGGGATTCCCGATTATAACATCCTTAACAGAAACAATATGACGTGTATTCTATTTTTATCTACTTCCTTCTTTCAGTTTGAAATACATATAAAAGGGGAGGAAACTCCAAGATAGCCATGACACGAACCTTAAATAACCGTGTATAGAGATAAAAAAAGCAAATATGTCGAGGCCATGCAACTGTTACAAAATATATACACACATGTAGGCAAATATGCTTTTAGATAGAAATAGAATTAAAGGTATATGAACTAGTCTAATAAACCACCAGCTGATAACACAGAAACAGCTTCTAGGGAGAGTAACGCTAACACAATCAACTGTAACAGAGTATCAACCAATATCAAATCTGCACCTTGTTTTTTCCATCCCAAATATATGTGTAATATTTTGACTTGTTATCGTTAAAATTGAAATATGAGATTAACAAGTGAAATAAACCATCGTAAATAAGATTAAAACAAAGCATTGATTCATTCAGAGTAAAGTGCTAGAACTCGAGATAAATAAACTACTGTCAGACTTTTCCTACATTAACATCGGTTGGCCATTAGTTCACGTGGTGATGACTAAGAACTTTGATCTTTTCTGCTTCAGAAGAAAACACGGAATATACATTTATTCTAATCGTCGAATGTGCACATACACAATCTATTTGAATAATTGTGGCATTATGAAAATGAAAACAAATGACGATTATTGAAAACTACATACCTCCACCAGCATAATGAATTCTAAAATATCATTTATCCTACGAATCAAAACATCTCCCATTAGGTCAAATTTATTATGATGTTACACCTGAACAGGCATAATCCGGACACGAGTAAAATCTAAGCTGACTGGAAGAAACGACAAACTCCAGATGGGTATGTGCTCTAGCCCTCTAATTTAATAAATCTAGTTATCTGCCACTCTATCAATGACTGAATACGTGTCATGCAGGTAACGGCAACATTCCGGAATTGAAGTTCCATCAGCAGATTGTACATACGACACACAAATGAGAAGCCGCGCATTTCAATAAAACAATTAGCATCGGATACGGTAGAGACCAATAATGAATTAAACTATATTATACAGTTGATTCGTTCTTCTTCTAGGACTCGTCACTGATGCTCAAGCATAGGTTTTGAAACTTTGGAGGCTACCGAAGAAAATAAAAATTCATCCAAAGAAATCTTAAACTACGGATGAGTTGCTATAGCGCCATAATTAAAACAAAATTTGTTATTTTCGTATCTTACAAGTTCAAAAGAACGTCAAATATAAAAGTGAAACGATTGATTCCATGTGATTTACAACATTACACAATAAAGGATTAGCAGTGTAGACTTGTAGTAGTTATTTCATTAGATGGGTAGTCGTATAAATAGAGATTCCACCAGACGAAAGGCTCTCACTCGGATGCTGACAGACGAACGTAAAGGATCTCTAGCTGAAAATAAAAGGTAACAGTGACCAAGCTGAAAAAGTTTGGGCCTAGCTGAATAAGTTAGGGCTCCACTGTAATCCTTTAAAATCGGAACCAATAATTCTTACACGTCTTATACAAATGTACAAAGTCACGGGAGATCACAGTACAGGGTAATGTGTAGTTGATCAGGTACAGTGACAGGGTACCGAGGCACAGGTTTTGCCGAGACACAGTGTATAGCTGACTTGTTCCAAGTGGTTGAGGCAAAAGGTGACGCAGTCAATGCACGCGTGTCGTGGTGAAGGCTAACGTGGTCAAAGTGTGTCACGGTCAAGTTTGTACAGTCACGGGTGTTGTGGTAAAAGGTTAATTATTTACTACCGACACAGGGTGGCGGGTATATATGTGATATAGTGTTTTAGTTGGTATTGGGACTCTATACATGTCAGTGTTAAGGTGCAATAAATGTTAGTTATCTACCGGGTGTAGTTTAGAGTATAGTTATTGAATTCTTATAGTTTATATCATTATCTGAGTCAGGTAGACAGGCCAGAATTTTGTAAATATATTGTGGGCATTTTACTATTTGTTGAACAGTTACTGGGTCCAAGATAGAACTTGGTAACGAACTGACAGTACGCATCCGTTACAAAAGTATTTTCAATATCGTGCCACTATTCGAGTGAATTAAATCGAGATATTCAGGTCAGGGCAAACCTCGGGGACCGTAAGTTGGCAAGCAAGGTCTTCCATCTGTAATCTCGAAAATTGTACAAAAGACAAGTGAGCAACACATTGTTCCGTTGTTGTATACACAGTTCTCATTTGATAACATTTCATATTGGGATTTACGTGGCAGGTGTCCTCGATATATCACATGATTTTGTTTTAATTGTACTTTTTCAGGAGTCTCCGCGTACATCTTTAGTTTGTCCATATGTTATCTTGGTTTTATTGAATTTGAGTTTGGATTATGTTAAGTTGTTGACATTTTTTGTTGTTGTTTCAATACAAGAGCTGATGCGTTTTTGAGAAAACTGAAAGAGATTTACAATAATGAGATACACTGAGAAAAGACTCTTAGCAATAAGAAGCCCTGAACAATTCAATATTTGGCTACACACTATCTCAAAGAGTGTTGAAGAAAGTCATTAACGCAGCAGACGAAGTTCTAAAAACCGACTGTTTCATGTTCCGGCAATTTTATTCAATAGTTGTTATCGACGATTTCGAATGAAAGTAGCTCCATATAAGCGTTATTTATGTGTCATTAAATCTGTGGTAGTTCTCGGGGTTGTAAACATAAATTAAAGAAAATATCGCTCAGTGTAATAGAAACCCGTTGAACATTGAAAAAGTAGGGGCGATGTCCGCTCCACCATTGTGTTCAGATACTCGTACCCACACCTCATCACCGGGATTTAACATCGTAATAACTGACGCCGCACCAGTCGTCCAGTACGAATCATCTCCACTCATGGCTGTACCTATCACAGCACCATTACGAACAAGCTCCGTAACAATGTAATACCCACCAGGAACCTTAATCATCCAGGAGAAATGGTAAGCACCAATCACATCGCAAGTGAACACACCGGTTTGAGGACTAAAGTGAGCACCGATATTTGTGAGGATTTTATCGAACGGGATGATATGTTCCAGTGCTGGGTCTGATATAGTATGAGCGAGAATGGCGTGGAAAGCAATTATGCTGTCGGTTGAGGAATCTGTAAAACAAAATACCTTATACAACTATCATTATCACGTTTTAGCGCATTACCCAGTGACACATACATTAATAAGCGATAAATACATAGTGATTCTTATGTACGAAATAGAGAGCAATATTGGTAAGCATTCAATGGGGAACGCTGAATTGAGACTGACATATAAAATTACTGTACATCATGATTGTGTGAAAATTGAAAATCAAATGAATAAAATATATTCGAATAACAGGTGTTCTTTCTTTACCGACACGTGTGTTGATGTTCCCTACGTGACCATCTGAAAAGAAAATAGTGTTTATTAAGGGTACGAAGTTCGTTGATGATATCATTAAAATCTACACCACATGAAATTATATTAGCAGGTATTATCCACATATGTATGTAATATACTTCCTAATTTTTTTCAAAACAATGCCATTTACGACTGATGAGAGGTAAAAAGAAAACGGTGCGAGAACTTCAAACACGTTGGACTTTTCCTAATAACGTTGATTCGTATAAAGTACAACCGTTCCTTACTTCACAGGCGTATTCAAGGACAGGTAGTAATAAAACACTTATAAAACTTAAGTAGAGTGTTACGCTCGAGTGTATATTTATGTTTACGCAATACATTAACTTTATTCATTACTGATTCATATATACTTTCAATATGGTAATTCCATTTACCTTTAGTATTTAACTTCTTAGTGTTTGTGGCTTACACTAAAGTTTAGAAATTCGTTATCAAATTGTAACCCTTGATTTTCTTCAAGTTGTCAGCATTTGAAAAAAAAATCTGTTTTGCTAGGATTAAAATCTACTCACAACTTTTCGGCCGATCTATTTAAAGATAAAGAATAGACCCTGGGGGAACACCGGCTTTTACCATACAGTATTAGAAAATTAGTTTGAAATTAATACCTTCTGTTGTCTATTAGTAATTTTTCAACCAATTGAATAATTCTCCTGATATAACATATGATTTTAGTTTAATCAATAACCCCTTATGCAAAACGCGATCAAATGCCTTGGAAAGATCACAAAATATTAAGTATGTATGTTTTACCCTCAAGAGCTAAACACAAACTTTGATATATCTCAATTAATTGATAAACAGTAGAGTGGTTTGGCGTAGAACCGGACTGGTACCTGTAAAACAACTGCTTCTGGTAGGAGATCGTATAACATTGTTAAGATCAAAAGATGCTATTATGTGTGATACAGGATATCTCGGTATATTGTTAAGATCAAAAGATGGTATTATGTGTGATAGAGGATGTCTCGGTACATTGTTAAGATCAAAAGATGCTATTATGTGTGATAGAGGATGTCTCGGTACATTGTTAAGATCAAAAGATGCTATCATGTGTGATAGAGGATATCTCGGTACATTGTTAAGATCAAAAGATGCTATTATGTGATAGAGGATGTCTCGGTATATTGTTAAGATCAAAAGATGCTATTATGTGTGATAGAGGATGTCTCGGTACATTGTTAAGATCAAAAGATGCTATTATGTGTGATACAGGATGTCTCGGTGCTATAGTAAACATATCTACACTGAAGATTAAATCCTCTTAGCCATTTATAACCAAATTTGGTGAAATATCCATAGCTTTTTCTATTGAAGTTGAACTATCAGTCCTATACATTGTCCCTATGATTATTTCATAAGTCGGTAATTCCACCATAGACCAAATAGCTTCGCTTCCTGGATATTCTAATACATATAAACACTTGACTTTTAATTTATCATTGATATGAACTAAGACCCCGCCCCAGTACAATTTCTATCTAACCGAAATGTGAAAACCTTCTAAGTGTAAGCTATCATTCGTTATATGCTCGTGTAAATGGGTCTCAGTAACACAAAACATCATTCTATTCTGTTATATCTTCTAGTAAAACTAACTTATTTCTGACACTTCTAATATTCAAAATAATATTGATAGCTCATTTGGTTCTGTGTTAGACTCAACGCCCATATGAGTTAGCTAAAGTAATAGAAGTGCTAAAGAAAATTTGATGTCAGTAAAACCTGAGTATTGGAATACAAGTAGTGAATATATAAATTTTAATATAAAGTTCCCTGATTGTAGGATGAGAGTTAAGAGAGTTCGAACATTGATTGTAGAACACTATACCTTCCATCTCACCAAATCCTAGGGTAGAAAAACACATAGAAAGTAGTCAAACCCAGCGAAATCTTCAGAGCAAGAAATCAGCTGACTGTCATCGCCGCCATTGTATTATTTTTATCATTAGTTAAACTACCACTTATATAAATGTTATCCTATAGACACAATTTATTTTCACGTATTAGTGATTACTGATGGTAGTGTTTTCTTCATTTATCCATTTAAAACTTTATTCTAACTTACAATATTCCAGTCTTATTTAATATCATTCTATAATTTACTATTTTATTGATGTGTCGGTATTCTTGTTTGTGAATGTGTGTAGAGAGCTTACCTAGACTATACCTGTTACCAAATACCTTATGTCATCACGATTTTGACAATAAAATATTCTGAAATGGAATATCATGAAGACATTGTGTGTACCTGTTTACTAGGACTTCATAATGTAGGATAAGAAAGAACATTAAGAAAATAAGTACACTATACCATGATATCTTCCTGATTTCCGTATTGTTTTGCCAGGCATTCCCAAGCCACCTGATTCGTCGAGTCCCTCTACCGAGCCTGAATTTGTATCGCTTCCTTGGTCATGCAATTTACATTGTCTTTCAAGGGTGGTTAGTTTCTTTTCAAGTCGTACATTCTCCCTTTGAAGGGATTCTGATAAATATAATATTTTTGTGCATTAGCTATTCTTGTAATGAAAGCAGTTATGTATCTGTTGACGATCATGTTCTATGCCCTGGTACAGGTGATACCACGTTATAACTTTCTATAGAATTTACTTCTACTTCCGCCAGGTTTTCTACCTAACAGAGAATAGCGGAGTAGACCACGTTTGCTCGGTTTAAAAGAAATCCAAAATGCATGAAACCAACAATTAACAAATAGACAGATATGAAGCATGTTCCACGGGGAAAATATGGCAACATAGTGAAAATAACATATTATATTGATAAAGTGAAAATAACATTACACTGAGAAGTGAAAATAACATATTACATAGATAAAATGAAAATAACATTACATTGATAAAGTGAAAATAACATTACATTGATAAAGTGAAAATAACATTACATTGATAAAATGAAAATAACATTACATTGATAAAGTGAAAATAACATTACATTGAGAAGTGAAAATAACATATTACATTGAGAAAGTGAAAATAACATATTACATTGAGAAAGTGAAAATAACATATTACATTGATAAAGTGAAAATAACATTACATTGAGAAGTGAAAATAACATATTACATTGAGAAAGTGAAAATAACATTACATTGAGAAGTGAAAATAACATATTACATTGAGAAAGTGAAAATAACATATTACATTGATAAAGTGAAAATAACATATTACATTGAGAAGTGAAAATAATATTACATTAAGAAAGTTAAAGTAACTTTCTTTGCCTGTTATACCTATTTGCGTCCCGTACTTTTGCAGAAGAAGTTTGATTTCAGTCATCTCCGTTTCAGGGGTTCCATCATCTGCATCTGAGGAACTCCCTTTCACCACTAATGCGCCCGAAATAAGGATACATATGGTCAGAATTGAGAGCCACGTCATATTTACAAACATTTCGTGAAATAAGGTCAGTCCGACAAATCCAGTTTACAGGAGAGATAAGGCCAGTGCTTTTCATCATTCATGCTATATCTAAACAGCATGTGTATTTCTATATTATATTTGTGTCAAGATATAGATAAGTTTCCGTTTTCCTTTATGGTTTGATAGACAAACATTTCAGCATGTAAAACTTGATGATTTTTTAAAATTTACTTTTGAGATTTGGAAGATAACTAGAACAAATGAGTGGACAAAATCGACGGTCAAAATTAATTTCTTACGTCACGGAACTCTTCATATGACGTCATCTTTGTAATTAGCAATATCTTGGAGATTGTTTTGAATACAAATATCCTATTATATAGACGTTTCAATATTCCAAAGCGGCTGATACACTGAAAAGACGAGTTTCAAGCAGTGAAAAAATTGTGACGAATTTTGATGCCAGTAAAATGAGACATTTTAGAATGCATAGTGTATTCAGTTGGTCTCAAATGAATTGTTTAGCATTGTTTTACGGAGACACGATGTGGACAAGTGGCAAAATATCACACCCGAGGTCGCACAAACATACCTGCCCTTTGATATGGACTTAACACATGGTATCAAAACCTGAGGGTTTGTATATGTGTATCAGTATGTAGTGAGGTACAGAATCAGAATCTTATAGACTCTCTACACAAAAGCTTCCATTGAAGAAGCGTATTAATGATGTCACTTTGTTACATGTAGTATGTCTCCAACTTTTTGGCGGGACAATATCTCTGTTCTGAAGCATTGGAATCTATCCCTCCCCTTCCCAACCAAAAACATTTGACCATCCTGCAAGGGTTTTTGTTTTTTGTTTTTTGTTTAATAGCGACATGATCGTCTTGGTAGCCAACGTTGTGATTGCCAACCATTTTCGGTCATCGTTTTCCATTTTGATATTTAAACCAAAACTTGTAATCGTAGACAGTCACGTCATTTACAATCAAATTGACTTCTCGATGTAATCCTAAACAGTCGCATCATTTACAATCAAATGAACTTCTCGATGTAATCCTAAACAGTCAGGTCATTTACAATCAAATGAACTTCTCGATGTAATGTTTTCTTGAAGGCAAACATTGCAGATTCCGTCTATGATTTCCATCATAATGTATTAAGCTGATAATTATCCGAAGTGGTTTTGATTGGCTTGGCATTTGGCAGTTTTGCCTGTAGAAAACTTACAAATAATCTTACAATCATTTGTAAATGTTTAAGTGTTGCATATTATTTTTGGGAGACGGCTAGATATAAACTGGAAAATTTGTTATCGATTCCCATTGCTTATATCTGAACCATCTCAGGATCATTTCAGACAAGTTGGAGATCAAACCCACATGTGAAGCTTGAGAAGTTTGAAATAGGTGTTGCACAGGAAAACCATAATTGCGCAATCATGTTACAAAATGGCCTCCCTGACTGCCATAAAGTTTTGACAAGGTCGAAAAAGTAACAACACTGACTTGGCTACCTTTTTCTTAACATTCCCACCAATGTTTAGCTCAATGTCACCAGTGGAACTGGAGAAGAAGTTAAAAATATGTTTTTCAAGATGGCGGCCATCTTTGATGTCAGACATACACTTGGTCAGGATCATCTCAGGATCATTCCATACAAACTTGAGCTCAATCCCAAAGGTTAAACTTGTGAAGAAGTTTGACATGTCAAAAGTTTACCAAAGCAGACGATGATGGACGAAGCACAATGGCTGTAGGTCATCATGTCCATTCGGGTCATATGACCTAAAAACACTAATCTAGGTTCCATACTTTTAAAGCAAGTGTGAAGTATGTTCAAGAAGATTTTAGTGAGGTAACTACATATTTTTGGTCATTATTTTTGACAAGACACCATTGGCATATGTATCGAGAAAAGATAACTCAACATTGCAATATCATTATGTGTATCATTCAAACCACACACGTTCAATAAATAGATCTTAACTATCACTCTGAAATACTTCTCAAGGAGTTGTATAAAAATCATTTTCTTGTCAGATTACAATTCTACCTTACTTAAATAAAAACTCAGTCAGAAAGGCGACTCTAATGAATCCAGCATATGAAAAATAAATCAGTATGGAAAGTAAGGTTTTATTAGGAAATATAAAACAGAAGACATTAAAGATGTATAGAAACATTTATATAATGAAATTAGAAAAAAAAAAGATGTGTAAAAATTAAAGCATAGACCTATATCTCTGATTCAAGTTTCCACCAGTAATCACTCATCTAGTCCTCCTTTGCATAGATAATCCCACGTAGTATATAATGCTGGTGTATTGTATGTATATATCCTTTTTCTAAGATTCTTATGAACATCTATGTCATACAGACATGATTCTTATCTTATATCCCTATACGATTTAAAATTTTAAATCAAACATATACATTATATTCTACATTATTTCAGAAAATTTGACAAATCAATTACATTCCAGCATTTCTTATAATTTCACTCAATCACATATTTGTAAATAACCTAAATGTATCGTATGTTTGTATAACTATAGTCTAGCTTGAATGCCGCCCGTAACCATCATAGTTTCTCCAGTTATGTAGGACGCATCATCCGATGATAAGAATGACACAATTCCGGCACACTCTGGGGGCTGTCCAAACCTGGAAATCAATTAAATCACAAAGGTCAAAGGTTATAAAACTGCATCGTATGACTTTACAGTCCAATACATTAGAATGCACTGTTTATAGCATGCAATGCACACATAAAGTTAGAGATAAAATGATACACCTTGGTACTTATGTTTATGGTGAAGAGTTTTAAAGCATGCAAAATATGGAAGAACTTTTACAAGGGATTTTCATAAAATCAACATTTCATCACTTTTGAAGTAAGTGATTCCTACTGAGAGGATGTTTGTATAGAAAAGTAATTAACAATTAGAATGACAGAAGACTAGCTGTGATCAAAGACACTAAGCTTACTAAAAAATGTAGTCTGTCATTATACATGACAGATATATAAAAACTTTCTTTTCATCATTTGTCTGTGCTTTGAAAATATATGTGAAAACATCATTGATCATATAAGTATAATTCAATATGGTGAGAATACTTTTTCAGAGGGACCAACAATCAGTAACAGGCCCTTTACATGTCGACATCCACGAAGGGTCAAAGTTTCCAATCAACACCTCTTAAACTAATTTTCTTAAATATATATTACCTGTTTAAAGGCACACTGGCAAGCATAGACTTGGCAACTGCTTCATTACTGGTCAGCTGGCAGTACAAAAAGAAACTTTATAAGTTATCTGTTTCCAAAGCATGGATCATCAACCATCTCAGAGAAAATACTACAATATACTTATGCCTTGAATTTGTTTAAAGCTTGCAATCTTCTTGAAGATTGAAGTATTAATAAGCACATATGAATAGAACCTTAACCTTAACTTAATTATAAGTACAAAAGTTTTGTTGAATAGTGAATCAACAGTGGAACAATATTCCATGGATGCAGAAAATACTGTTTACAGGAAAATTTTCATCCCGTTTAAATTTTACCCTTTTCGTCCATGAACAGGGAGGGCAAATTTAAGATAGAGGCAAAATTAAAAAATTACATTTTTTATATATAACCCTCATTAAGCGAATTGTGTATAATGCTACAAGGATGAGAAAAACATGAGGTGAAAATATTTTGCTGTACAGTACTTTACAGTATTGACGCCAACAAGAATATACCGGAAAGCTAAATCCTTATTATTTTGGTATTTTTGATATCCTTATTATTTTGAAATAAGACTTGACTAAATATTGTAATCCTTTGTCAGGTTTATGTTGGGACGTTGATTTTGATGACATACTGCTTTACTGAAGTAGGTGTCGATGATCCCTGGAGCCAGTCCATTAATGCGGATGTTCATGGTGGACAGCTGGGGAACTAGTGCCTTAATCAGACCTAAAAGGGCTGTCTTGCTTACAGAATAGGGTCCAAGCATCTGTAACACATCATGGTGTCTACATATATATAATGAAATTCAAACAGAAACATCTTACAAACACACTATAAATCTGCAGATCAATGAACAACAAATGATAACACTAAATACACCAATGTCTGTTTATGGCTTCAGGCCTTGGTAAAAAATGTATTCTGAGTACAGAATGGTAAACAAAAGTCAGATTGTATTGCTGTATAGCTTAAACTTGTCATTCAAACTGTAGAGTGCAGATCATTGAAAAGTGATCAAAACAGTCTGACAAGAAGAGTAACTCTTGCAGATTTATCTGCTACATATAATTAGAGATCCAAGAGGGATTTTGGCTCCCACTTTCATTTGGTCTTCATTTGTTCTTTGAAAGTTGGATCTTTTCTCTTCTATTCTCTGTCAACTGCCAAATCCAAAATGGCCACCTGTCAGCCATTTCATTTCCCTATCAGACCCAAAATCACACATGCATAACTAGGAACCAAGGCAAAGGAAACATACATATGAAATTTGAGAAAGATCAATCCTATACTTCTCAAGAAATATTGAAAACAAAAATTGTTTATGTACAGACAGACCATGGATGTAGGTCGATTTGAATAGCCCACCATTTGATGATGGTGGGCTAAAATTGATAATAAGAAACATTTGAAGACAAAACTCACTGTGAAAGATTTTAACCATTAGTTCTCTGTCAGTATAAGTATGAAATCTAAAACACCAAAGACTCACGTTGTCAGTATTTTCCTTACTTCCTAAGAGAATAAACTAAATAGATCGAAGGAGAGGTAGATGGAGTATTTTTTTCTCTCCCTCCTTACAGTTCAAAAAACTCTAATGGCATTGGAAGAACATGAGAAATTGACTTGAATGAATCTTCTTTGTACAGTTCCAGGGGTGTGATCATTATAACAATTTGGCCCTGTACAGTTCTATGTCTTGTGGAATGATATAGGGATAACCTGAAACTAAAAGATTGACCTTTTGGCATAGTTGGAAGAGGAGCTTCCAAATTTGTACAGGTGAATGACCTTGACCCACCTTTAAGGTTATAAGGGTTCAATATATTTCTTCCCAATAACCAAAAAGCTCAGGGTTATGAAATAAGGGCAGCAGGGTTCTGTTTTAAATGGCTTTCAAATCTATTCAAATGAACAACTTGACCCCATACATGTATCAAGGCCACAGATCATTAAAATCACAGAACAGGTAAGCAAGGAGATTTAGGCAATGGATTTGTATGTCATAACATTCATAAACAAAACACAGCCAACCTTCTGGTAACAGTGTTATAAATTAGTTATATATACATACTGGAAAAGGGGTAAAGCCAGCAATGGATGACACCACCACAATGGAACCTCCCCTGAAATAAAGTATACAAAATATTCTCAGTGTCTGATTGTACAGGTATATGTATATGTGATACATTATTTATCAAGGTATATAGTTCAAGAATGATACAGATAAAATGTTGTGAATGAAATAAAGTGTGTGATATAGTACAGGTATCGAAAGTAAGGAATCTGCAGTGAAGTATACATAATTTATGTATGATGAGTGTAGATTTATAACTCACAAAGGATAGTACAGCATGTCTTGTCAACTTACCCTCGATTTTGTATGTGGGGCACTGTCTCTTTAATCATCATAAATGTAGCTTTTACATTCAATTCAAATATCTGCAAAGTAAATGTTGTTTAATTTAATAATTAATCACAATACCACATTACTAATTTAATTCTGTGTAGGATACTTATGTTAATTATTGTTTCTACATACCGTGTATACAAATTAAAAAACTTGTCTTGCATTACCTTATCCCATTGATCTTCTGAGCACTGAAAAAAAATAAACAAGGTTTATGTGATAGAAGTGTTCGACTCATTACAAATATTGTGTATACTTTACTACGACATGGTAATCAGAATTGTTTAAGGTCAGAGAAAAAAATCTATTCTTTAGACTTCTGAGAAACAAGAAGGAATTGTTAGTTAAAATGAAAGGAATTAAAACAAACTTTTAATTAAATCTGAAACTCAAAAGCACTTAATTATATCATTAATTATTCAGTCAACAAATAAACAAGTTCAATTCTTTGTTATAGTTTTCAGCAGAATTTCTATTTCAGTGGAAAGTATATTACTTAGTATGGAATGAACAGATAATGACATCTTACATTAAGTATTGGACCAAAGAATGGGTTAACTGCTGCATTGGAAACCATGATATCAATACCACCATACCGGTCCAAGGTCTGAAAACATACATCAAAACAGGGCTTACACCAAACCATTGTTACAAACCGACCTGAAGATGCATTTATTGTGAACATTTTCTATATAAATCATGAAAACATGAACAGAGAACCTGAAGTTAACATGCTAAAATGCTACAAAAACACAGAAGAAATTAAGTGATGTTTTCTGCAAAATAATTGATCTTGAGATGAAAAAATTCTCAAGTTTTTTAACATTTCCCACAAGGTTTATAACATTTGTCATTAACTCTAAAGCCTTAAGATAAGACTCACTTTTATAAAAAGTTAATTCCTATCAAAATCCTGTATGTAATGGAATCTCGTGAAGTAAATCTTACATACAGTATAATATGTAGCTTATAACCTGTTGGATTAAACTGGCTCGATCCTCCTTTTTTCCTACGTGACATACAGTGCCATACACATCAAGATTTTTGGCTCGTAATTTCTCAATTGCTGCATCCACATTTTTCTGTTTTCGGCTGCTGACCACCACTTTTGCTCCATCCTGTCCGAGTCGTTCTGCAATGGCGTAACCTATCCTGAAGGATAACACAGTCACAGTTTAGAGACTGATTTTCTCAATATTTGGCTCTATACAGTATATAAATCTAAATTTCTATTGAAAGGTGCTACTAACTTGTGTCTTTTGTACAATATGTGCAATACATGAATATTGCAAAAACTCTAAATCATTAGTCAAGCTAAGTGAGACTTGTAAAACTACAGTGAAAAACATATATTTCTGAATCATCACAACATGTAAATAAATCTGTCCCATTTTCACTTCATATATCATTTCATTTACAGCACTTGTACATTTTGTATGTCAAATACTTATGCCGTGTACATTATTGTACATTGTAAATAAATGAACCTAGCATTACCTATATCTATTTGTCATCAAGTACAATGTCATAAGACTTACAGTTTGTATCTTTATTTTTCCACACACCAAACTGAAATTCTATGTATCAGATATTCTATGAAACAGCCTAGACTGGATGTTGTACAACTTGGAAGTTGCTGTCCTGTACAATGTTTAAGCTGATCAATATTGTGACAATTCATTTCCACTTGTTTAAATATTAAAAAAGTAACAAAACCACAAGAACACATTGATATGAATGCATTTACTTTAAATATGGTCAGTTAAAGGCGACTTAAAGGTGATACCAACTTAAAATACCAAGAATCTAAATTTCAAATACACAAGAATATAACAACTTCCCTTGAAAAGTACATCAACAAATATAAATATGAAATAAAAGGGTACCATGTAATCGGGTAGCTCAATTGATAGAGTTTCTGTAAAGAGTTTTTGGGTCCCGGGTTCAAACCCCTATAAGGTTATGCATTTTTTGCACTGATATTACATTTGATGCTTTTGGTCAATATTGTTTCAAGTTAATGAAATGCTTGACAAATGCATACATATTGTACCTGGGTTGTAAATGGTTATTTCTTTGTGACAAAGACTTTGGAAAAAGGAAGGAATTCAATAGAACTGGTAGAGCGACCAAATACAGTTCGGATTGTCCTGGGTTCGAACTCTAGTTAGACCTGAAGGTTAAAAGGTTTACACGGCAGAAACTTTATAGCAAGCGGTCACACCATACAGTAGAATTATTCATAAGAGAAGAAACAAAGGGAACATGATAAGGCCATAAGTAACATGAACTCTAACGAATCTACACGTATCTAAACGTTTTATTTATTTTCGATAGCCCAGTCTTTAAAACGTCCGGGTTGCTGACACGTGACATAATCTAATTTACCCGTCTGTTGACGCCGTTACAATAGCGACTTTTCCAGATAATTTTTGGGAAGCAGTTGATGTCATCCTTGTGCCTATTTGTCGGCTGATGTTATTACTGAAAAGAAGGCGTCGCATCATATTGATTCAAGACCAGGGTTCATATCAACAATAATCACACATAATCTAGCAGACGCTTGGTTGACAAACCTCCCGAACTAAACATTTAGTCGACCTGGATCATCAGAATCTACTTTCGCTTTAGAGTACATTAAACGTTTTCGGATTAAGCTTTCCGGAATAACTACGAATACTGTGTTAATTTGTGGAAACATTAGCACCCCCAACAAAATATGCAATGGTTATGAACAGATAATGAACATTCTTATTTTATATTTATAAATATTAAATGACGCCTGTAATTTGGCAATAAAATATATAACTTCAGTGGCGTAGCAAAGAGATATTTTTTTTCTTTCTTTTTGTTTTTCTCTAATTCGCAACCCCCCCCCCCCCTTTCCACTGTAGCAAAAATATTTTTTTTCTTTCTTTTGTTTTTTTTATCTTTACTTCGCATCCCCTTCCCCTCCACCTGGGTGTCGCCTCTGGAACCTCTCTTAAAAGCATACACTCCTAAAACATTTGCTACACCAATGAACGTCTGTTTTAAACAATTACTCCTTTAGATACTACTACTATGTGTTTTTCTTCTGCTTTATATTACGACACGAGAAAACACGGCGACCACGTTAACATGCATACACACGCCTACTACAATATACAAGTTTTAATTTGATACAGGTATATCTATTTGTCCTCATGTTTCTGAATACATACTATCTTTATTGACCATTGACCTACTTATTATCTCCTGTGTCCTATCTTTCAACCGCAGTTGCCGTTCTACACAAAATGGCTCAGAAGCTAGCTGGGAAAATAGCGGTTGTAACAGCCTCGACGGACGGGTAACATATTTTTCTTCATAAATGTAGCCGGTCCGCCATAACCGTCGAAATGTTTGTACTCGTACAACTGTCTGGGAGCAAAGTTTTTCTGTTATAGTAGACTAGACAAGAGTGATCTACAATTCTGTGTTGTCCCGTTAGAGTGTACAGCTAGATTTGCATAGCATTTCGCCTCCTAAACAAAATAACGATTTGCTCATTTGGAAATTATGTAAGTAATGCAAGTACTACTTCACTCGTTGAACAAATTCAAAATGTACAAATGTACATAAAGACATGTGCATGTGTAACAGGGTGAAAACACCACGCCAAAGCTTGTTTTATTCTTAATAACATTTATTCAATGCATAAAAAAACCCTAGAAAAGAAACAAAGACAAACACTTAGTATTGCACACACAACATCAGGGGACATAACTCTCGCACTGTATAATTACCTATTTTTTCCTCTATTATCTAAATTATGGCGAATATAAATTGTTTACCAACTTTACAATATAATTAGATTATTTAAATTAACATTAATTATACAGTACTGTTATATGATTAAATAATACAAAACACAGTAAAATACTTCTATGACTAAATTGTCTTACTTTCCTGAAAAATACATATACTATCCATATTTCATATTCATTAACATCGAATATACATTTCAACGTAATAATTTTGTATAGTAAACTCACCCTACATATGGTGTAGAGGTTTATAGAGGTTCTCTAATATACACACTTGAAACTATGCTGTCTCCCGCTATCACTCTCCAATTATCTATAAAATTAATACAACTACTTAATACTTGTCATATACCGTTTAACATGACAATAGACAACACAAATTGAGAATTAAAAATATGATCAGGCAACTTTGTAGCACTGCAGATAAACTTGGGATAGCCAAACTTCCAAAGAGAAAAATGATACAAGTATTATACTATATACTTTATATTAAAAAAATACATTTATTCTACAGGACTAATTTATTGTAATATATATTAAACAATAAATTAACTACAATATTCTGAAATATTAATAAACATATAACTTACCAATTATAATGTATCTCCGTTTCTTTCTAATCAAAAATGCATCTTTCCCCTTGGGAATCTAAATCTGTTCTCTAACAAAGAACTGAATACCGATGTTCAAATCAAGCTTACTTTCCCTCTCATGATGGAATCTAGCCAATCAAAATCGTCAATGTCGGTTCACTGGACAGGTCAGTAGCTGTCATAGGTCAAACTTGTGCATGTACGTGTATTTACCATATATGGGATTCATACAGGTAATAGTGAGTACAATTCACATCACAAGACATACTTACCTGGCATTCTATAACTAAAAAAAAATACATATAAAGTTAACAACCTGACCCATGTCAGAAGATATAAAATATGCATTTCTGACATTGTCAAAACATGCCCTAGTACTTAGGTAAAATTAAAAAGCATAAATAACACATTGTCACACATGTATACTATTGTATTTACGCATCACCGTAGTACTTGGAGCATCATTCATATATGGTGGGCTATTCAAATCGTCCTACGTCCGTGGTTCGTGATCCGTCCGCCAGTCCGTCCGTAAACAAGTTTTGTTATCGCTATTTCTTCAGACGAAACCGTTGGATCTTTCTCACATTTCATCTGTAGGTTCCCCTTGGTCCCCAGTTGTTTCCGTTTGATTTTGGGACTGATCAGAAAAACAAAATGGTTGACAGGCGCCATGTTGGATTTTTCAAAGAAATCTGTTATCGTTATTTCTTGAAAAGAAATTGACGGACCTCTCTCAAATAACATATGTAGGTTTCCCTTGATTTCTAGCTGTGTCCATCTAATTGTGGGGCTGATCAGAAAAACAAAATGGCCGATAGGTGGCCATCTAGGATTTTGCCTAGTAAAGTTTGTTATTGCTATTTCTTGAGAAGTTCTAGATTGATCTACTTTAAATTTTATATGTAGGTTCCCTTTTGTCCCTATTTCTTGAGAAATGCTGCATAGATCTTTCTCAGATTTTATTACAGAATCCTCTTGGTCTCTAGATGTGCCCATCTAATTTTGAGACTGATCAGAAAAACAAAATGGCTGACAGGCAGCCATCTTGCATTTCGCCTAGTAAAGATTGTTATCTCTATTTCTTAAGAAGTGCTGAATGGATGTCTCACAATTTTCATACATATGTTCCCTTGGTCTCTACTTGTGTCTGTTTAATTTTGGGACTGATCAGAAGAAACAAAATAATTTTCAGGCGACCATGTTAAATTTAGCAGGTAAAGGTTGTCATCGCTATTTCTGCTAGAATGTTCAAATTTCTTATCATGAAGAGCAAAAACAGAGAAAAAAAGAGAAGAGAAGAGAAAAGAAGGGAAAAGATCCAACTTTCAAAGAGCAAGTAAAAATCAAACAATGATGGGCGCCAAGATCCCTCTGAGATCAAAACAACCGTCCTTATCCCGAGCATCCTTGGATAAAGTGGGTGGGGATAAATCAAAATTTCTCAACGAAAAATCTAAAACCCTTCTTCTTGTGAACAGCAGTTTGTGTCAAACATTTTTTTTTTTTTTGCATATTTTGTCAGTTTCATATTTTGTGCAAAATGTGTTTTCTTTCCTTCAATATCCTTTTGACCAAATTTGGTCAAATTCAATCAGGCGTTCTGGAATAGCAGAATAGCAATAAGGAGAAAAAAAATTGAACGATTTCTGTTGTCAAGTCCATGTCGAATAGAATGTTTCACGATACCACATGTATGATGTACATAAGCCACGGTATGTAGTGCAACTGTAATGTCATACGACTTTTCAACGGACTTTTCCATTTTCCTTTGTTGATGCAGTATCGGGTACGCCATTGCAGAGAGGCTTGCTAAAGATGGAGCCAAAGTGGTCGTGAGCAGCCGGAAGCAGGCTAATGTGGACGCTGCCGTTAACAAGCTCAAGTCACAAAACCTGGACGTCGTAGGTGTGGTATGTCATGTCGGGAAACAGGAAGACAGAGAACGACTTGTGACCACGGTAAGGGAGCTAATGTAGATAAAACAATGCTGTATATGTTAACAATGGAAGGATATGCGATATCACAAGGACTTATCGTTAAAGCCAAAATGATTGAAAAATAGACATAAAGAATGACATGGAAATTTGTTTTCAAACCATTCGCAGATCTTCTTGATCCATCTAAAATACATGCTCGCTACTCCCGGAGTTACGATCACTTCCGCTCTCTGCACCATGGAAGTGATCATAACCCCAGGAGTGTCGAGAATGTATCAATATGGTGTTCATTTTCTGGTCATTTATTACGAAATTTATGCTCTGAAATTCTTTTTTGCTTAATCAGCATTTCACAACTCACGCTTTTTTAAGACAGGTCAGATATTTTCTTAGCCATTGTTGATTATGCCCAGACTTTTTTTTTTAATTCGAACAATCAAAAGTTTTCCACACCCACTGGTTAATTCTAATCGAGCTTTTATCAAATAAGACCTGCTCCATTTGGCTGGCTGAATTAAAATGTAAGCACGAATGATGTTAATATTATTGTTCCTAAATGTTCGAGTAAAATTATTCACAGCCTATAAAAACCGAACAACATTCATATTTTAACATCGTTTCTTTAACTATGTATCTATCGTTATTTTGTTTACATTACAGGCCATGGACCAGTATGGCGGTATAGATATATTTGTGGCAAACGCGGCCGTTAACCCGTACTTTGGTCCTATACTGAGTGTGAGTTTATCGAGGTTATCTACCTACGGATATCCGCAGGCAAACCTGTCAATAAGCTATTCGAGGGAGCATTGAAATTGCTTCATACGATGTCCTGATATAAATGATTACAATCATTACATGTTTTATTACTGGTGGAAGCAAATCACACTTCGATGTTGATATGAAATTCAGATTGAGCTGCGTGCAGTATCCGCAGATAATCTAAATGTGCTATTGGTGAATCTTAACCTCTATCGCGCTTACACTAATGTATATTTTTTGTTTTCTACAAACATTCCGACAGGTCGCCTCCAAATGTCAATATCAATACATGAAAAGGAAATCACTTGTCATAGTAACAGTAATGACATCTATTTTGAAATCTTGTTATCTGTTTATGTAGATTACGTTTTCTAACACCTGTGTATATATATTACGTTTCCTAACACCTGTGTCAGTATATTACGTTTTCTAACACCTGTGTCAGTATATTACGTTTTCTAACACCTGTGTCAGTAGATTACGTTTTCTAACACCTGTGTCAGTAGATTACCTTTTCTAACACTTGTGTCAGTAGATTACGTTTTCTAACACCTGTGTATGTATATTACGTTTTCTAACACCAGTGTATGTATATTACGCTTTCTAACACCTGTGTATGTATATTACGTTTTCTAACACCAATGTATGTATATTACGTTTTCTAACAGCTGTGTATGTACATTACGTTTTCTAACACCTGTGTCAGTAGATTACGTTTTCTAACACTTATGTCAGTAGATTACGTTTTCTAACACCTGTGTCAGTACATTACGTTTTCTAACACCTGTATCAGTAGATTACGTTTTCTAACACTTATGTCAGTAGATTACGTTTTCTAACACCTGTGTCAGTATATTACGTTTTCTAACACCTGTGTATGTATATTACGTTTTCTAACACCTGTGTCAGTAGGTTACGTTTTCTAACACCTGTGTATATATATTACGTTTTCTAACAGCTGTGTATGTAGATTACGTTTTCTAACACCTGTGTATATATATTACGTTTTCTAACACCTGTGTCAGTAGATTACGTTTTCTAACACCTGTGTCAGTAGATTACGTTTTCTAACACCAATGTATGTATATTACGTTTTCTAACAGCTGTGTATGTACATTACGTTTTCTAACACCTGTGTATGTAGATTACGTTTTCTAACACCTGTGTATATATATTACGTTTTCTAACACCTGTGTCAGTAGATTACGTTTTCTAACACCTGTGTCAGTAGATTACGTTTTCTAACACTTATGTCAGTAGATTACGTTTTCTAACACCTGTGTCAGTAAATTACGTTTTCTAACACCTGTGTATATATATTACGTTTTCTAACAGCTGTGTATGTATATTACGTTTTCTAACAGCTGTGTATGTATATTACGTTTTCTAACACCTGTGTATGTATATTACGTTTTCTAACACCTGTGTCAGTATATTACGTTTTCTATGTATATTACGTTTTCTAACAGCTGTGTATGTATATTACGTTTTCTAACACCTGTGTCAGTATATTACGTTTTCTTACACCTGTGTCAGTATATTACCTTTTCTAACACCTGTGTATGTATATTACGTTTTCTAACACCTGTGTATGTATATTACGTTTTCTAACACCAGTGTCAGTATATTACCTTTTCTAACACCTGTGTATGTATATTACGTTTTCTAACACCTGTGTATGTACATTACGTTTTCTAACACCTGTGTCAGTAGATTACGTTTCCTAACACCTGTGTCAGTATATTACGTTTTCTAACACCTGTGTCAGTAGATTAAATGCGGATATCAAATAATTGGGATTTCAGATATTTTTTGACATCGACATTTTTATATTATTTATTTTTGATAGTGCCCGGATATTACAAAGTTTGTGAATAATCACCTGTGTATGTATATTAGTTGGTCTATTGCCTAGTGTATGTACACATTTTAACACAATCCTGTATGTATATTACCTTTTCTAACACCTGTGTATGTATATTACGTTTTCTAACACCAGTGTCAGTATATTACCTTTTCTAACACCTGTGTATGTATATTACGTTTTCTAACACCTGTGTATGTATATTACGTTTTCTAACACCAGTGTCAGTATATTACCTTTTCTAACACAATCCTGTGTATGATATAAGTACCTTTAACACAATCCTCTTACTCAGATATAAGTACCTTTAACACAATCCTGTCAGATATATTACCTTTAACACAATCCTAACACCTGTGTCTGTATATATAAGTACCTTCTAACACAATCCTCTAACTCAGATATATTACCTTTAACACAATCCTCTAACTCAGATATAAGTACCTTTAACACAATCCTGTGTCATGATATAAATACCTTTTCACAATCCTCTGTATATAAATACCTTTAACACAATCCTCTGTCAGATATAAGTACCTTTAACACAATCCTGTGTCAGATATATTTTAACACAATCCTCTCGTTAAATACCTTTAACACAATCCTGTCAGTCAGATATAAATACCTTTAACACAATCCTCTCAGATATAAATACCTTTAACACAATCCTCTCGGATATAAATACCTTTAACACAATCCTCTAACTCAGATATAAGTACCTTTAACACAATCCTCTAACTCAGATATAAATACCTTTAACACAATCCTCTTACTCAGATATAAGTACCTTTAACACAATCCTCTAACTCAGATATAAGTACCTTTAACACAATCCTCTAACTCAGATATAAGTACCTTTAACACAATCCTCTAACTCAGATATAAGTACCTTTAACACAATCCTCTAACTCAGATATAAGTACCTTTACAAAAGATCACGAAGCAAACAGAATAAAATGCATGTATTTTCATTTTTTCAGATTTTCGACATTAACGTGAAAACCACATTTTTACTCTGTAAAGCTATTGTCCCTTATATGCAGAAGCGTGGGTAAGTAGCTACATATCTTAAAAAGATTAGTTCTGGCCAGCTTTCCACTTAATAAACGTGATCATTTAAATTTCCGTATATTCAAGGATATTTTCTCCTACTCACGATTTTCGTGTAAGAAGCCGTTAACTGACAGACAAACTCGTAACACTGGGTTTCAAAAGATGAAAATTATGGGGAAGTTTTACAATGGTCATAGTGATCTCATTGAGACATATTTTATTTGCGCGATGCTCATTAGTTTGCCCGCTGGCTCCGTTACTGTACACCCTTTTGTCAAGTTAGAACGTGACAGTTGATATTTAAGTTGACTAAGAAATATATGATGGATGCCGTCAATGAAACAGAAGACGCTTACTCTTCCTTGTCTCATTCTCATCCCACTACTTCAGGAGTCTTTTGTTCATAGTTTGTCCTAGTTTTATGTTGATATGTTGGTATAATTTGTGATATATATGTGTTTTGTTACATTATAATAGATGTATACGATTACATATTACCTGATTTTCATTGTATCCATTTAGATGCTATAACATGAATTGACCTTTTGACATGTCTTTATGCCGATCGTGATGATTTGAATTTATACCGGTGTGTCTTGACCTCGCCATATACCAGTGTGTCCTGACCTCGCCTTATACCAGTGTGTCTTGGCCTCACCTTATATTTGTATGTCTTGACCTCACCTTATACCGGCTGTGTCCTGACCTCGCCTTATACCAGTGTGTCTTGGCCTCACCTTATAGCGGCTGTGTCCTGACCTCATCTTATGCCGGTGTGTCTTGACCTCACCTTATATTTGTGTGCCTTGACCTCACCTTATATCTGTGTCTCTTGACCTCACCTTAGACCGACTGTGTCTTGACCTCATCTTATGCCGGTGTGTCTTGACCTCGCTTTTTACCGGCTGTGTCTTGACCTCACCTTATGCTCTTGTGTCTTGACCTTACCTGATATCGGCTGTGTCCTGACCTCGCATTACACCGGCTGTGTCCTGACCTCACCTTGCACTGGCTGTGCCTTGACCTCACCTAATGTCGATGTGTCTTGACCCAAACATATACAAGCTGTGTTTTGACCTCACCTATGCCGGTGTGTCTTGGCCCCACCTTATATTTGTATGTCTTGACCTCACCTTATATTTGTGTGCCTTGACCTCACCTTATGCCGGTGTGTCTTGACCTCACCTTATACCGGCTGTGTCCTGACTTCATCTGATGTCGGTGTGTCTTGACCTCTCCTTATATTTGTGTGTCTTGACCTCACCTTATGCCGGTGTTTCGTGAACTCACCTTAGATTGGCTGTGTTTTGACCTCACCTTATGCCGGTGTGTCTTGACCTCACCTAATATCTAAGTGTCTTGACCTCACCTTATACCGGCTGTGTCCTGACCTCATCTTATGCCGGTGTGTCTTGGCCTCACCTTATATTTGTGTGCCTTGACCTCACCTTATATCTGTGTCTCTTGACCTCACCTTAGACCGACTGTGTCTTGACCTCATCTTATGCCGGTGTGTCTTGACCTCGCTTTTTACCGGCTGTGTCTTGACCTCACCTTATGCTCTTGTGTCTTGACCTTACCTGATATCGGCTGTGTCCTGACCTCGCATTACACCGGCTGTGTATTGACCTCATCTTATGCCGGTGTGTCTTGACCTCGCTTTTGACCGGCTGTGTCCTGACCTCATCTTATACCGGTGTGTCCTGGCCTCACCTTATACCGGCTGTGTCCTGACCTCACCTTATATCTGTGTGTCTTGACCTCACCTTATACTGGCTGTGTCTTGACTCACCTTATACAGGCGGTGTCTTGGCCTCACCTTATACCGGCTGTGTCCTGACCTCATCTCATGCCGGTGTGTCTTGGCCCCACCTTATATTTGTATGTCTTGACCTCACCTTATATTTGTGTGCCTTGACCTCACCTTATGCCGGTGTTTCGTGACCTCACCTTAGATTGGCTGTGTCTTGACCTCACCTTATGCCGGTGTGCCTTGACCTCACCTAATATCTGAATGTCTTGACCTCACCTTATACCGGCTGTGCCATGACCTCACCTTATGCCGGTGTGTCTTGGCCTCACCTGATATTTGTATGTCTTGACCTCACCTTATATTTGTGTGCCTTGACCTCACCTTATATCTGTGTCTCTTGACCTCACCTTAGACCGACTGTGTCTTGACCTCATCTTATGCCGGTGTGTCTTGACCTCGCTTTTTACCGGCTGTGTCTTGACCTTACCTTATGCACTTGTGTCTTGACCTTACCTGATATCGGCTGTGTCCTGACCTCGCATTACACCGGCTGTGTCCTGACCTCACCTTGCAATGGCTGTGCCTTGACCTCACCTTATGCCGGTGTGTCTTGGCCTCACCTTGGACGGCTGTGTCTTGACTCACCTTATACAGGCGGTGTCTTGACCTCACCTTATGCCGTTGTGTCTTGACCCAACCTTATGCCGGTGTGTCTTGGCCTCATATTACACCGACTGTGTCTTGACCCCACCTTTTACTAGGCTGTGTCTTGACCCCACCTTATACAGGCTGTGTCATGACCTCACCTTATACCGGTGTGTCTTGGCCTCACCTTAGACGGCTGTGTCTTGACTCACCTTATACAGGCGGTGTCTTGACCTCACCTTATGCCGTTGTGTCTTGACCCAACCTTATACAGGCTGTGTCTTGACCTCACCTTATGCCGGTGTGTCTTGGCCTCATCTTAGACCGGCTGTGTCTTGACCCCACCTTATACAGGCTGTGTCATGACCCCACCTTATAAAGACTGTGTCTTGCCCTTCCCTCTACCTACTCTGTCTTGACCTCGCCTTACATTTGTATGTCTTGTCCCCAGCTTATGCCGGTGTGTTTTAACCTCACCTTCTACCAGTTGTGCCTTGACATACCCTTATTGATAAAAGTGAATATTTGACCTTTTTAAACTAGAGGCACGTACATCGGTGCGTAGAGCTTGAATCTTATGCGGGTTGTATCCTCACCCATCTTCATCATAGCTGCGTATTAAAGTTATTTTATTTTTATCGTGACTAAATTAATCTTCTGTAACACAAGATTTACATGCTGTTTAACGTTGTAGAGGAGGGTCTATAATACTCGTGTCTTCTACTGGTGCATATGATCCAAGTGCGGTAAGAGATATCAATTTTCTAAATCCCAAAACATTACAAACATAAGAAAATATCTATTTGATACTTTTTACTTCCAAAACTTTTATAACACTAGAAAAATTAGCAAATAAGGTAGCGCGCTTTATAAATGTTATATATCATTTTCGTTTTTAGTGTAGGCTGTAATACATTATATATCATTTTCGTTTTTAGAGTAGGCTGTAATACATTATATATCATTTTCGTTTTTAGTGTAGGCTGTAATACATTATATATCATTTTCGTTTTTAGTGTAGGCTGTAATACATTATATATCATTTTCGTTTTTAGAGTAGGCTGTAATACATTATATATCATTTTCGTTTTTAGTGTAGGCTGTAATACATTATATATCATTTTCGTTTTTAGTGTAGGCTGTAATACATTATATATCATTTTCGTTTTTAGAGTAGAGGCTGTAATACATTATATATCATTTTCGTTTTTAGAGTAGAGGCTGTAATACATTATATATCATTTTCGTTTTTAGAGTAGAGGCTGTAATACATTATATATCATTTTCGTTTTTAGTGTAGGCTGTAATACATTATATATCATTTTCGTTTTTAGAGTAGAGGCTGTAATACATTATATATCATTTTCGTTTTTAAAGTAGGCTGTAATACATTATATATCATTTTCGTTTTTAGTGTAGGCTGTAATACATTATATATCATTTTCGTTTTTAGAGTAGGCTGTAATACATTATATATCATTTTCGTTTTTAGAGTAGGCTGTAATACATTATATATCATTAACTTATATCATAATCAAGTTTTGAATAATGTTAGAAATATGAGTATGTTTGCATTGACTCATTATATACACTGTTTGATATACTATAAGATTATAGGGCCATACGGAGTCAGCAAAACAGCCCTCCTGGGTTTAAAGAAAGCTTTAGTGCATCAGCTATCGCCGATGAATATTCGGGTTAACTGCCTCGCACCTGGACTAATCAAAACGAGGTTTAGTGAAGCGGTATGTTCATAACTACGATCATTATCATACCTTAACCAGTTGATATCTTATATAGATATAAATACTCTGCCAACACCATTGTAACGAGTTCAGCTAATTTAATTTATATACTAACTGCGAAGTATACTCTTTCATGTTTTACCTATTTAGCAAATAAGTATATTTTTAACATTTGAGAGTCAAATATATACAATTGATGTTTTCGTGATACACAGAGAACCAACATCTGTACAAAGTTCTGGACAATATGAAAAATTGCGTAATTTGTAATCTTTTCAGATATGGAAAGATCCCAATAACTTGAAGATTGTTTCACAAGGTATCAAGCTTGGAAGGTAATTAAGTGTCCAAACCTTATGTGCTCTTTTCAGATAAATGTCTTGAGACAAGTTTCCATAGAAATTGGAAGTTATCTTATAGTTATACAAACACTCTCAAAACCAGGAACAGGGACCGATTTCTGCTAAAAGATCCCAAATATTATATATATAACATGTAATATTCCATAACTAAAGGCCCTTTGATCTGGAAAGGACTCAACAATATCGACGATACTGTATTGTATGACTGTAATATTATAATATCATTGCCATCCAATGATCATTAGGTAATATTTATAATGTAATTATAGAATCGGCGAGCCACATGAGTGTGCTGGGATTGTGTCCTTCCTGGCGTCCGATGATGCATCGTACATAACGGACGAAACTGTCATGGTATCCGGCGGGGCAAACAGTCAACTGTAGTGTCGAATTTTCTTCCGTGAAAGTTCTGTTGCTTACCCTTGCCAATCAATTTATGACTGTTATATAATTCATTGAATTGGTTTATTCACCAGATATGCTGTTTTAACATACGTTAAATGTTACCTCGGGTAAAATCCGAATTTAAACAAATAAAGCTAGACGTGACATTTATTAAGTATTGTTTATTGCTTATAGGTGGTCGTAAAATAGTTGTTATTTCATGGTAGGGACGTCGTTGTTCCTTCCGATAACATATTACACCACAAGTTTTACAAAATATATACTTTTATTACTGGCTTCATTTTATTCCAAAATACTGTAAAATCTCTGAGATATGATATCGGAAAAAGTGACTTCCGTTACACGTTCACGGTCTAAAGATATAGAAAAAGATGAATGACCCATCCTGCTATTAAATTCAATAGTTGGTAAAAACGAAGGTTGATAATTACAGTTAGATATATATTTAATTCAATAGTTGTAACTATCTGTAATAGCAATGATACAACAGGATAAAAGACACAGGAGCATTCTTTTATTCTTTTATGAAATACATTTAGATTAACCGAAAAACACCATATATAACAAAAAATATTTTATAAAGCCTTTCTAATATCTTTTATCTAAAAGGCTTTGAACACAAACAGGTATAAAGAACACAAGGTAATTTTGATCGGTATTGAAAAGTGATTGCCCTTACCAGTGAATACAAAGTACATTAAACCAAAATATACTATATGATATTTTGATTTGTTTTAGACTTAAAACTGACATTAATCATTGCCATACTTATTAAATACGTCACTTGAAATACAAGATATAGACTTTGTCATACTGCTTTTTTTCACTTTCGTTGTCACATTTTGAAAACACAGAGATGAATAAGCGAAGAAAACAACAAGTTATCAATAACTCATGAGCTACAATTAAAAACGTAATATAAAATGCTGCCAGTGAACCTCACTTTATCATGAAGACTAATTTATTCTAACAAACATGTTACGAGTCAACCAAAACTCCATTATCACAGGGAAATTATATAATTGAAAAAGTATTTTGCAACACCTGGTCCGGATGAAATAGTTTGATAATGGTTAGTATGCTAGTCGCTTGTCCATGTTAATGGTTTTATTTTTGGTGAATTTGACTTCCGTGACGGTTTGTATGGTGACACGCGATGATACATAAGTGTGACTATAATGTATTGATACTTTCACTTCCGATTGTGTCATATCTATTTTGTAGTTCTTCTATATACAAATTAGTCATGATTACATGTTGTAGTCGATATTAAATGTTAGCAAAGTTTAGAATTAGTTTAATTTCATCAAATTAAAAGTCAAAATATATTGAAAAGAAAAATTCAAGAATAATTTTTAACTACAATATGAAATATCTACCATATCTGAAATTCATTGTTTCTACAACAAATTGATCTTAACAAGTTGGCAATATTATGTTAGTGCGATGTGGAATATAGAAAATACATTGGAAATGCTTGATTAAATGACGAATTGCTGTACTTGACATACGTGATTCTGAGTAATGTTTCCTGACAAAATGTAAAACAATAACATAACATAAAAATGATATATTTGTTGAGTTCATATCGTATTAAATACATATTGATTAACATTTATCTTGTCAGTTGGAAAATGAAACCATAGCTTGTTATCAAGGTAGAGACGTAGGGGCGGGGTGGTGTTTCCTTCAATGTTTATTATAAGATATGAACAGATTTGATGTTACGCACACATAATTGACGGCACCGTGCATGATACCATACCTTAGATATAAGAACAGACATTCTACTTTATCTTAGTATCCGATTAATTCAGCATTCAGAAACTGAAATGTTTAACTCTAATTAATGCCAAGAAATATGTAATGTTAATGATACAATTCTTCGAGATACATCACCACTTTTGATATAGTTATATAGTGGTGTGACGGTCTCCATATTTATACATGATAAAACTACATGGTGATATAAAAGCACATCAGGAATGTATTGATACAACTCTGTGACAGTTTTGTATTGTGATAGACAAGTTGATATTACTTGTCACCTAAAAGGTTATATATTCATGGTAAATGTTCCTCTTCATACAGATGTGATGTAAGCATCGGGAGGTCGTTTCTTTGCAGGAAGTGTTTGACTTCGTTGTGGCACAGGGATACTTTCCATTCGTTCATTAGGAGTTGGCATTTTCTCGTCCAGATTTCGGTTGGGTTTGTTAGACGACGTATGGAAAGTTTGAAGTAAATTGTTGCTGAACGTCTTGCTGTTTGAATCCCTGTTGATGTTACGAATTTCCGCCTCAAGGATCATATCGTACGTAGACACGCAATCACTTCTTGATTGACCAATCCTCGTGGAAAATCGTTCTGCGATCTTGTCGTACGTGCTGATTCTTTCTTCACTCAAACACTGTCTACCAACGTCTGACTTCTTTCTCATAGGAACTTTTGCTAGGTCAACACTGACGCTATCACAATCAGAGCAAAGACAAGATGCGCCATTGGTCTTATCACATGAGCAGTCAGAATCAGTTTCACCCAACATCTGCATGGATTCTGTGCGCTCCAATTGATGAAATGAGAGGTTGCTAGACGCCCTGTTTGCCAGTTGATTCCACGATATACTTCGCAAAGGGACTCTTCCAATCCTGTACATACTAGAAGAATAGGTCTTTTTATTGTGTTTCGGTGGCTGATGTAAGGAATCATAACAACCGTCCACTTCTACTGCTTTGCCGTTTAATCTGTATGTAAGATATAAATACAAGTTAATGGAACAGTGAAGATCACAACAGAGTCACGGTTTATTGGTTATTACGTTAGTCAGGGAACGTTATGCCTAATTAAGTACTTTCAATCTGTAAAAAAAATACAGAAATAAATAGTTACACGTAAAATTAAATCATTATGATGATCTCCGTCACAAATCCACGTAATTACAATCTGCATATAAAACTGTTGTTCGTGAAATTAATTGAACACGTGTTAACCTACCAAATGTTTAATGTTATTATATCCCACAAACTGTTGAAACCAAAAGCCATGAAAAAGGTTTAAAAACTAGAAAGTAGTATTTCCTAAATATAACGTTCTGGACAAATAATCTGTAATGCGTAATGACAAATGATATCATTATAACCAAAGTCAATGATCAAATTACCACACATTGATTTCCATACTCGTTTTTCATTGCAATGATCCATCTGTGGGTCAATAAAAGATAAAGGTTAACCTACCTGTTATGAATTATACGAGCTACTACATCAATATCCGGTCTTCGCGTACGGTCCCGGTCCCAGCATTTCTGCATAATTTCATACAGCCAACCTGGACACAAATTGGGTTTCACCGGAGTGTCTCCTCTGTATAAATGTTCCAGTAGCTGAAAAGCACAAAATCCTTTTTAGTATTCCCATTAAAATCACGAATACTTGTGTTGAGCACCACCTCGGTGAACGACAGCTCATTAAATAGGTTATCACTTGCACTGCCTAAATTCAGAACTAATATTTTTCTATGAGTTTCTAACTACATATATTTAACGCACCATTACAACGCTACAATTATTTTTTATAAGTTTTGTTTCTCAAACTTACCAGATCAGTCTTCACAGTTGCAAACGGGACAGTTTTTAGGACGTTGCTACTCGGGCTTTCATTCAATGCGTCGAGAGCCATACAGAATTCATACAACGTCATGGCAAACATATACATGTCGCTTTGTTTCGAATACTGAGCGCTCTGCAAGACTTCGATTGGCATCCTGTATGTACCAAATGTTGAAATAAAAACAGTTTGCATTTTTGCCATAATTATTTTGTTTAAGAAATAAGTTAATTGAAGACATGAAAATGTTACCATAAAATGAAGCGTTCTGCTCGTTAGGTTTGCCTGTTTCCCGTTGTTGTATACCTTGTTCGCATTTGAGGAGTGACATTACTTACTTGGACAGACCAAGGTTTACAAGGCGGGTGTCGTCGATGAATCAAAAGATGCTTACTCTTCAGGAACACCTGGTATTACTCTCCTTGTACTTTTTCAGGGGTCTCCGTGTAAAACTTTCTTTTGTTCATATTTTGCACTTGCTCTATGGAATTTGAGTTTGGGTCATTATTATGTTGCCATGCTGGCATTTTCTTCATGTTTCCTGTCTTTCCTTACATTCTAGTAATATTTCTATGTTGGGTTGTACTCACCAGCGTTTTCGGTTGGGTGGTTTTTCTGACAGTATGCTGTCGTCCAACGTGCAATTGGAGCCAAGATGAAGAATTCGACCAAGGCGTGGTATGAAGACCTAATGAGAACAAACATGATGTAACAAACACATCTTATAAAGCCCGTTGTTTATACGTATATATCAGTTATACAAGGACATGCTGAGTACCTATACACGATACATCTCAGTCAGGGTTGACTAACAACAGGTAACAGGTGGAAATGTTCTAATTAGATGGTTAAGTGAATATGAATGCGCGCGCACATGAAACGCCTGAACATACTGAATACCATGCATATCCTTTCCCCAATATCATTCTGAGTACTACTTCAGAGAGGTCCATCTCATAATGCAGCACTTAACATAATCTTGGACCACTGTCCCTGGTAAGGTATTTTAAATATAATCATTGTATTTGTTTTTATGTACTTTTTAGGTTATTAAACGTTACAACACAACCCAAGCGTGGTGTAATACTGTAACTATCTCACCGTTTACAAATGTTTGATGAACCATCGAAAACAACTACAGTTAGGAGAATTTCTAAATTCTAATATCGCAAAGTAACATTCTCAACATTCCTTTTAGCGTTTGAAGGTTACAAGTATTATAAGCGGCCAACCTTTCCAGAAGACTCGCAGTAGAACGTGTTAGCAGCACACAGGTCACGAAGGATGAAGTCCTTGGAATGCATAGAGCTTACAAGGCCTGTCAGACTTTGTATAATACCGTAGTATTTCGCCATGTTTTCAGATATGAACGGACTGCCAAGTCGATTGGCTAAAGCAAACTCCAAAATGTTTTCTCCAGGGTCGCAACCATACACCTACAACAATAGACATGTGTTGAAAATTGTGGCGATGAAGTTACCAATTTTAGAACATAAATGCAAATGGTCATGTTATTCACACAACCAAATATTAAACCGAAGTCATATCTTTCTTCTATATGTCGAAATAAAATCGTTTAAGCAATTGAAACGTTAAAGCAACTTTCATCCACTTGCCTAAATGAAACACAAATTAAGACCAGCGTGATTGATAATTAAGGATGATATGCAGTCCAATGCACTCGTTCGTTAAGATAAAATGTATAGTTTTCTGAGAATATATCATTTAAATCAACACGATAGTTTGAATACTTATCCTACCAGAGTACAGTTGAAATCCATAGCTCCCGTACTGGCATGATTCTGAACAACAACTGGCCAGTGTCTAATGTGGAACCACTTCATCACGTGACCAGTTAGAAGAGGATACACGTTCTCTACGAATGGCTGTGTCACGGGCTCTGTAACTTCGATGTAGCCACCCTGTAAAATGTTTAGCTACTCATTGAATAGATTATCGCGAATGAAAGAAGCAGGTTAAGTTCCGACATCATGCGCATAGAGAAAGTCAAGTTACTTGATAGACGCTGTTTATTCTATGTATTTTGGCAAAATCTTTATGATTTATTCATGTTTGATCCTCTCCCAAATATATTTATACATGTATGAGCTATTTAAGAACGATATCATTTATCACCATACAGCATCAATGTAGATTGTATTTGTCATTTGTTAAAAAACGTCATTTTGTGATTTAAGGTTAAAGGAAGAATCAAATGCTGACACCAATGCACAATTACAAATGTAGAATCACTTTTGTAGAATTTTGTTATCTATTTCATAAATCCTCTTATTTAATGAATTCTTATGTCCTCAAGATGGAAAACAACTTTAAAATTTGCGCTAAAGTAAGTGAAGTTTGTAAATGCTACTTTTCCACGAAATCAGTTGATAATAGAATAGTTGTTTGTTAACAAATATGAAATCTGCATTCCGCGAAAGAATATGATATGACAGTAATTCATGGACGATATTATCTATCGAATCATATAATTTTCATACTTGGGATGAATAGCTTGGCTGATCCGGAGCCAGGAGGTCCTGTTGTGTCGCCGCAAGGATTGTGCTCACTGTCCGCTGGTTTCGGCGAGCATTCCAGTAAATGTATGAACTCCGAGGCCCTATGAAACATACAAATACATAATTAATATATATTTACTGTAAACAATCTTATTATTATTATTGCATTATACTACAAAACAAAAATTCCAAAAAATCTGTAAGCTTGCATGTTTAAGATTCTAGCAGTGTTACTTCACAATAAGCATAATTTACCGATTAAGGTCCTTATCATTATATCCCAATTTTTCACAATCAAATTACTGAAGTTATTGACGATTTTGAAAATACTGAAGTGACTGTATATAGTGCTATAGCATAGTAGTGAACTTTGAGGTTGACTTCAATAGCAATTACAAATACAAATAAACCAGAAGTTAGAGAAATAATTAAAAACTAAATTTAAATCTAATTAAAAACTATCATCAGTATACACAAAGATATACCAGGAGTAAGCTAATTAACCAGAGCAGTCTACATTTTTAGTGTTGAAATTTGATCACTTTAATGATAATTACACAACACATTACTACGTATAAAGAATATCACGGTAACACTTGTATTAATGAATTAAATTTTAAAATTTAGGTTCCATCGCTACAATTTACATTAGGAATTTCCATTTGCTATTTAAGATAAATTATTTTCAGAAGCTTTGTTGATGGAAGCCCATGGAAAAGCCATTTCTTACTTTCTTCATAAAACATCAAAGAGAATGATCTTAAGAAACCTGTACCGGAATTAGACGATAAGGAAAAGGATGATATACCTGGTTTAACAAATAAGTAGAAAGAGCTGCGCGAGGCAATTAGAATACATGAAATAAAGGGGAACATTGTTAGATAAAGAGCAAATGAATAGATGAATGGGAGAATCCTTCAAGATACTTCTTCAGCTTAGAAAATAGAAATTATACATAAAGAATATCCCTAAAATGCAAACAGAAACCGATGAAGTAATAACTAACCATGATGATATTAATCTGATAAATTTTCAGAATTCCTGTAATGTTTCTTAAACTATATAATACAGACTCAGTATATTATTACAGTATCATAAATAGCAATAATAATCTTCAGCTGTCAATTAAAAAAGTCTCCTGTCAAAATGTTGTTTATCACACAGTCTCAAAATCAAATGAGCACAGCAAAGGGCCTACATATCATTTTTGAGAAAAAATAATTTCTCAAGAAATACCGAGAGCAAAATTCCAATATTCAAATCGGCCAATTTGTGTCTATGATCTTAAAAAAAGACTTGAAAGAAACATATAGATGAAAGTTGTCACACATCTGTTCAGTAGTTCCAAGAAAAAGTGATCAACAAAATTTGACTGCCAAAATCCAAGATGGCTGCCTGTAGGCCATGTTGTTTTTCGGATTAATAGAAAATTTGATAATGCACAACAATAGGGAGTAAGGAGTCCCTCCATATAAAGAATTATCTGTTCAGTTCTGCTCCAGAAATAACGATAAGATTTGGTCAAAAGTCACACAATTTAGTATTTTAGTCAGATAAGTAGAGCCAAACAATGAATTAAACTGTCTATACAGCTGTTTTGTCCTTCTAGAACTTGTCAGTGATGCTAATGACCTACATCTGAAACCTAGGATGAGAGTGAGAAACATCCAAATAGAAACGTTAAAGTCTTAGATAGGGAGTTGGCCTCTTTGTTCAAGTACATGCATATATTGTGAACCTAGTCACTATTCGAATGAATTAAAACATTAGGGACTAAAAGTGTCTAACATCTCAGTTCCGATTGTGCAAACTATTAGTTCCAAATTATCAAAGATGCCTTCTGTTGGCTATCTTGTTTTTGAAGTGGTCTGAAAACGAGACAATGCACAACTGGAGACTAAGGGATAAGTACATATGAAAAAATTCAGACCAAGTACTTCTCCAGAAACAGCAATAACAAGAATTGGTTAAAGACTGACGGACCATGAACTACGGACGCAGAGCAATTTGAAAAGCAGGTGGTGGGGCAAAACTGATAAGAACTCAGGTTCACGGGATAAAAGATAAAATGATAACAGTTGTTCAAATTATCACGCATTTTCTTCCGCTTCGTCTTGTTTTTCTTTGGAGGAAGGTCAGAGAAATTCTAGAAAGCATAACATTAAAAGCTCGTACCATTCGATTCATCACGTGTGTTGTTAATGAAAATACATGAAACCTCGAGTGTGACAGTGAAGTGTTACCGAATGTGTTATTTGTCATGTGAACACTTTTCTGTGATATCCCCAGGACTTAGATGATTTTCCAAATCTTAAGAAACTCGCGGAAAAATGTCTTATTAGTAGCAAAGCTTTCGAACGTGGCACGCAGTTAATGACTGTAGAACACTATATCTTCGTTCGTGACAGATGTGGGATTCCCGTGATACAGGTCTTACCTTGTTTGCCTTTGCGGAGATCGCGGAATAACTTCGGTATACCCTTTAATGAAAATAAATGAATATATACATATAAATTAAGAGAAAATGATGATTATATAGATATATGTACCACTGGTACACGTTATGAAATTTAAAAAAGAACAAAACCATTAGATATAAATGAAGCATTCTGATTGGACAATTTTAGAATTTACAAAAGTCATAACTATAATACCAGTGCATGTTATAGATAGGGGTTAAGTAACCTGTACGTTTATAATACGCCTACACTGTATCAAAGCTGCATCTTAAATTTAATGAAAGGATGAGACCAGCTATAGTTTCTCGTATATCATTATGTGTTTAAAACACGAGAGGCTTCATACCCGTTCAATGAGCATTGACTCCTTTTGTTTGACGGGAAGTTCTGGGTACATTCTGTCTTCGTCACATGCTCGGCTTACAGGCAACCGTGTCTCTGTCAAAGAATTTACATTATTAAGGCTAATTTACTTTCTGGTTTGATATTGATATCTTCTTCTTTGTGTTGTAGTCAACGAAAATGTTTCCTGTACGTGTAAAAAAGTGACATAAAAAGCATACGTTAATTTGGTTTGCTGAATAGTTAGCATGTGCATTAAGTCCTAGTATTGAACCATGCCACAAATTATTATTATAAGATAAGTAATGAAACATCTTAATCATTTTGATGAAGTTTATCCGATAAATAATGAACGGAATAAACATAGATATCAGTAAAGTAAAACAAAGGTTAGTTATCTATAACACTATTTATTTGGAGAACAATTTGTTGATTTATTCGTTTTTATAGTTTTAATAATGGAAGAATACACCCAAAATATGTTTTTTATTAATATTATAATTTTTAACAACAGTAACAAAACAAAACATCTTAACGTTTTTCTCTCTATCCTAATTCTGTATTTTATACCCAGAAAAAGAATAACATTATGAAGTACAAGGCAGCTTAAATCCATACATAAGTAAAGAATAAAATGGTCTCACCAGGAGCACAACACGCGATACGTGCTTTATTGTAAAAAGAAAATATATTTCTTGCTTAAACCATTTACTTTCCCCGTCGTTTTGCTCTTTATGGAGATAGTATGAAAGACATAAGTGAATAGCACATTTACAAGTTAATAGTTAGATAAAGTACAGATAAACAATGATTTAAATTGCATTAAATAGCTGTTTCGTCCATCTATGACTCGCCAGTAATGCTACATTATATAGGTGTTTCGTCCTTCTAAGACTCGCCAGTAATGCTACATTATATAGGTGTTTCGTCTTTCTAAGACTCGCCAGTAATGCTACATTAAATAGGTGTTTCGTCCTTCTAAGACTCGCCAGTAATGCTATATTATATAGGTGTTTCGTCCTTCTAAGACTCGCCAGTAATGCTACATTATATAGGTGTTTCGTCCTTCTAAGACTCGCCAGTAATGCTACATTATATAGGTGTTTCGTCCGTCTGAGACTCGCCAGTAATGTACATTATATAGGTGTTTCGTCCTTCTAAGACTCGCCAGTATTGCTACATTATATAGGTGTTTCGTCCTTCTAAGACTCGCCAGTAATGCTACATTATGTAGGTGTTTCGTCCTTCTAAGACTCGCCAGTAATGCTACATTATATAGGTGTTTCGTCCTTCTAAGACTCGCCAGTAATGCTACATTATATAGGTGTTTCGTCCTTCTAAGACTCGCCAGTAATGCTACATTATGTAGGTGTTTCGTCCTTCTAAGACTCGCCAGTAATGCTACATTATATAGGTGTTTCGTCCTTCTAAGACTCGCCAGTAATGCTGCATTATATAGGTGTTTCGTCCTTCTAAGACTCGCCAGTAATGCTACATTAAATAGGTGTTTCGTCCTTCTAAGACTCGCCAGTAATGCTACATTAAATAGGTGTTTCGTCCTTCTAAGACTCGCCAGTAATGCTACATTATATAGGTGTTTCGTCCTTCTAAGACTCGCCAGTAATGCTACATTATGTAGGTGTTTCGTCCTTCTAAGACTCGCCAGTAATGCTACATTATATAGGTGTTTCGTCCTTCTAAGACTCGCCAGTAATGCTACATTATATAGGTGTTTCGTCCTTCTAAGACTCGCCAGTAATGCTACATTAAATAGGTGTTTCGTCCTTCTAAGACTCGCCAGTAATGCTACATTAAATAGGTGTTTCGTCCTTCTAAGACTCGCCAGTAATGCTACATTATATAGGTGTTTCGTCCTTCTAAGACTCGCCAGTAATGCCATGGCCTAAATGATAAGACGACTAAGGAAAATAAGAGTAATCGAAAGAAAAGTCAAAGTTACAAGGCGAAGGTGTAGAAGTACCATAGTTAAACAGATTTCTGATTTTCATTTGATCATATTAATAGCTTGTTTTACCGACTTTAAATTAAATTTTCGACGTTACATCATAGTACTAGTATCGAGACATCATAATTAAAAACCAAAGTATCGAAACGTTTATATCTAAATACTCACGTGCATTAGCTGGGGAGTGGAAGTTTGTTAAGAACACATTTCTGGCAGAAGACAAGTCTACTCTTTCGTCTGCTTCAATATGGACGCATTTTAGTATGACGTTGTGAACGTTTCGTGGAATACATGGCCATTGTTTTGGTGTCAGTTTTTGGAATACAACCTGTTCGTGAATTGTAAGAAAGAAAAAAAATAATCATAATTATTTCATATTTTTTAGTATTTATTGATGTGAAAATAAAAGCATTCCCAAGTTCCAGCCAAGGATTACGAACATGTAAAGAATATGCATATTCTATTTATACCATTAAATGATGTGTGGGGAAATGTATGTACTTGTATGCTAAATATACATAACATTTTATATTTGTTGTAAATTAGTTATCAAGAAATATACATATGAAATATCCTAAATTCTGAGAATGTGTCCATGTGATTTTTCCTGTGACAACAACTTTTGTTCATGTTTTCATCAAATGAATTATTAATGGTAAACGGATCAATATAATCACACAAACAATCTCAGTCTTGTTATGGTTGTAACCAAATCACAAAACACTGCTTGAAAATTTATGTTGTTTGTGCCTTTATTGACACACAAGTTAAATGCAATGAGGTAAGAAGTATTGTCTATGCTATTCATCGATCCTTTATCAGTTTCGACATTCAGATACTTCAATGTTTTGTAAACGTACCCATTCCATGACTTTTTCCGTAGAAATGGTGTATAACTCAACAAATGGCTGACATCCGTGTGTGTATATCTCGTAGAGCAGTTGTCCAATCATCCAAGTGTCCGTCCGTACGTCAAACCGGCCTTCCAGCAAGGACTCTGGGGCTGTCCAGCGTGTCGGAACACCCGTGCTCTCCAGATCTACATAAAGAAAAAGACGTTTTCTAACGTTTATAAGAAATGCATTCGATGTTATTGCGATGAAATTAGTAAAACTAAGATATTGATACAACTCTTAACTATGTATTCTACATAATAAAATAGTTTTCTCTACTATTATCAAGCCTTGTTTAAGCATTATCCTTGAAGAAATATAGCAAACTTTTTTTTAGAATATAATAACATTTTCCAACTCATTTAATTGTTGATATAGTTGATATTCAAAACGGAATTTCGTATATCGAATATGGTTTGTAGGGAACTTATCACATAACGCTAGTCAGAAATAATCGTACCTGCAGTAGCATTTATAAAATCCATGTCAATGACCTGTTCTATCTCGTCACGTTATGTCGATACTTCTCTCAGAGCAGGCTTCAGATGCCTAAATTATTTTTTGGGGAAATAGATTTTGTGAATGCTCTTCAGAAGATACCGCTTGGGCAATTAACATAACTCGAGTAACAATGACTTCTGTATAGAAAAGGCTTACCTGATACACATAATTCAGAAGCATTGACGTGCTTAGCGATACTGAAATCTGTTAGTACTAGACTCTTCTTACTGTCGAGTGCGAAGCTGGTTGCAGTAAGATTTCGATGTATAACCTTCTTTGAATGAAGGAAATCGACGGCGCTGAGGACTTCTGATGCCAGTTTTGCTAGAGCAGACAAGTTTATCCAGTTGTTATCTTTCCGTCGTTGATGGAGATAAGAAAATAAATCTGAGCCCTTGTATCTATCTACGACAAAAAACAGTGGCATTGGTCTACACTGGTACGCATGCAGTGATAATATGCCTGGATGATTGTTCTCGGCCTGAATAATTCGGAGTATTTCAAGAGTGTTAATCTCGAATTTTGTGTCTTTTTGGTCAGCTTTGACCTTATAATCAGCCATAGAACCATCTAGAAGGCATTGCAAACTTGGAAGAAGGCAGTGTAATGTGACATCACGGGATCCGATAGCAGTCCCATGCAAAGTACACCAAGCGGGAGACAACGCAATGCTTGGGACAAAGTCTGCTCTAAGAAACCGAAAACTGAGTGGTTGTAACATTTGTTCGATGTACTCAAGTGTCTTGTTCTGTAATTGTTGGGATTGCATGCCACTAATGTTATGCCAATACCACACTGTATACACTACATCTTTGTCCTTCAGAAATAGCAGACACCCCACTTCTCTCAGTAGGTGGGTTCGCATCACCTGCCCACACTTGCGGGAGTCGAAATATAGACTCATTACATCAAGCAGTTCCATGATATCCAACTCCTCGCTTAGGCCTTGTTCATTCCCTACAAGTGGAATATACAAAAACAAATATTAAAGTCATGATACTATATACACAGGGTAAAAACTTTCTAGAATCAAATTCGTCAGAAAGGTACACGTTATTGCGTTTTGAAGGTAATGCCTTGGGCCGAGATAATATGTTGTTAGATAATCTAGTACTTCCTATTACCTACTAATGGACGAAAACTTTGTGCCATAACCGCATTTCTTACCACTACTGGAAGTACCCCTAACCCCAATTCTCAGTCCCCCCACTAAAAAAAAAAAACAAAAAAAAAACCCACAAACTTTAGTTTAACACTCACGTGCACACGTGTCTTTTATGAGCGTTACAACGCCTTGCGTTACGCTCATCAAGATGGCATGAGTCAGCGGTTCAGTTTTTCCTTGTTTGTGATGTTTGTCCAGAAGACAGCTGACCATGTATTTAAGTGTTCCAACGTCTTCAGGTATATGCTTTTGTTTCAGCTTCGATAATTAAAAGAACATATATGAATGAATTAAATGTATAGGTAAATAACACTATGTATTTGGCATGTATGGACTGTGGATAAATGTGTAAACATGAACACAATTACATAAAGTGTTTTGATGTTTGAAAACATATTGGTATAAATGTTTTTCTTTTTACCTATATCATTCAAACTTTATGATATAAGTTATGTAAGTACGTACCCGTTGTAGTATGTCCAGAAATAAAGAATACATATCCAAAAAGGACATTTTTTGAACATATTTGTGCAGTTTCTCATTGGAAACCACATCCTTGTATTTCCCCTTCTGTAGCTTGGAGTTGTTGCGGAGTTGATGTACTACACACGTAAGAATCTCAGTAATCGGATACATACAATTGGCTGTAGAATGACCCTTCCCTCGAACATCTGTAGTTGTGGTCAGCGCCTCATTACATACGGAAAGTGCATGCTGAATCGTCCCACTATCATGTTCCCTCTGTATTATACAGGACAACAAAATAGCGACATTGTTGAGAAGGACAGGGGTATATTTTTCCATCAAGTCAGTATCAGAATAGTCCCTTTGACAGACGTCCACAAATTCATTTATTCCTGTGAGAAGCTTTTCAATGTTACACAATCTGTCTTTTGTGTTGAGCTGAATCTCGAATGCTGCTTCTGCAAGGTGTTTCTGTAATCTAAGATCGCCCGCTTTCATCAATTGAATCAGTGCCACGAATTCATTTTTCTCCTTACAACTGGGTATAAAAGACGTATTGATGACTCTGGTATTGCGCTCTAAGTCATTCTCGTCTACAGACAAGAATTTCTTTAGAAACATATCAAAACTTTCACGGCATTTTCCTGAAAAAGGAAAAAAAACCTGACTTATGATATGGACGACGAGTAATGAATACTGATGTATCAATAAAAGAATTAGGTGGTTAAACAACAACCACCAGAATACCTATGATCTAACCTTTACGATATATATGTTTTCTTATTCGAAAAAACCCATAATCTTCTAGGATGGGTAAATCTGATGACGGAAAATGTAAGCGAAAAATACACCTAAGACTCAATCTATTCGATGTAGGTCAATGGGACCAAGAAGGATATAACACAAGAGTGAGTGAATTCTGGTTCAGTTACGACTAGTGCTGTCTACAGCTACTCACATGTTAAAATATCTTAGTTGAAGCTCAAAATCGGAGATGATTGAAAAGGTTCAGGGAGAATAAAATCAAGTGTTCCAGACGAGTGAAGGATCACCTGCTTCTTACACTGCTATGTAAATTATAGTCAATAAAGATAGGAAAAGTTCTCTGACGAGAACCACATTACTAAATGGAAGTATCGCACCGTGCTGAAATCGAAATAAGGCGAAGCGTCATTGAAACAAATAGGAATACAAACATATGTTGAACACGTGCGTCTTCGTGTCGCACAAAGTAGCTGAATAAATTGATAATTAAAGTTAAAAGACAGTTGATAATAATGTGATTTACTTCATTGAGTTAACAGAAAAAAAAATGAATCGACAATTTATTTGTTATCAACAGCTTCCGTTGTTATATAAGGAAATTATTGTTGACATGAGTATGTCGGTGATAAATAGGGTTTAATATATTTAAATTTCTCCTCCCGTCAAATATGTTAATCTTTTACTGAAGATCTGCTTTTGCATATTCGGCCCCTGGTTCGATCTCACTTGGTAGACTTGGAATGATTAGAACCTTTGAATCATATGATATTAGATATTACCAGGTACAAACTGCTCTATAATACACGATGATAAAAGTATCATTAATCATTTACCTTTTCTGGCATCAGTTGTAAAATTACTGCAAAAGCAAATCGAAGAATAAAGTATCTGAGTCACGTACTAGGTTCACAATCTAGGACCTTAGCCTCGCTCACGTGTCCTAGGATCTGTATAAAGAATCCGAGTCACGTACTAGGCTCACAATCTAGGACCTTAGCCTCGCTCACGTGTTCTAGGATCTTTACAAAATATCTGAGTCACGTAATAGGTTCACAATCTAGGACCTTAGCCTCGCTTACGTGTCCTAGGATCTTTAAAAAATATCTGAGTCATCTACTAGGTTCACAATCTAGGACCTTAGCCTCGCTCACGTGTCCTAGGATCTGTATAAAGTATCTGAGTCACCTACTAGGTTAACGATGTAGGATCTTAGCCTCGCTCACGTGTCATAGGATTTGTACAAATATCTGAGTCACCTACTAGGTTCACGATCTAGGACCTTAGCCTCGCTCACGTGTCCTAGGATTTGTACAAAATATCTGAGTCACGTACTAGGTTCACAATCTAGGACCTTAGCCTCGCTCACGTGTCCTAGGAGCAGCTAAAAGTATTTGAGTCACCTACTAGGTTCACGATCTAGGACCTTAGCCTCGCTCACGTGTCATAGGAGCCGTTAAAAGTATCCGAGTCACCTTCTACCTACTCAGTCAAAGGCATTTTAGTAAAATTAATAAAAATGTTAACGAATTTCACGACGGAAACAAAAACAAAATATGAAATCATCAAAGCATATGACTCCCACCCATTCCCGAAAGTATTACCTTAATCACATCTATATTTACAACTAATACTACCGGTCTTTCTCTGCTCTTCCACCCGAACCCAACAGTCTTCCTTTACTATCTACCCCTTATCACTCAACAACAAAATTATATCCTATCGCTCATTAGGTCAATAGGTTACCTCCTAACAATTAATTTCTTTAACCATTTAGCAATAAATTCAATTTATTTTAAACTGAATTTATAAATCGACATATATATAGTGTATAACCCCCATCCTCTCTAACCTTATCCAGTCCTCTTGCGGTGACATTTCTAATTAGTGTTATGTTATTGTGATGATAAAGCAAGGGAGGTCGTCTTCAAAATCAGATTTTTAGAGCCGATCTGATAGACGGTCCCTCTCTATATCATATCTGTGTCCTATTCTTTCCCATTGTTCCTTTCTTTTTCCTCTCTACTCATTTTTTTTTATCTTTTATCGCATGCTGAAAGGCCGAAAGGTCGTAATAGTAGACGTAAAATCCTTAACGTAAATAAATGAGATAATCTTATTTAACGATATGACATCAAGACGTGGTATACCCTCTATCATTACACGTATAGTTGAATTCGTAACTAAACCTCACAACTTTCTTCCAAGTTACGTTGAAATTGCAGAATAATGAAAAACAGTTTTTACGAAAAAGATATTACTTAATTTACATCCAGAGGGTAATTGACATTCTCGTGAAAAAATATGAGAGACAATTGCAGTTCTAAACACCGATCGACATACAAGTTTTATGACAACTCTGTATGATGAGTTTCGATTCATATGAACAATAGCACGGTTCAGAATTGGCACATGCATTATTTTTGTTGGATCAAAATCATCCAGGCATGTTAAATGTACAACATCTGTCTTATTATTGTTTTGTGCTCCTTTCTACTCCGCCGTTCGTTTGACTTTAACACCGTATTATCATTTGACGTATATGTTGTTGTTTATTTCACAATCTCACATTTATTTACCACTTACTTGTGTAGAAATGTCCTAAGCGGATGTGTCTTTGGTGTCCCGATTAAGATGTATCAACATATTTCAACAACAAAAGTGGTTTTTTTTTGTTTCTATCCTTTAAACATTTACTTTCATGTTAGAAATAGAGGTTAAATGTAAGTATCGATGAATATGGAAAAAGAAAACAAAAGGGAAAATCTCAAATTCTTTCATGGCGGTGTGACGTCATGATAACGTAATAAGCCTTTAGATGTTTATAACACGTGTGGTAAGATACAACAGGCTAATTATGCGATAAAACAATCTCCGACATGTTTTATATTTACCTTGGCTGGAGTACGTTGTCTGCCGTACAAACACTCCCCTCAGTCCCTCCTCCGGACAACCACTTTTCGTGTTAACGAATATATCTTCTACATCGTCGACTATGCTACTTGATCGAATACTTTCTTTCTCGGCTAAATCTATTTGCACGTGTCCTTTGAACGGAAAATACGCTCGTGCTGACAATTTGTCCGCGTGACAATCTTCTATCAAACTGCTGTGTGACAATGTCCTAGCTCGTGTCTTCTGTAAGGAAGAATCCATAGTACTCCCAACCGAAACTCTCGCTGGCGTATTTTCAGTAACATCGTTAGTATAGACATGTGGTTGTCTGGCTTTTGTCTTCAGTTGTATCATTCCAACAAGTTGTTTGGTATCTTTTGTTGGCTCCACTTTGTCAAAACCGTCAAATATTTCCTCAGTGTCAGGATGGGATGTTACTAAAACTAAATTGTTGATCTGCTCCAGTGTTAAGTTTTGGCTTGCCAACTTTAATTTGTTTCTGTTGTGATCACATATCACTATAACCATTATGTTATCATGAGTGAGTTCTGATACCAGGCGGGATACCTCCTTCGGTGATTTTACAATGCTGGTCAGCATTCCTGCATTCTTTAAAGCAGCGACTACATCGCAGTTTATATTTGTCCAACAAATCATTTTTGGACAGCACAGGACGCGAACTCCACGTGTCATATCGTTGTGATAGATGTCGGAATCAGAGGATATCCGAGCGTGTGTGGTCATTTTGCTATCGCTGTTAAAAATAGAGATTAACTATCAACAGCATTATAAAGCAAATTTCTTTGTACATTCATTAGTTCTGCTAATGTTAAACCAATATTGAACAAAACGTTTTATTCAGAGATTTATTAATAAAATTCTCTCTAATGTCGATGTAGTGCTGTATAAATGCTGGTATAACTCCCTTGCGGTGGTATTTTCTAATAGTATACGTAAAATTTCTAATATGTTCCTAGCTTAAAGATCATTAACAGGAAAAGTGTAATCAGTAATCATTAGTAGTCAACGAATCTTTTCCTTATAATGTCATAAAAAAAGACATTATGAAGTAAAGATTTCAAAACGGCGACTCTGCTATGTACATGGAAAATTGCCTTTGGTTTACATATACATGCGTTTTTTAAAAATTGTTTACTACCAATTCCTACCTCCTCCCCTAAAATAAGGTGACCTCCAATGGTTAATGATGAGAGCTCGTGTGACTCCCTTTCTATAAAGGTGACTTTAAGTTTTGTTCTTCGTTTGCCAATTTGAAGTTATTGGAGAACCAGTTTAATCCATAATTTCCAGTTTTTTTTTTGCTACAAATTCTGTTGAATTATTCGGATCCATGTCTCTGTATTTTTTCTAAAATAGCATACGTGTATATTATGACGTACATACAATACCACCATTTGTTCAATATAGCACACATGCTATTCACAAAGTGGAAAATGAAACTTACAACCATTAATTGAATCTAGGTCACATCATTATATCAGTAATACAGAGGAGATGTAAAGTCAAGGAAATAAGATCTTATAGACGGAAATACCAAAATCAGATGTTGTCACATAGAAGATAATAAAAAATCCGATTTTGCTTAATACCTTTGTTAAATGTGAGGATGGTTATTAGTACATCAGATATAAGCATCAGATCAGAGTCTCCTCGTGCTTATTATTCAAACACCATTCAATTTCTTCCTCAACCTGTCTGGTGCATAAAGCTTAGTAGATTTAGTAGATGAACGTTAATAACGATCATTGAAGAAAGATACATTTGCATAAATGTCAACCGCTGACAGTACTTACATGCTTATCTATGCTGAATTAACTACAAGTAAGTTTTTTCCAAACAGCGAATAAAGCCATGACGACGTGAACACTCCGGAACAGATATCGCTACTAGCTTGTAATTCACTAATATCACATGATAAAGTCGCCAAACAAAACTTCCGGGTGTAAATGAAAAATCCCCACTTACCTACATAGTTGTTTCCAATGCAGTTTCATTCTTCAAGTGAAATCTTAGTCATGCGTGACAGTGAAATTATCCAGGAAGTTAAACAGGGTAGATACCGCTTTTCATTCTGTGTTAATGTATTGTGTAATAATTTTAGCAATTTTTAGCAACGAACGCTTTGATGAGTGTTTCTCATGGGACAGCTACAAAGGTATTACAACGTTAATAAGATAATGCTACAAAGTTATGAACTATTTACTTAAATGGTAACAACGACTGACTTTAAAACCAATGTTTACTCAGATGAATCGCGGATGGTGGCATATATATGGACATTGTAATCTATTGATAAGAAAGTAATATTGACGCCAAAGTTTGCTGGTCGTTGATATATCCATATAGAACCGAGGTTAACGTTAGGCGATATGTCTAAATCAGTCTCTCCTGCTGTGTAGAAACTGGAACACTTCCCATAATGAGAGAATACATTAGAAATGTTACGGTTGACTCCCTCTCGGTATACATATATATTTTGTGAATACAACATCGTAATGTGAGAATAGATTTGCCACAGCAACAGCGGTTATGTGTAACATATTGTCGGATTTCGCCACATGCAAAAAATTTCGAAGGAAATAATTTGTAGTTACTGAAGTGTATACTAAAAGCAACAAATCCAACTACAACCTAAACATGATATTCGTCAACGTATTTAGATAGGCGTTTTCCTGTTGACTCCAGCACTAGAAACACATTGGTATTTACAGTTTGATTAATGTCTACAACATTAAACAGGTATGCATCAGTTTTGCTTGTGACACGACCATTAGACACTTAGACATGGGTAGGGTTTTACTTGTGACACGACCATTAGACGCGTATACATGGGTAGGGTTTTACTTGTGACATGACCGTTAGACACTTAGATATGAGTAGTGTTATACTTGTGACATGACCATTAGACACTTAGACATGGGTAGGGTTTTACTTGTGACACGACCATTAGACATGTATATATGGGTAGGGTTTTACATGTGACAATACCATTAGACATGTATACATGGGTAGGGTTTTACTTGTGACACGACCATTAGACATTTAGATATGAGTAGGGTTTTACTTGTGATACGACCATTAGACTTTTAGACATGGGTAGGATTTTACTTGTGACACGACCATTAGACATTTAGATATGAGTAGGGTTTTACTTGTGATACGACCATTAGACACTTACAGACGGGTAGCGTTTTACTTGTGACACGACCATTAGACAGGTATATATGGGTAGGGTTTTACTTGCGACACGACCATTAGACACTTAGACATGGGTAGGGTTTTACTTGTGACACGACCATTGGACACTTAGACATGGGTAGGGTTTTACTTGTGACACGACCATTAGACACTTAGACATCGGTAGGGTTTTACTTGTGATACGACCATTAGACACTTAGACATGGGTAGGGTATTACTTTTACACGACCATTAGACGCGTATACATGGGTAGGGTTTTACTTGTGACATGACCGTTAGACACTTAGATATGAGTAGTGTTATACTTGTGACATGACCATTAGACACTTAGACATGGGTAGGGTTTTACTTGTGACACGACCATTAGACATGTATATATGGGTAGGGTTTTACATGTGACAATACCATTAGACATGTATACATGGGTAGGGTTTTACTTGTGACACGACCATTAGACATTTAGATATGAGTAGGGTTTTACTTGTGATACGACCATTAGACACTTAGACATGGGTAGGATTTTACTTGTGACACGACCATTAGACACTTAGACATGGGTAGGGTTTTACTTGTGATACGACCATTAGACACTTAGACATGGGTAGGGTTTTACTTGTGATACGACCATTAGACACTTAGACATGGGTAGGATTGTACTTGTGACACGACCATTAGACACTTAGACATGGGTAGGGTTTTACTTGTGACACAACCATTAGACACTTAGACATGGGTAGGGTTTTACTTGTGACACGACCATTAGACACTTAGACATGGGTAGGGTTTTACTTGTGACACGACCATTAGACACTTAGACATGGGTAGGGTTTTACTTGTGACACGACCATTAGACACTTAGACATGGGTAGGGTTTTACTTTGACACGACCATTAGACACTTAGACGTCGGTAGGGTTTTACATGTGACACGACCGTTAGACACTTAGATATGAGTAGGGTTATACTTGTGACATGACCATTAGACACTTAGACATGGGTAGGGTTTTACTTGTGACATGACCATTAGACACTTACAGACGGGTAGCGTTTTACTTGTGACACGACCATTAGACAGGTATATATGGGTAGGGTTTTACTTGCGACACGACCATTAGACACTTAGACATGGGTAGGGTTTTACTTGTGACACGACCATTGGACACTTAGACATGGGTAGGGTTTTACTTGTGACACGACCATTAGACACTTAGACATGGGTAGGGTTTAACTTGTGATACGACCATTAGACACTTAGACGTCGGTAGGGTTTTACTTGTGACACGACCATTAGACACTTAGACATGGGTAGGGTTTTACTTGTGACACGACCATTAGACACTTAGACATGGGTAGGGTTTTACTTGTGACACGACCATTAGACACTTAGACATGGGTAGGGTTTTACTTGCCATTTGATGGTTTGATTTTTTACATTAGTTATCCCATTACCGCCACAGCTCAGGGTTTTGTTTCCTTGTTGGGGCGGTATACCTAATAACTGACACAACATGTCCCTGTTATCGTGCACACGGCACAATAATTTGTAATTATGTAATTTAATAGTTTAGTGTCACTACGTAATTAAAAAAGTGCTTGTTCATACCTTTCACAGAAGCTAAACCCTCATCATTGCCTTTTAGGTAAATACCATTGATATAAAATATTTAGATACCTGCAATATCAGAACCACATGTCTGTAAGTTCAGTTTTCTGAAAGGTTTCAAAGACAGTTGCTTTACCGTACATTACTATACTAAAATAATGAAATTACATCATTAAACTGTAAATCCAGATGGTTCACACGAGAAAGCTAACCATGCTCACGTATTTCAATATAAATAGCAATTGATGCCACCCTGGTATACCCTGTATTCTACAGATTCACAGTATTCGGACAAAGAGACTTGTAAAGCAGTGTTCGTATAGATTCTGTGTAAACTGGATGATTTTGTACATCATTTACTATTCACCGTATTGTTCATTAATGGCATATATATCTCACTGTAGCTGATGCACTGTGTCTTTGACAGTATTTTGTGTTGGCAGTGTAAGGACATCTCTAGGTCGGCTGTTTTGAGAATTTATCAGTATGCCATTGTATTCTGCATTCCTGTACCAATACGTATCATGGGAAAGGTGAGTAGATACATGACGTTGGCAGTTTGAAAAGAAATTGCATGCTACATCAAAGGCCTTACCTTTCTGATTCACTGTATCCAGGAAGAGACCATCCAGTGACAAAGAATGAGGTTAAATTGCTTGGATAGTTGGGCAATACATACAGGAAGTGATAATGTGGATATTGTAAGTATGGTACTTTAGTCTATATATCATCCTATACTTCATTGCAATAGTAACAGTTTTAGGTGGCAGCGAGGGAATATTATTAATATGCAAACGTGGTCAGAAATTGATAGCTATGTATATTGTATGTACCTGATGCTAGTACCCTGTACCCTGTACCCCCTACCCTCTTCCCCTTACCCTGTACTCCCTATCCTGTACCCCCTACCCTGTACCGCCTAC